CGGAAGGGCGCGAGACCGTCACCCATGACGGCGAAGAGCGCGACGAGAACGCTGTCAATGACGTGGATTGCATAGACTTGCTTCTCGCCGACGTAGATCCAGCCGATGAGGAACAGAACCCAAGCGAGACCAAAGAGCGTGATGAGTGTAGCGTAGAGTGTGACGAGGAAACCGAGAGGACGTCTGACGTATTGGCCGAAACCCTTCATGCGACGCTTGAAGCGCGCACGGCGAGAGTGCAGCATGTGTCGAACGTGATCATCCAACTCGGCCTTTTCCTCCGGCGTCCAGCCATCGAGGTTCGTCCCATGTGGGAGGGCCGCGTAGTGCGAGTCTGTCAGACGAGAAGTGATAGTGTTGCTTCGCTGCGGAAGATGGCGTTGGTCCTCTTCTTCTGCTTCTGCTTCGGCTTCTGGAATCGGTGGGATCGTAGCGGTCTCTTGTGCTTCCAGTGCAGCTTCGCGACGTCGTTCCTGCTCAATGGCGCCTCGTGCCCAGTCTGCTTGGGGATCGTGTCGGGATAGTGTGTAGGTCGGTCGACGGTTGACCCATTTTCCGAGATCGGGAACGAAGAGGGAGTTTTGGACGTTGGTTAGTGTTGAAAGGGTTTGGACTTCGGGGTCTGTGATTGTTAGATTTGATGGTGTTCATGGCGTGAATGTGTATGTTCTTACCGATGACATCGAGCCAATCCACAAGTTCCTGTTCGTATTCATCATCGCGAGGATCGTCATCTCGCTGCCCCATAGGCACAGCCATTTGATCCTCGCCAGATTGCCGACGATGCCCAGGCCAGAAGAAGCGACTCGCCCGCCGCAGCCGACCAAGCCCACCCCTCCCATTCGTGTTCTCCTCAGGAAGCGAGCCCGTCGGCGACAAAGGAGCAGACTGATCATCATTGATCCCTAGCTCAGCCAGACTCGGCCGTCCTCCCTCCTCTGTAAGTCGCGGCATCGCCACCTGGGGAACCCTCCTGGAATGACGAGCAAGCCCATCCGAGACCCTCGCGCGCTCAGGCTGCGAGATGCTCCTCGGTCTCCCATCATCGCTGAACCCATCAAACTGGCTCGTCACACTATGATTCGAATAAACCGACCCGTTTGAATTTCGGCGGATGCGGATACTAGGCTGTCTAGCCTGATCGACCGGCGGTCTTCGTCTCGTCTGCTGAGGATAATTCGACGACGATTCTTGATACGATGGAAATGCCGAGAGGGATGTCTGCGATGGGAAGCGCGGGAACGACGATAGCGATGTCTGCGACTGCGCTGAGGGCGCTTGGCTCAGCGGGTTGAAGTAATCCGATGCTGTTTCTTCGATGGGGCCTGGACTTCCGGGATCGGGAGGCACGGGACGTGAGGACGAGGGACTCGGAGAGCGACGATTGTTGTAGTGGCCCGTTGGGTTAAGATGGCCCGTGGGCTGAAGACGGTTATTATTGGAAGCCATGCCCATGAAGATGCATGGTAGAAAGGGAGAGACAGAGAGTAAATAAAATAAAAAAGGGAGTCGGGATGAGGTGAGAAAACAAAGTCAAAACTTGTAGTGATACTGACTGAACTGGACGGGTAGAGGCTGGAATTAGTCAGTCGTCACAGCCTGAGCAATTCGGGTTTAGTTCCCAGGCCTTGATTAACCGCTTGTCAGTGAAGATCAGCCATTTTCACTCAAAACAAGAAAAGTGTAGTTGAGCCGTAGGGCACCTCCTACGTAAAGGTCGTTAATCAGGTCGTGCCGTAGTGGGTCGCCCTACGTCACAAGCTGATGCCGCTATGGCCAGTAATCTCCAGCCCCGATAAAAAGGTTTGGCGCCCAGGGGTCGTTTAGTGCCGGGACATCCGCGATATCCATCCTCTGAGCCTCTGTTTTGGTAAAAAGTAGGCCTGTACGGAGTATATCCGTGGGAATATAACAAAGCATTATTCATGATGACTGTGAATATAGTCTGCTGATGCATCAGACATTTAGTGCTCATATGGAAATAACGTGATATTACAGATACGTACCACAGAAGCCTCTCTAAGGTACCTCTTCATCTGTAATCCACCAGCCAACGCCACTAAATTACTACCCCCAATAATTACATCACAGCTTCTCCAGATAAAGACAAGGGACAGCCGTTTCATCTACACTGAACCACAGGCTGAGAGGACAGCTTGGCATATACTTTGCACAGTAGATAAATCTCTTGGCTTGTGAACCCTTTCTGTTTTTTTTTAAATCAGGATTCTGTTAATTTTTAAGCTTATTATTCCTGTGCAGAGACCGTGAGTGCAGGCATCTCCATGTTTGATGAACCACCCTATACCTGGATGATATATGGACAACTCATCAATGCTGCGCTATTGTTTGAGATTTGGTGCCTGTCCTTTGAGTGTTAGGTTCATGACGTGAATCATCAGTATTTCCTTTACTTGGTACTGGAGTTGTGTGATTGATGCGTGCCAGACATTACTCGCTCCAAGACAAAATGATATTAGGCGACTTGTGTTGTTGTGCTACGTAGCATCAAGGAGACTTGCTTTTCTGGTCATCCCCAATCTCGATCGATCGGCATAATATTCCAGACCTTTTCGCTTAAACAATTTTCGCCAATTTGGAGTTCAATAACAGAGTAATTATTCCACAGACTGTAATCGTCTTGTCGTTTTCTTATGATAACAATTGCTGGATCCAGCGCGGCAAACGTGTCTGTCCAGACCCAAATCATAGATGCATTCCAGCCTCTGTCCCCTAACGAATCATCAACCAATGATAGGGCTTATGGTCTAGGGGTATGATTTTCCCTTCGCATCTTTAAATCGACGCTTGGGAAAGGTCCGGGGTTCAATTCCCCGTGAGTCCATCTGATTGCGTTTCTTTTTGCTTACTTACAGTATCTGTTGCCCTGTTGCTAACGTTCAGACATCTGAACTCGCCGTTTCGGTGCTGGGAGCTTTGACTCCAAACATCCTTTTTTGCCAAAGCTTGTCTTGACTCAACCTTCAACCTCACCACCAACGTTGCTTGAAGGCTGACCGTCAATCCTTCAACCACAACCCTAACCAGCAAAAAGAATTACCACGAATAGCAAAAACCATGGACTCACGGGGAATTGAACCCCGGACCTTTCCCAGAGATCTTGCTTCTGATCATGCCAGACTGAAGATGCGAAGGGAAAATCATACCCCTAGACCATAAGCCCGATTTATGATTACATAAGATTTCGTCCCCGCGTCGTTCCATATTCGGTCGCTGAGGACCGCGGAGTTTGGTGTTGCACGGACTCCGTGGACTGCCCGAAACACTCCCGGAACCCCGAGAGCTGTCAGAGCCACTGCAGATCGAGACCATGGAACAAAGAGACGCTTTTGTTTCTAGTTGCTGTGGTTTGACAGTAGTCTATTGGTTTCATCGTACTCGTATCGTATGCGTCTAAGCCTCTGCACTAACGGCCGAGTAACCGACCTCACCGATGCTTTCATCGTCTTGCTTCAATTGAACACGAGTTCCTATTCTTGACAAACTTCGGGAGTCTTCAAAGCCATCGGGAGGTATTGCGCAGTTTGTTTGAAGAATGTTCTGGAGTGGTTCGATATGATACGCTGGAACACAAGGCCGCGGGCCGTGGGCGGCTTTAGAGCCAATGCTGCAGCTGCCGAGACATCGCTCTGAGGCACAACAGTCAACCCACTCTAATAAACCCTGAGAGGGGGGATGCATGCATATGCGGGGAGGCAGCCCTCGGTAGATTGAGAGTTGCTGGCTGCGGGAGGAAAGAAAACACAGGACCTCGATCCCAAATGACAAAAAGACTTGGGTAATATAGCCTAAGCTTAGGATAACTTTTGCGGAGTTTATTTTGACACCCTTATCTAAGAGTCACTGTTTTCTTGCCTGGTTGTTGTGGGATATGCAGTCATTCGGAACTGTTGTCGATTTGCAACCAGAAGACGGATTCATAGTCGCTGAGGGTCATGCGACTGATAATTGACAGTGGAATTGTCCAATCAATTGGAAGATTAATCGAGTAAACATATTTCTCAGAAGCGTGCTATACTGTGCTGGGATGAAACGGGCGGAGCAGATGGGTAGACAAGTCAGGTCGGCAGTCCACGACATGATTCAACAAGAGCGGATGCCCGATGTATAGAAGCAAAGAACGACCGAATGCCTGTAATCAACAGGTATAAGGCTTGTAAAAGGTCTCAGTGCCATGGCCAGAGGTACAGGTGATGTGGCAGGGGTCCCATAGAGGACGCAATGGTTGTTAACCGTTTGCACACTCGCTATAAGCATATTGGTAGTTATCCTCAACGATGGTAAGCGTCAATGTAGCCTCAGTAGTCTCACGCAGTAAGTTACAGCTATAAAAAGCCGATTTCAGGACTTGTATTTTGGTTCTGTACCTCAATTCAATCGCACGGGTCAGGTCAAACAGCCCGCCCACCCTTGAGCAGCGCGACCATTTCGAGCCGAGTGAGAGTCCTACAACCTCCTTTAGATGATGCACAGCCGCGCCCACGTTCGGAATAGAGCTGAGTCTTTGAATGGGCTGCGGCAACGGGTGTTTCTGAGGAAGTGTACCACGGTCCTGTAAGTCTCGCTGGCACTGAGCGCGCTCACCGAGACTTATACCACTGCAATGCCTCTGCTCATTAGAAACCAATCCCCGACTTTGTGCACGACACAACTTGAAGAGGCAATTGAGGGAATACTCAAATGCGGCCTGCGAGTTGCCGATTCGAGATATATCGGTGGTTGAGATGCCAGCTCGTGGAGAAGTCATGCTTGGTCTTGTGGTGGTAATCCGTAATATAGACACTCAGGCCAAATACTAAGGTCTTTGTTGACTCCGTCTATCAGTCCTTCTCGCCACTCAGTCATTCTCTCGTCTTGCAGGCCAATGTGGATAGAACAGGAGTTCAGTATTCTGTCCGGTTAGCAAATGTCCTGATGCTTGATCAAAGCCGCGATGGCCCAGCTTCTATAGAGAATAGCCATCTAGCCGCCCGTTGTCGTCACTGCTGCACATTCCCTTCGACCCCAAAGCTTCTTACACTCCTACCAGCCTCTTCATGCACAAGCCCATACCCAATTTTGACATTAGATCCTTCGTGCGCTCCTAGTACGTGGAGATTCGATGCCCTTGAAGCTTCCATGATAGATGATGGCTTCATATCACGCATAGTCCCCTCCTCAAGATAAGCCTGCAGCCCCAATAATACACCAATGCCCGCCAAAAATATACTTGCAGCATAAACGCTAAGAAGCTGGGCCATGTTGTATTGAAAGAAAGTAGCTATTCTCTCACGCCGACAAGGATAGGCCGTTGAAGGACCTCCCTTGGCAGTACCAGATGGCTTGCCATTAGCGGCCCACGAGACAACCATGAAAGAAGACTCCTCGAAAATAGAGATGATCATGTCCTCATAAAGCTTTTGGATGCCGAGATGAAGATTCTTGACAGGGAGGTAGTTCAACGGCGTGAACAAACGCGTGTATAAAAGATCCGACTTTACTTGGTTATATGGTACCTCCATAGTTCCATTGAGGCACTGCCTCAACCTAGAGCCGATTGAATGGTAGGCTGCCGTCCGGCGGTACGTTTTGAAGTCATTCGGGAATATATAGTTGTTGTCAGGGATAGCACGTGTTCGGTCCCTTAGTCTCTTGTCGGGGTCTTTCTCAGATATGTATGTCGTATCAACCACCTTCCTCAGGTATTCCCGCCACTTAATTTCAACAAGTTTGTCACCACGTGTGTAGTTAAACTGGACGGTATAGTTGACTTCGTAGTGCTCGCACCCAATGATTACAGGCGTATATGCCTTCATGTATTCCTCTGTGCCTGGTACATATGGCTGAGGGACCGAAAGATCATCGACGGTTGCGTACCCAATCCACATGATAGGCTCTGTTCTGAAGGCTCCAAAGTTGTCCGGATATGGAGGGCGGTGAGTCGGCCTCCCTCCAGGATGAGAAGACACCATTTGGGGATTAAGATACTCGCCTCGGTCGTTGACGGCGTAGTACGTCAGGTTTCCCGTTGGCGCCAACACGGAGGTGTTGAATGGTGTTGTAGCATTCCCGAGCTTCTTAACCTCCGAATCTACTCCATAGGCTAGCTCCTCACATTTATAGCCAGGAGCAACAAAGTTGACGACATAAGAACAGTTCCATCCCACTCCGCAAATCTCAACCGTTGCTTCCTTGCGGATTATGGATTCGCTCATAAGTGTCGATTTCGTCCTGATGAACATGTCATACTGCCGGCTAGGGCCATGGTAGTAGTCAAAGCCATCTGGGTTGGAGTTTGAAGGGCTCTCACCCGGGGGAATAGTCGAATTCCACAATGACACCGAGGTCACAAACTGGTCGTTTATCTTTAGAGGGTTGCGCCAATATATGTTCTCCTCGTTCCCGAAATTCAAAGTTCGCACCGAAGGGCACGGGGTTATTTCTTCGAATACCCCAAAGACAACTGAGAGAGTTTCAGAGGTCAATATGACAACAAGAGGAGTGATCCAGCAGTAAATGGCAAGCAGGGTACCGACCCTACTCTTGCGGATAGAGCTCCAGCTAAAGAGAGAGGATATGTCCGAATTGGCAGTGAAAATAGAATTGATTGTCTCAACACGGGCAGTTTTAAAACGGACCACTCTCCACGCTCTTTGGTGAAAAGCAATAGTGACTGCTGTGCCGAGACTGGCTTTAGCACAGAATGCGATGGCGGTTCCATAGCGTAGCATCAAGGATTGGTTGACAGCTTCTCTGCCGTTGAGATGAAGGTAGAATAGGTGATGGCCAACAGCGAAGAGAGTGCCAATGAGGACCAAAAGAAACATGTTCCAGGGTTTACGCCTGTACGCGTCCCAAAACTTCCAGAAGTTGTTGCTGCTGCGCTTGACCAAGGCGGGCTCAGGGAGCTTTCTGCCATGTTTTCCAGGCTCAGCCTTACCCCTGACTGAACTCGAGCTCCGAGATGTTTGAGTTTCGCGGTGTTCGTCTGGGCGCAAAAGCATGATATCGTCGGCGGTGGCGATCGACCTTTCATCTCGCTCACGATCATTCTCGACGTAAGAAGGCAGGGGTCTCGGTGACGGAAACATTTTGTCACGTAAACGAGAGCTAGTGCGGTATTGGAAAAAGGTCAAATGGACTATAGCAGCGTAGGAGTTGGAGGTTATTGCAAGAATCAAGCTTCGCTTCTGTCCAGAGCCTCGTTTTGAGAAGTAGGCTGCAGGTAAGTAATCTGGTAGGCTTCGCGCTGTGGCTGGAGTGAGCACTGATACCTAGGCTGATTGAAAACAATACACACCAATCATGGTCTGAGATCTGCGCAGTGTGATACACTTGTGCAGAATAACGAAGCGCAGCGCCTGCTTATGCCAAGCAACGAGTGTGCTAGGACCAATGAAGATGACATAGCCACCTATACTCATCGATAAAAAAGTCAAGCTTGTGGAATATCTCTTACTCTTGAACCAGTATAGACTGATACTCATAGTATTTCAGTGTAATCAAGCTATATCATCCCGAAAACATCTACGCTGAGCTTTCAGGCGAGAACATGATGCAGGCCAAGAAGTATCCCTACAATGGTGATTGTAGATGTAACAGACGGCCTTGATTAAGCTAGCAGGAAAAGAAAGGGAAGAAGCTCACTGGAGGTCGCATAAATAGAATTCAACGGCTTATGACTCCTGACTGCTACTACTGGAGGTGAACAGGAACAGCTCTCAAATTATGAATAAACAGGAGGGTTATGAATCCCGCATTTTGTGCAACTTAGCTAAATTCAGCAGCAACATCATCATAAGCCTTCTTCAACAACACAAGCAACTCATCCATCTCATCCTCCGTAATCGTCAACGGCGGCGACACAATAACATGATCACCCTCTTTTCCATCCGCAGTCCCAGAACCAGGATAAACAGCCAGACCCAACTGAAAAGCCCTCTCCTGAACCTTGACGCCAAACCGAATCTTGCTATCAAAGGGTGTCTTGGTCTTCTTATCCTTGACAAACTCAATACCCCAAAACAACCCCCTCCCTCTAATGTTTCCAACAAACTCCAGATCTTGAAAGATTTCGATAAGAGACTTGTGTAATCGTGCTCCGAGGGTAGCAGCACGAGCTACCAAGTTATCTCGACGGATAATCTTCTGGATCGCTAGTGCAGCTGCGCAACTCACGGGATGAGCTTGATACGTATGTCCATGGTTGAAGCTCGCTGTTCCTTTCTTCAACGTCTCGATGATCTTTCTGTGCACCAACGTCGCAGCGATAGGAGCATATCCTCCTCCGAGGCCTTTGCCTGTTGTGACGATATCAGGACGAACGTCGCCGTCTTGCTCAAAGGCGAAGAACGTTCCACATCGTCCGACTCCACACATTACTTCGTCGAGGATAAGAAGAATACCATACTTTCGACAAACTTTTCCGACACCTTCAAAGTATCCGGCTGGAGGAGAGATACAGCCTGCTGTTGCGCCACCGACCGTCTCTGCAACGAAGGCCATGATGGTGTCTGGACCGACAGCCTGGAACTCTGCCTCGAGTTCGTCGACTAATCTCTGAGCGTACTCTTGTTCCGTTTCGTCGTCTTTCCGAACTCGGTATTCATAAGCGGGACTAACGTAGCTCACATTGCCGAGAAGAATAGCGCCCTCGTACGGCGCCCTTCTCGCCACGAAACTGCCCATACTCATAGCTCCAATAGTGTTCCCATGATAAGCCTGCCTCCTTGAAACAAACTTAGTTCGTTGCGGCTGTCCATTCTCAACATGATACTGCCTCGCAAGCTTCATTGCCGAATCCATAGCCTCACTACCGGAGCCAACAAAGTACGCTCTCGTCAATTCAAAAGGCTCTCCTTCAAGGATATAGTCTGCGAGGTCCTCTGAACTGTTGGTTGTGTAGGCCATGGTGTGAACGTATGACACACTCGACATCTGCTCGACCATTGCATCGCGAACTTCAGTGTTTCCATGACCGATGATGGCGACTGCAGCGCCTGCGCAGCCATCGAGGATCTTGCGGCCGGATGAGAGTGTGATCCAGACGCCTGATGCGGAGGTCACGGTTTCTGGACGGGTGAGGAGGGAGCGGTGCATGAGATGTGGCTCTGAGGCCGGGGAGAGCTGAAGGTCGCCCATTGTGTCTTGTATGTAGCTGTTGCTTTGGTAGATGAACTATCAGATGGGAAAGAATTTGGACTGATGTATGAAGGACTTTATAAGCAAGAGAATGGTGTTCTGTCGGTTCTTATCTAGGTTGGAGTGGAGCTGAAGCCACTCGGCTTAGAACACGCGATTCGGGTCTGGGTACTCTTTTCGGGTTTAAGGAGATGCGAGCGAACGGTATAACAGCTATCAACACTGGAACTGACCAAGATACGCGATAATATCATTCAAAGAACATGTCGTCTTAGGGATTAAACGAAGACAAATCTACGCTACATTCTCATCTCCCATATTATCCATACTCGTCGACAAAAGATGCGGATCATCGCAAAACGACAACAACCTCCACCAATCCTCACCCACAAACTCATTTCCACTTGTTTCCTCCAGAAACCCAAGTCCCTCCGCCTCAATCTCCTGCTCAGCATCGCCCGCCACCAGCTGATGCAACTTAGACCCATCATCCGCCGACACCAACCCCGCAGGCCTATCAAACGTCTGCCTCGGCATCCCCTGCAACGGCGCAAGATGAATAGAATCCTCCAACTCGGGATAATCATACCTCGACTTCTTAACCCTCCGCCCCTCACTAACCCTGGTCATGATACTCTTCGCCGTATTCAGAACATCAATCCACTCCTCCGCCAATCCCCAAACCTTGCCTATCCTTACTAACACGGCCATAGTCCTTTCAGCTTGAGAATCAGCGTCAGAGGTTTGACTCGGCGTGAAGCCCATGAAGTTTGGGAATGCTGCGCCGTATATACTCCAGAGAGTGGAGGAGAAGGCGCATAGGCCGGAGAAGGGGGTGCGGAGGGGACAGCCGACGTGTTCGAGATCGGAGAGGAGAGAGGATATTTGGGATGCTGCGTCGTAGAGATCGAAGACGTTTTGGAGCCAGAAGGAATCAGGGCCTCGGGCTTTGAGGAGTGGTGGTTCGATGGGACCTCGAGGTTTGACTTCGTCTACTGGACTGAAGGGGATGAATTCACGACAGAGGAAGAGCAAACTACTACTGATAAGTATTGTACTCCAAGTTGACGGTGTAGGGCTTACCTGACGTAGTAGACCAAGTTGATGTACCCAAACCTCTCAGCCTGTCCTCGCTGAGCATGCACTGATACTTTGGTAGCAGGATACTGCATCAGAGCATCCTGAGACTCTCGCCACTTGATCAAGTCCTGCTTCATCTTACTCCAGTCCGAAGTCTCATTGAACGGACACTGCTCTGGTTCCGTCATTCCAGGCTGTCTTCTCCCGCCCTCAGCAATCCACGTATGCACTCTCGACCAGATACGCAAACCTTGAATGAGAAGAACAAGGTGATCATCCGGCCCGTAGACTTTCAAACTGTCATCTATCGGTGCTGCTTGAGGACTCTGCCCAAAGAGAAATTGTGTGTCGTTCACGGGTAACGAGAAGTGCATGTCTCCGTCAGAGAACATAGCCTGTCGTCTTTTGCCGCAGCTTAGCAGTCTGTCCATCTTGAAGCACGTCCACAATGTCCTCTTCTCAAGTTCCGAAAGCGTCTCTCTTTTACCACAGCTTGCGAAACCAGTGCTGAGGAGCCCTTGCGCCATCCTCGTTGCAATACCGCAATGCATCCAAGCATTAAAGCCATCTCCATCTCCCCAGTTGCAGAGCGACAAAATGAGGAAAGTCTGAATGAGAGCGAGGCTTGGACCGCTCGTAACTCTCTTCTGCACCTCGCTGGCTATAAAAAGGATATTCTTGTTGTTGATATCTGCGCTGTAAGATTCCGAGTATCGATGTGACACTGCAACAATGACGAGAAGTCGAAGTTTTTGAACTACACTGAGCTCATCTTGTCGATACTCAAGATCATCTGGATGTAGAAATCCAAACTCAGGAAACTGAGCCCTGAACAAGTTGATAGCAGATATAACTTGCGCTCGGGGCGTTAGTTGAAAGACGTGATTAACATCCTGCCAAACATCACCCGAGACATCTGCTCGCGACTGATCAACGCTCAATCGCTGTCTCTTAGCAGGCCTTTTCGGCCCTGAGCTCTGACCCAGAATTGGACCACTTAGGACACAAGTCTCAGTACAACCGCTCTTTATGCAGCCTGCACAAGGGGGCTGGTCATTATGTCTGCATTTGACTTTGGACTTTCTATTAATAATGGTCAGACGCAGTCTTGGATCTTAGAAGAGCGGTATTACCTGCATCTACAACCACGTTAGAACTACACATATAGGCATTCAAGATGTGGTTAGTTACCTCTCACACGCAATTGTCGTTCTCATTGTTTCTGTATCCGATTCGCGTTTCAATTGATATGAGTCTGGGATGATTCAGGCGGGGCTTCGGGTTTGGTTTTGGTGAGGTTGTTTTCGGGTCTAAAGCCGATTCGGGTTTGGCTGAAGACAGAGACCTCGGGCCCAGCTCACGTGCCACAAGGATACGCGAATAAGTGAATTTTATAGATTAAGAGGAGGTCTTGTAGACTCGCATCATTCTGAGATGTTGCATGATCTTCCTATTAAATTAGTCAAATAATATGCTGTCATTAATCAATGAATTGAATTCTTAATAACTACGCACACATTATCGCGGGAACTCCTGCAGCGCTTCACTCTGACTCGGATTCACCTGGAACACTCTCATACCGGTAGCTCAACATAGATAGATAGACATACGAATATGATGGCGAAAGCTGCAACCTATCTTTACCCTATAGACTAAGCTATTGAATCGAAGTCACATGGTCGATAGCGCCTAATCCAGTGAGTCTTGACTGAGAAGGACTAGAAGACCACCCTTTTCGTCGGGTTCCGAGGCGCCGAATCACCCCGGCTCTACTGGCGGCGCAGATGAACCGAAAGATGCCATAAATCTATCCCAGCCCTAAGGTTCTTGGCGTTTTAATTGGTGTCTTCGTAATTGGACGGTTAATCGGCTTACAACAACACTCTTGAAACGCCAAGACGAAACAAAGAATGGTTCCATCCAAAGTGTAATAGCCGTCAGGGGTCACCCAATTATTTGAAACGCTTTTAGGAGACAGGCCCAGCTTGTCGGCTTCCGGCCGGGACCCGAGTTTCATGATTGGCCGTTCTAGCCGCACACTTGTCTTCTAGTATGAGACATATGTACAGTCTGGTGATACTGTCACTCGTGTAGATCGGTTAATTCGGATCTCGACTTTAAGGAAGTACGGCATCGTTGCACAAACTTCAAAACATGTTAGGTCTGGTCTTGTCGCTTACGTTTGACTACTGTTGAAATACGAGAGGAGCACTAGTAGCTTCTCCAAGAGCATGGGATCTGGGGAAATAGGTAGAGCATTGGCGTAGATGAGCATAGTCGAGATGAGAGCTATATAAAGCTTGGCATGTCTTTCACATATTATTCTCATCAACCAACTCAATTCACTTCTATTCTTTATCTACTTGAGCTTTGCTTGACGCAATATCTCAAGTTTCTCTAATCATAATAGGCTAGTCCTACTTAATCTGCCTTAATTCTCTCTTTACCTGCTGGTCAGAACTCATTTAATCTCTTTTACATCTTTTATCCTTCAAGATGCATTTCTCCAACGTTATCATCACCACTCTTGCTGCTCAGGCCCTTGCTCAGGACAGCCGTGTCCCACGCGCTCGCATTGGACAAGTTGCTGTAAGTGACTGTCTCTTTATGAACTTGCTAGTGTCTTGCTGACAGCTCTCAAGGCTCTAGTGGCTGCTGCTGCTCTTCCAGTCAGAGCACTCCCGGTCTTTGATGCCCTTGAGGCGCGCGATGTAAGTTCTCTCACTTTCTTCTACCCATCCATCAATTAACAAGGATAGCCTCATCACCAGGGCAACAAGGCGAAGGCCAAGGCGGTCGAGGGATGCAAGGCCAAGCGCGACGACGACGACGACGACGACGAAGCCATCGAGGGACTCGTCGCTCGCCATCACCAGGGAGCCCACGGCAAGGCTGCTGCCAAGGCTACCAACAACTGCAACAAGAATGGCAAGCGAGACGAAGAACTTGAAACCCGAGATGTTGAAGAAGACGAAGAAGAAGAAGAAGATGATGATGAAGAAGACACCCATGAGCTTACCACCAGGGATGTCGAGGAAGACACCGAGGAGGACGCTGGCGAGCTTGAAGCCCGAGCTGCAAAGAAGGGCAAGAAAGGCAAGAAGGGTAAGAAGGGAAAGAAAGGAAAGAAGGGCAAGAAGGATAAGAAGGGTAAGAAGGGTGGAAAGAAGGGCAAGAAGGCTGGCAAGAAGGCTGGTGCCAACGCCAACAAGAACGCGAACGCCGGTACTACCAACGGAGCAGCCAAGACTGGTACCACCGCCAACAACGCCAACACCAACACTAACACTGGTGCTACCAGTGGAACAGCTAAGACCGGTACCACCGCCAACACAAACACGAACACCAACAGCAACACTCAAGCCAAGTCTGGTACTACGGCTTAAGAGTGCATCCGAGACCAGGCGAGGATATGGTAATAGTTACAAGGAGTCCAAGGCTGTTAGTCTCCACGGTACCCTCAATACAAACTATTACCTAGGAAGCTTCCACACGGAGAAATTCACCTACCTTACACCGAGGAGTTGGCCCCTACAGTTAGTTAGCGCAGGTAGCTAATACAACACTATTCACTTCGTACTAGTTGAGATTTGGTCAGGGCTGAGATGGATATGCCGGAAATTGTCGTGAAAACTATTGATATTCTTTTTAATATGTTTAACGACGGCAGGCTCAGTGGACTGAACAAGCATTACTTACAATCTCAGGTACTGCCAGTCAAAGACAATAAATGAGGAAAATACCCACCTTCTTCAAGAGAATATTCGTATTCGTTGAGATTGACAAAACCTAAAGTTGCATCCTAAGCCTCCTTTGGCATCGCGACGTCATGAGACAGCTCTTTTCGTCCGCAAAAGATGATTAGCGCCCCAACTTTATTTAAACATTGAGCGAAAACCTCTCCGATAATGAACGGATAGAGGTTTGCGCTGTCTATTGGTCTCCCGGCTTAGCGCCGAATATGCATCTGACCCAGCCCTGACCTTTTGGGAAGGGCTGAGAAATGCCAAGAGCCAGTGACCTTAGAGCATCATGGAAGCTGAAATATCTCGTTCGAATACTGACCTGTAATAACTGGGATACTCTTCTGTTTTTAAAAAGTAAAAAGATCAGTGGCATAAGTTTAAATGCTATATATGCTTCTTTAACAAAGCTATTGGTTGGATTCTTATCTGATGGCTTGGTTCACATGTTGAACAACGTCATGGGAATGCCGAATGAGTATCAGTATTCTCGAATTAGTTATTTGTAAGAAAGGCCTAACAAGCTTCTGCTATATAAGCTTGACTTCGTTCCTCTATCCTAGACCCAGTGCCTTCTCTATCTGCTACATCTTCCAAGACTTCAGCTATTACAGTCCAAAGCTCCTGAATCACACGCTGCCACGACCCTAGTACAAGTCGGTTGACCTTCAATAGCTTTCATAAGAGTCAAAAGCAGCTAACTCCTCCCAGGTCTTGGCTTTGCAGTCCTTAATACCTCAAGTGCTCAAATCATTATGAATGCATTCTCGTATCGGAAGTGCATTGGCCTTCTTGCCATTCTGAGTATTGTCCAAGCTCAAGAGCCGATTTCCTCTGAGCAGACGTTTTATCTCGATTGTGGAGGGCCTAACGTGACTATTCCCTATTGTCTCCAATGCGATGGATGTAGGATGGAATGTGGTGGCCCTGATGTGGTAGTTCCATGGTGTCTTCCATGTCAGGATGAGTGCGTTACCCCCCCAGGACAAGGAACACTCCCGCGCAAGCGTCTAGGAGAAGATGGGAAACCATTCATCGTGGGCCAGTGGCAACTCGACACCTCTCTAGCTGAATCTACAGATAAGGAGATGGTCTGGGCAGGCGAAGTCAAATGGAATGTGGCCCCGAAGAAGGAGATGGAGAACTCGGCTGCCTTGTGTTGGGGAGTCAAAGCCGAAGATGGTAGTGGCAAGTTGGCATATCAGTGTGTGAATGCGGGACTGTGATAACGGTCACATGAGTTGTAAATAAGAGATACAGCAAGTGCAAGAGAAACTGTATGGTTACTTCGTATATCAAGTATTGTCGGGATTACTGATGTGATCGACCTGGAAAGAGTTGTTATAGTGACTGTAACTTTGGGCTGCGCTAAAGAAAAAAACGACAATCTTTCCAGAATATCCACGAGATATTCATTCCGTAACCTTTCACCCAGATATTCCCTGACATGCGCCTTTAGACTAGGTATCCTTAGGTGTATGATCGAGAACACGCTTGCCTATAAGTTCACATGGAAGCTGTTCTAAGACTTTACTAAAGAGATTTGTGTGAAAATTGCACCACTATGCGTCATATCTGGTAAATCTAGCATTTTGATATGATCAGCGTTCAGGTCAAACTGGCGACATATCTTGAGTGACTTGGGAGAGAGCGCATGAGCGTTGGGCGCTCCAGGTCTTTCTGGGCGGCTTTTAGTGATGAGAGAGGTTCGAAAATCCAGTTTGGATAAGAGGTAGGCTTGCAAGACGTCACTGGGACCAATCTCCGTTTGGGCTGAAGCAGCGTCGGGTACAGCTCACGTGCCATAAGGGATGCGCGGATAAGTTAAATGAAACATACCAACACATCGTGATATTTTCCTTAAGTCTTCACATATAGATCAATAATCCGAAGATTCGGACGCGATCTTATATCCACTTATCAGATCCATTTCTATGCGCGGGTTCGGGTTAACCTTGCTGGCGTCAGATTAAGGATGAACCAAGCGCTAGAACATGAAACAGACCATTAGCACCACCACCAAAGAACAGAGTAGACCGACGCTAATGGTAGGTTCCGTGCGGTTTTGCTGGCTGATGATGGCCTGAAACGAAGGAAGTTTTGGCGGAGATGAACTGCAAAAATACGAGCTTCCGTGTGAGCTCTTCAAGCGGCTCCGTGATTGCTGAAATCGGGAGCAAGAATTTCCATTGAGCAAATTCGCATTAGCTCCAGTGAAAATGAGATTCGACGGATAGTATGTTTAAGCATAAAATAGGTAAACTCAAAAGACTGTTTAAGTATCTTCAACTTCGAAGCTTATTTTAAGGTTCGCCGACGACAATCCCAAAGATCTGGTCAACGACAAGGGAGAATACACGGGCGCCAACATCATACCGAAAACTGCCCTATTGGGCACGATGACATGCCATACCGGGGAGATGAACCATATTAGGAGATTGAGAAACAGGAGGAGCACAGACATAAAAGCCCTATCCTTGAATAGCCCGAGAATTATGGATCAGTTTCTCACGATGGAGAAGCTATTGTTTCCGTCTTATTATCCCGCCAATTAGACTCTTTAACCATCTCGTAATAGGATGTGGTCCGATTTGAACGATTGATTCTATATATCTTGAGCTTAGAACGTGTAAGTTGAAGCCCAGCAAGCATCTCTGGTAGACATTCGTTTTCTGTTCCTTCGTTTCTCTCCAACCCGACACTCGTTAACTACCTCACATTCTTTATCTTCACTCACTCGCCAACATGCGTTTCTCTTCCGCCGCTGGCCTCATGGCCCTCGCTACGTCGACCGTAGTCCACCCCAACTCCGCCACCTCCGATCTCGACGGCTCCGTCTGGAAGGCCCTCACACCTCTCAAATCCCGCTCATGGACATCCATCCCCCGAAACCGTCCCACCAAGCGCCAATCCGGCTGGAACCCTCCCTCCGATATCGCCACGCCCCTCAAAGAAGTCTGGGACCACGAAGTCAAGACCTACAGCGACGCGCTCGGCTTCAAGAACTACGGCTGGGACCAAGTCATTGCTGGAAAGGGCCAGCTGAACGTCTGCGTTCGCTGGGAGTCTAGCGCTTCTGTGACTGCTGAGCAGCGCACCAAGGTTGCTGCTGCTCTTCAGGACTCGTATAGTGCTTGGATGAAGTGGGTTTCCGGCTATGATAACTTTCCTTACGAGGAAGTCAAGATCAATGTCGTTGGATGGGCTGTCAAGAACAAGAGTCTTCTCCAGGGTTCCACGGAAGGTCTCGATATCTACACTGACACTAACGCCGACGGCATTCCTCAATGTTCCGAGAAGTGTGGCCGTTTCTTCCACCAGGACGGTGACTACAGCAGCTGCCCCGGAGGCGCTGAGCGACACTATGATAACTCCCTCTGGCTGACCGACGGTATGCAGGGCGGAGCCGGTGGTGACTGGGGGCAACGTATTGGCCGGGAGTACTTTATGGATCTCCTTGGTCAAAAGGACATTCATATTCTTGAGCACGAGATCGGTCATACCTTTGCCCTTGACGATTTCTACGACTGGACTCCCACCGGGCAGACCAACTTCATCATGCTTGCTGGTTCATCCACCAAGGTCACTGACTTTGATGGCTGGATGTTGAGGAACTGGTGGTATGAGCTTTCTCGTGAGCGCGGCTGGCAATCTACTGCCTCTAGCTCTGCCTCAAAGGGTACTTCATCCGACAAGGCTGTTGCTCCTGTCTCGTCCAAGGCTGCTAGCACCAAGACTGCTGTTGCTAAGCCCACTACTACCACTGTCAAGCAGGCTGCCACTCAAACTGCCGTCAAGCCTGTCAAGGAGACAGCCTCAAGCGCTTCTGCTGCTGCCTACGCTCAGTGCGGTGGTGGTGCTGGCTATACCGGCCCTACCAAGTGCGCTTCTGGGTTGAAGTGCACCAAGCACAGTGATTGGTACTCTCAGTGCCTCTAAGCTCCCTGATGCGCACAATATCCGAGCTTGATGCTTGGAACTTATTTGTATATACTTAGTCATTAGAAAGGAATACCTGAGTATTATAGGACATAATTTACTAAATATCGATATAAATCCGACTATTAGTCGGCGGGGCTCATAATTCCTCTTGCATTGTGTCTTCTGATGTGGCTTGTTAATTTTTCACACCGTCATCAGATACCATAAGTCTAGCTCCATGGGAGGTCTTCTAAGATCCTTGCGCAATGCGCTGATCCCTTGTTTCAATCGCTTCGACGCCACTCTTCTCGGAGAACCGGACATCCTCTTCATGGACGATCTTGACATCACCAAAGATCTCATCAATCTCTTCCAGTGATTTGCCTACAATTCGTTAATTTGTGAAAACCAAATCCGGAGCTCTGACTTACCTCGTGTCTCGGGGTATACGAAGAAGAAGACAATAGCACAAAGGGCGTTGGTGAGGACGAACAGGATCTAGAAAATTGTTAGAATATGAGAGCTCAGAGTGATTCAGGCTCAACTGACGTAGTATTTCCAGCCCACGGCTGCTAAAGCGATGGGCGAGCATTGCGTGATGATCAGACTGATGGAATAGTGAACTACCTGCACAATGGCGTTGGCCTTGGCGCGTAGCTCTGTGGTAAAAACCTCAGGCCTGCTACGATTAGTAAAGGTAAGGATACTCCAGGTGTCTGAGACTTACGGAATGATCCAAGTCATCGGCCCAAGAAGAGCTGAATAATTGGCCGAAACAGCAAAAATACACGCAATCAAACCCCTCTGCGCCGCAGCATTGGTCGGCATACCAGGGACAGCGGGGAATTCAGCAGCCAGGATCGTAATGATCAAGTAGCATAGCGACAATAGCGACGAACTGATGACCAGAATTTTCTTTCTTCCTATCTTGTCGACGAAGAACAATGACAGGAAACAAGCGACTGGTCCAACAGAACCGTAAAGGCCACTGACGAGAAGCTGGCGGTCCTCACTGAACTGTAGTGTCGCGTAGATAGCGGTCTGGTAATACTGCACGAAGGAAATACCAGATAGCATAGCTGCTGCCCAGACGAACGTACCAACAAAGAGACGTTTTCGGAACGCAGGGGTCTTGGCTAGCTCAGCCCATGAAAGACGACCCTGAGCTTGCATCTCCTCGGAGATGTTGACCTGGATGACAGCGAACTCAGTGCGACACCAATCGTCATTCGTTCCGTCGTAATGATAAGCGCGGAATGCCTTCTCAGCTTCATCATGACGGCCCTTGAGGCAAAGCCAACGGGGTGATTCACTGAGAAACAAAACACCAACGCCAAGAATGAGAGCAGGAATACTTTGAATCGCAAAGCCAAGGCGCCACTGATTTGCGTTATGCCACTTCCCCTCCGCGACACCGATCCATAGCGCGACGAAGAATCCCCAGGCTGTCATCATCTGATTCACAGCCGTGACTCTCGCACGTTCATGAGTCTTCGCGATTTCAGCTCCAAACACGGGAGATACACCCGTGATGGTCCCAACGGCAAAACCAACGAGGAGTCGCCCGATAATGAGCATCGCAACATGAGCGGCGCCAGCCATGACCGCACCGCCGATGACGCCCCAGATGCAGCCGAAAGCAATAGCTTTACGACGACCGAGTTTGTCGCTGGTGATGCCGACTGAGGCACTGCCTAGCCATGCTCCTGCTTGGTACATGGACACAATAGCTCCTCGAAGGGGAGGGTCAGGCTTGCCAAAATACGTGAGGAACGAACTCAGCGCCAAGCTGGGCGTGATGATACCCGAGTCACTGAATCCGTCAACATGATTCTATTCACTGGTAAAGCGCATTGACTTACAATCCATAGAGGAACCCTCCTATCCCAAGGAATATGGAGGTCAAAAAGGGCTTGCTAAGCCAAGCGTCACTCTTCATTTTTGCAGCCGTTCAGAGTTACTAGAGACAGTAATGATTCAATCGATATCCTTAGCATATTCTTCCCGACGAGATGCAATGCAACCTCTTTATCTAAAGTCGGGGTAAAATGAACCGAAAAACAAGGATATCGGAGTGTCCCACCAATCTAGCAAAGACAAGAAAACTTGTGCCATCTAACCGAAGTGAAAGAAAGTCTTAGGCAAACCTTGCATCAGGTTCCATAGTTCTTAGACCAGTTTATTCTGACATCCTATCTCAATATCAGCACTTTTCTTACTCCCCCACAATGTCTAGCTCAGTGGAGACCTCCCGGGTTTAAAACATCTCGGCATAACCTTTTGCAGTTTAGAACGCGGGGTTGGGAATAACATGACATCTCGCCTCGCGAAGTCAGAGTCATTAGGGCATCCTTTAATGCCTTTAGTATGAGTCGTTGACGCGGGGGTGGCTTATCCAGGTCTTTTGGGTTCGGCAGTTGAGGGTGGCAGTTGAGGTTGTTTCGGTTGCATATATGCGAGTGTGTGTGTTTTCGGCTTCTTTTATTACCGGATGATAGCCGACTGACAAGGGACATACATCTCACTTCCAGACACAGATGTCACGTTTGCCAAAGCCGTGCCTCACCTTAGAGAGCAAGAAAACACCAGACCTTGATACAAGGTGTCAAAATAAACTCAGCAAAAGATATCCTAAGTTTATGCAAATTTACCTTAGGTCTTTTTATTATTTAGGATCAAGATCCTGAGGTTTCTTTCTTCCCCTAGGCAGATCACCTTTGCCAAGTTGTCAAAGCTGGTTTAGTCCTGGCAAGGCTCTGTGAGACCTGCTCTGGGTACTGACAAGATGGTGGTAAAACTCATTCTCTACGCTGCCGTTGCGTTGGGCCTGGCATATCTCGCCCTCATTTTCCCAAGGGTAAGCATAATCCACCAATAACAGCTGTCCCTTTACCAATACTCACAACCACTCCGTACAGCTCCAACAAGAATGGAAGCTCTACTCCCACCGCTCCCAGCTCCCCCCAGGCCCCAAAACCATCAGAACCGGCATCCGCAAACCATGGCTCTGGTTCCAAGAACTCAGCCAGCAATACGGCGACGTCGTCTATCTCCAACTCGGCCCAACACCAACCATAATCCTCGGTTCCGCCCAAGCAGCCTGGGATCTTCTCGAGAAGCGCGGCGCCGTATTTTCCTCGCGCCCACGATTCATCATGGGCGGTGAACTACTTTCCGGTGGAATGAGAGGTCTTATGGCGCCGTATGCTTCGTATTGGAGACGGTGGAGAAAGTTGCTGCACAGTGGGTTTATGCAGAGGCAGAGTGAGACGTACAGACCGATTCAGAGCCTTGAGTCCAAGGTTCTGATGTTTGATCTTTTGAAGAGGCCTGCTGATTTTAGGATGCATTTGGAAAGATATGCTGCGTCGGTTATCGTTACTGTTACTTATGGGCGGCGGGTTGAGGATGTGAGGAGTGATATTGTGGTGAGGCGCAATGCTGAGGCCATGGAGCGTCTGACTATGGTCAAGTAAGTTTGCATCTACTCTAAACCTACTAAACCTGCTCCAAACCTACTATAAACCTGATCTTAAGCTAACAAATGTTATAGTATTCCCGGAAAGTACGCCGTCGAGCGCTATCCCGCACTCAAGTATCTCCCTGGCTTCCTGGCGCCATGGAAAAAGGAAGTTCTTCAACAACGTCAGAAAGACATTCAACTCTACACAGAACTCATGGATGAGGTACGCGAAAAAGTCGCCAAAGGTACTGCGCCAGGCTGTTTCGCGAAACATCTTCTTGAAGAGCAAGAGAGCTTGGGTATGAGTGACTTAGAAATTGCTTACACGGCTGGATCACCTTTCGGTGCTGGTGTTGAGACCGTAAGTCTACTCTTTCGTGACAGAAAAGAACTTTGTGACTAATACTTTGACAGTCCGCGGGCTCACTCGCAAGTTTCCTCCTTGCCTGCGTAAAGTTCGGACCTCATTTCATCCCCAGGGCTCAAGAAGAGCTGGACAGAGTAGTCGGAAGTGATAAACTTCCCACATTCGATGATCTGCCCAAGTTGGAGTATGTCAGAGCTATTGCATCCGAGACTCTTCGATGGAGACCTGTTGCTGTTTTAGGAGGCACACCTCATGCTAGCACAGCGGATCACGTCTACAAGGGCATGTTTATCCCCAAGGGAAGCACCATCATCGCACCACTTTGGACGCGTAAGTAGCGCATTCACTGATTGTTTGACAATGGCTGATAACGCCAGTGCACCTTAACGAAGCCGATTTCCCAGAGCCTCATGAGTTTAGACCAGAGCGTTTCATGGAGAAGCGAGAGTACCCTGGCACACTTGGCCACAGCGCTTTTGGCTGGGGTCGACGAATCTGTCCAGGCATGCACCTCGGAGCTGCGTCAGTCACGCTCAACATCGCGCGTATCCTATGGGGATTTGAGGTCAACCCCGAGAAGGATGAGGACGGACGAGACATTGATGTTGATATGTGAGTTGAAGACGTAACCATGGAGGAGATTTGTTGCTAATATTGCGTAGCTTTGCTTATTCGGAGGGCTTCAACTCGAGTCCATTGCCATTCCCTTGCTCAATTACACCTCGGTCGGTGAAACATGCTCAGGTCATTGAGACTGAACACGACAATGCGCTGGATGACTTGATGGAGTATACTGCTGTTACAAGTAAAATATCTTGATATGATGACAAGCAAAAAAGGCAAAGAGGAATATATAGATAGCAGGAAATAAGAAACAATCGTAATGAGACTTTTGTTATTGCTCCTCATGATACCTCTCTCAGAAGACTGATGAGGCTGAATCATTCACTAACCTGAATGAGCTTCTTCAACGACTCAACCGCCGCAACAGTATACTCATTCATATCCGTATTCTCCCCCTCAAGCCCATCAAACACCTCCACCGACAACCAACTCCTGAACCCAGTCTTCAGCACAGCATGCAGCATATCCTGAACGGGCAAATACCCCCCATCACACGGCAACGGCCTATAATCATGACTCCACCTCGCTCTAGGCCTACTCCCCTCTTCATCTTTCTGATCCTCGATAGGAGGATCCATCTTGTACGCATCCGAGATCTGAAGGAGATAAATCTTATCTGCTGGCACAGTGGCAGCTAGTTCTTCAAGGCTCTTGTGCCAGCGAGTTTTGCGCTCCTCATCGCTGTTTGCTTTGATGAGACCGTCCTTGGTGGTGGGATCTCCCCACTCGAGACCAGCGGTTTGGAAGGTGTCTAGGCAGAGACCGATATTAGGTCTGTTAGCCTTTTGGACGATTTGCCAGACTGTTTTCCAGGTTGGGGCGTGGGTGGCCCAGCACCAGTTTTCGTAGGCGATGCTGAAGCCTTTTTCGGCGAGAAGATCTGCTAGTTCTGCGAGATCGGAGGCCAAGTCGTCGAATGAGGATGAGATGCCTTCCGAGTCGGATGAGCCAACCTGCGAGTGATTAGTGGCTAATCCCATGAATGTAGTATCGAAGCTTACCTGTAGCAAAGTGATACCAGCAGCCTCCATAACCTTGACCCATCCACGCGCCTTTTCAAAAACCTTCTTCCTCTGGTCGTCATGTTCGCCCTTCTTCCAACCTTCGAAATTCGCAAAAGGCTGAAGCATCATAATCTTCAGGCCCAACTCATCCGTCAACGCCTTGATCTGCTTCACAACATCGGCAAGCGTATCATAGTCGTCCTCTTTTGGTTGAGATCCACTGAGAAGCTTTCCATAGTCAAGGATATCAGGCATAGAAAGCTCAATTCCGTCGAAGCCGGCTTTTCGAATGGCGCCTAGCTTGTCGGGAAGGCTGGCCCTGATCTTCATGGGGATGCTGCATGATGCGAACGAGATGGGGATCTGAGACCCTTGATATTGGATCACCATATTGAGAGTAGCTAAGAGGTGAGAGGAGTTGACAAGTGAGATTTTGTTTTGTCTAGGTTGAGATAGGATGCTTCATTGAAGTCATGGTAAAAAGGCTTCTGCCGATGGTTGACGTCATCTCAATCGTCATCATGACTTGAATTTCAGTGGACTCCAATAGTGAGAGATGGAATTAAAACATCCCCAACGTACCTAATATCACAGATAAAATAGGGAATATGCTCAAACAAGTGATTAGCACCGCGTTCCATGATATCGTTGTGCTTCTGGACGAGGTTTGCGTATTGTTTGAGTCTTGCAGCATGGAACGGGAATCAGCATATGGAAGCTCTAGAAAATATTCATCCCTATATTTCAAGAACTAAAAATACTTGTTACTAGAGTATGTGATGCGTCGGGCGCTGAGGCTGTTTTTATCTCAAGGCGTGCGTCGATCGCATTGGTTCCGAAGAGAACAGCCGTGCTGAGGCTCAAGCTATAGCCACCGACCCCTACCTACCTTACGCAGAGTTAACTTTGCCCAACTGATCTGGAAGATATGAATTTCTAATACACAAGTGCCCAAAAAAAAAAAAAAAAAAAAAAAAAAAAAAAAAAAAAGAAAAAAAAGAAAGAAAAGGACACACATTACATTACTTCAGACATCTGCCGACCAACAATTTACTTCCTTGCGCTTATCGCCAACTTTTTGCCCAATCATCGTGGTGCCTTGCCGGTACAGTTGCAGCACTAATAAACTTCATCTCGGGACGTTCGGGGCTGGCATCAATGCACGGGCAAGGTATTTAAGTGATCCGCTCTTCTCTTGTTTTCATATTTACAATTTGACTCATAACCTTTTGTGTCGTGACAAGTGTACTGTAATCATCTGGGCTAACACGACCAACATCCTTATCATGTCGCCACAGAAGCCATTTCTCGATTATCTATATTTATTGATAGTAGCTCTCCAGTTATTTGCTATGATTAGTAAGTCTAATCAGTCTCTCATGTCCATGTCCGTAACTTATGACTGGATCAGCCATCGATTTCGTTCCATTCTATCCACAGTCTCTATTACAGCCTCGTGGCTCGCCATTCCATTTTCTCGTCACATTTCGCCAGTGGTACATCACAACATTCTCAGATCCTTATTACAACATCGACATCCCCGGGCACTTCTTCGAATTCCTAGTCTATGTTGAGCTTGTCGTGCAGTTCCCTCTAGCAATCTACCTCACCCGCGCACTGTTTTCCAAACAGCGCATGTCTGGCTCTGCTGAGCTTGCGGGCGTCGTCTATGGTGCAGTGGTTGGCCTTTGCACGGCTGTAGTTTGCAATGATATGTGGTATCTGGGTCCGGAGATTATCACTCGTGAGGCCAAGCAGACTCTGCTTGGGACATATCTGCCATATGCTGTGATTCGTAAGCTTCACCATGTGAGTATCATTGAGCAACTGCTAACATCTGAGCTAGCGACCTTGATGTCATTGGATATGCAAAAGCGGTTGCTCTTCCGGCTTCATAGACTTTCTGGAATCAAGCAGGAATAGTATTTCTTACCAAGTTCTGTCTGCTGGTTTATGCTCTCAGCCATAACTCTCAACTACAAATGATACATCTGGATAACAAAGGATTTAGACAGTTAAAGAGGTGTCAGGTATTTACTGAAGATATGTAGTAGGTGGTTTATATGTGCATTCTCCCACCTATAGGTACTCAGTCTAACAACAAGGAGCAACATGGCCGTATCTAGACTATCGTTAGCATAGATCAATTTGCACCACACTCAGATGGTAGAAACCTTCATGGCTCTCGACTCTATTCCTGAGATTTGGCAACTGGAAGGCTATACTATAAAACCATCGTCCACGTTACTGCCCTACTCCGTAGCAATGTCAATACACCTAGCGGCAGGTGTTCCTTGTCCACAAGACGCAAACCTCCGTAGTCGCGGCGCAACACATCCCGATACATCTGCAGTGCCCACCGAACTTCTTTCGTTTTGCTGTCCGAATTATTTAGATTGGCGCCCAAGTCGTAGTTAAGGGTACGCGAAACATCAGAGTCCAAGTCAGGGCTAATGTCGACGGGTACAGTCTTCAACGCCACGTAAGCCTCCAACAAGGCGTTACTCGTCAACTCCCTGTGCTTTGCGTACTCTTCGATGCTGAAGAAGCTTTCGAGCTCCTCAGCCGATAGCAGATTCTTGAACGTTTCAGAGCTGACTGTTCCTGCACTTCCTGCGGCCTTGACAGCTTCGTTGATGCGGCTGTCGATACTTGCCAGAGAGTCGAAGTGTTTCTTGTATCGCTTATATCTCTCCTTTTCTGCATCGAAAAATTGTTGAATGATCGAGGTCGGAGACTTCTTTGCAATGCTGTCCCGAATCATCAGAATAGGCAAGAAGGGATTCCGTAGGCCGAGTCCTCCTAGACGTTCAGGCAAATGGACGAATGCATCGGGGACATCTACCCCAAAGCGGTCTTTTATCATGTGCTTGATGTGACTGACAGCTCCATGGCTGCTCTGTGATGAATCTGGCGCCACAGGGAATAAGAACTTCTGCATCATCTGGTAAGTCTCGAGGATGCTCTCAACGTGATGCAGACCAAAACAGTGTGCTGGTTCGCCAAAGGTATGACTAAAAAACCGTCCCATGCAGCTATTCCATGTCTGCACCCACTCCAGCACGCTAATGCATCCGTCCAACTGCTTCTTCAGCTGCCTCATATGCCCCTCTACCTCCTCACGGTCGATTTCCCAGATCCCCGACTTGGGGTCAAGAGATAAATGCCCAACTCGGACTGGACCCTCAGGCAAAGCGGTCGCAACATCGACATCTCGCTGTTTTCCCTCCTCTGTTATGTACACAGAGCCGGTTTTACCCCTGTTGAAGGTGAGGCCGAGGATTTTAGCATACTTGTTCATAGCAGCCCAAGCCCTTTTGCAGTGCAGTGGTTCGCCGCATAGCCATAGGTCGTCGTGGAGACGGTAGAGTAACATGCCATCCTGTTGATTCACTACAACATCCATAACGAAGAGAACAAGCTCGCCAAGAAGCTTCTCTGGCGCGTGAGCCATCGGCACTCCACGACGGCGGACTCTTGGACTGCCCGTCAATGGCGAGTCTGGGGAAGACTGCACGTTGAGAGGCGCTTGTAGAACCTTCTTGAAGAACAAAATGGCACTTTCGGTATAGCCAAAGAATCGCATAGTGGCAAAAATAGTTGTATGGGACAGACCCGTGGCAAACCACTCCAGGTCGGTCTGTATCAATGACACTTCGCCCTTCAAGGTTTTATGTATGGTGGCCTCTGTGGCAAGTGTTCGTAGTAGGCTCTGCTTAATGTTGGGCTTCTTGGAGGTGTCTTGCTCCTCTGTTGGATCGGTATAACCACCCGACCCAATCGTCTCGACATCTTCCGGCAGCTGTGACATGAAAAACTCGTCTACGTACTGTCTTCTTCTCTCATTAATGAGATTCGAGCCAGGAGTAACTCCTCTGGCTAAGTAATACATGCGGCGCTGCTTCTCATCACGGCTAGGATCTGGCCCAGTATTCCATCTCCAGAAGCTATACTGTGTAATAAAGCAGTCGAGAGCCGTCTTGAGAGCAACGCAACACTTTATCCCAATATAATGGATGAGAATTGCTTGCAAGACATCCTCATCCATCCATATTCTGTATTTGCCGTTCAACTGTTGCCTCGGGAGAACAGGGACTAGTGCAATAGAGTTAGGTACTTCTTCCGCAGCTAGAGGAGAATAATTCTGGAGGACTTACTGCCTTGTTCACCAGCATCCCATTCCCAACTGTCAATGTTGGAGAAACGCATATTGAGGACATCGGCAATCTCTCCCAAAACAACCGGTTTCTCAAGAAAGTCTCGAAGAATGGCCTGTTTCTGGTCGCTCAGCAAATCCTCAGCTAGTAGCCCATTAATACACCACGTGAGCGTCGTAGAATCAAATGGCGCTTTTTCGCCAAAGATTTCTTTACATGAATCACCGATTGTTTCTCTCAGTGCCTTGAGTGACTTGGCGCCCTCTTCACTCTGTTCACCTTGGAACAGCTCGTTGAGGTAGAGGTCAATCTCAACTTCATCGGTTTCGAGCGGCTCAAAGACTACTCGCTCAAACTTATCGCACAGCTCCTGCAGTCTCTCCTTTTGTTGATCCAAAACCTCGTAGGATTCTTCCTCCGAGGCCGGACGGTCGTTGAGAGAGGCAGTCATCCATTCTGTGATGAGCCGAGCGTACAGGTGGCCAAGTGCTAGTTTCCGACTTGGAACCTCTAGGTGCGACCGAAGAAGTTCTTCGTGGGCCTGCATGAACTCGCTTGGAACAGAAACATCATATTTCGACTGACTGAGCCAGTGCTTGATGTTCTTGACTGCAGGGCTTTGGAAAGCCTCAGCGTTGAAGTTCTCAACTCCCTCTAGGAGAATATTGATTCTTGAAGTTTGATCAAGTTCTATATTGGCCTGGTCCAAGACTTTATCCTTTCGTGATTCGTAAATAGTGCGCTGCTTTTCAAGTTCACTGATCTTAGTGCGGGTGATTCCTCCAAGGGTTTGCGAAAGTGCAAAAAAGGACGATGCCATATTTGCTAGTTTCTGATGTGCTGTGGTCTCCGAAAAATTGTAAAGTGTTCACTGAGCAGATATTCAGTTCAATTTAGGAAAAGTCCAAGTTATAAAAGAGGATGATAGGAAATGCATCTCGTGGGTTCTACAGCTGTGTTGCCTAATGAGTTACTAGAGCAGAAAGCGGTGTGAACTTGGGTTAGGCAACAACGCTTAGCAAGGCCAATTGGCCGGGGTGTACATTTGAGGTAGAGTGAACGGATGCACGGAGACCTACCACCATTTTGCTTATATACGTGAAACAATTAACTATTCACGACCAACATAATGTTGTGGGGTCCAGGCCCTTCGTCCGACACGGTGTGACTAGTTGGCTTGAGCGCAAGATATGTACAGATAGTGAGGGAAATAAGTGACTGTCAAATGATGAGAGGAAATAAACAAACTCTTAACTGATCTTCTAGTTGCGGATGTATTCTAGTATCTTCTCCAGAGCAATGCGATCACCTTCGATTGTCCCGCTAAGGTTCTTTGGCACCCATCCCTCCGTGTAACCACCACCAAAATCAATAAGCCAAGCATCATGATTCACGTCAATTAGGATGTTGTACGGCTTTGCATCTCCCCAAGCAATCCCAGCGTAATGTAGTTGACCAACAGCTTCCTCAATTTGTGCAGCCCATTTCTCCCTTAGTGAAACTTCGGTTCCGGGCTTCACTGCACACGACAGTGTCACACGCTTACAGTCAATATAAGTAAGTAAAAGACCGTAAATAACACCATCGCTTTTCCGCACTAGGCCGTGGAGGCGTGAAATCTTCATCTTGTTGTCAAGTTGTGCTCTGTCGATCTTCCCATATGTATCCAGCTCATTTGTGAGGAACTGCTTGTCGCCACGGCGCGCGAGCTTAAGAAATGCCATTGTCCCGTCCTTCAAAACAACTTTGTGCGGCGTATGAGAAGGCGGGCCGACCACATTCTCCTGACGAATCTGTACTTCAGATGGATCAAAGGACTTCCATGGCGCACAGAGTTCATCTGGAACAGAAATACCGAATAGAGGCTGGTATTCGGTGTCACTGTCTAGCTGTGGTATGCGCTCATCGGAGACCGTTCGAAACGTATAGACGAAAGTCTCGGGGTTGAAAAAGCCGTCCAGGGTCTGGGGTGCCGCTTGGTCTGGAGTCGGCAGTTCCCGGAAAATGGGGAACAGAGGGCCGACAATCCAATCCCAAAAGTCCTCGACAGTGACACCATCTAGTTCGAACTCTTCGGCAACTTGCAAGAAGAAGAGATAACGTTCTTTCAACTTGGGCGATTCAGAAAAGGTGTCGGCTGAGAGACGTATGACAAAGCGTTTGTTGTTGCACATAACCACCAGCTCTGAATCGGTGTCTCTATCGCTGAAAGTGAACAGGATTACACTCCATGGCGGTGCAGTTTGAAGCGGTGATAGTGCATTGTTAGACGCTTCGAATGACATATCTTGGAAACAGTGTCTCAATACGGGTTGCAGTAAATCTCAGAGATGGGGGCGGGGATTGAATTACTTATATTACTATAGGTTTTGAATAGATAGGTAACTTATTAGAGGTATATATATAGAACTATTATTAAGTTTTTTATTATTTTATAATAAAAGTATTTAAAAAAAACCTATTATAATATTTCTTTATAATTATAATAAAATAGATATATTTTATAAAATAGTTTTATTTTAAATATACTTATAATTTTATTAAAATTTAAAACTAAGTATAATATCTATTAAATTAATACTTATTTAATTAATTAAATTAAGGTAATTCCTGTCTATCTAGCTAGCTTAAAAAGAAAGATAATCAATTATATAATCTTTCTGTTTTAGGAAAACAAGGCTTATTTCTTATAAATATTACTTTAGAACTCTCTATAGGTTTAATACTATCTTTACTCAAGTAGTAAGTAGGGCGGGGTAGTGAGACACGTAGGCCAAACGAGGCGTTAATAATGGCCTCAACTGAACGCCAAGAACCGACAGTGGGGAGCTGAAAAGTCAAGATAAGCAGTCCTTTCTGCTTCACGCCTCAGTAAAGTTCTTTTAGCCCAGATCGGCACGGCCCAGTGCAGAACCTGCGGCCAATGGAAGAGCTCTACGAGCTCTATTATGTGACAAAGGATGAATTTATTGCTCACTTTCGAAAAATGATATGATTCTAGACAGGTGCTGTCGTGAGCCACGTCGCCTTCGTAACCCCGCCATGTAAGACACACCACTTCAAGTAAAGATCTGCGCCAAATCATTAGGCATGCAGGGGCTAGTAGGGAAATAAGAACAGCATACCTCAGTATCCCAGTTTACAATTTAACTGAGCTCCCCAAACTTTGGTTGCAACATTGGCCTTGACGTCTAGTCAATCAAATTCAAGCTCTTCATTAATCTCCAGTAATGTCGAACTCCAAGTGGTCAATCAGAAAAGTCGTTCGCTCACTAGTACCAACGTCAGTCCAACCAGCTAATGTCACTATTCCTGGAGAGGATTCGACTGTCGCATTAGTAGAGCAGCCTATACACGAGCCCGTTTTGACAACGCCTGGATACCATGGGCCTGCGGAACATGAAAAGCCGCTATGGGAAGAGCAACTGGACGAATCAGACTTGGATCTTGCACCCGACGACCCAATTCTTTTGTGGAACAAGGCATACAACGCGATCAAAAGGAATAACGGCGACCTTGTAACCACGTTTGAAAAGATCTTAAAAGAGGATATAATTGGAGGTATTTAACACTAGTTGTTCATTATTTGTTGTCATATGAGCTTAAATTTATTCAAAACTTAGGAGATTCCGGCGAGAACCAAGTCGGATTTTCCGACATCAATGGGCAATATCGCTTAGTGTTGATGAAACTAGCAGTGGAGAAGAGCATCCAGAAAGTAAAGACTCATGAAGCAGTTAAAGAAGGAGTCTTGACCCTATCAACTCTGGTGGTAGATTTGAAAGGGGTTGGCGATGCCATCATGTCTTCCCAGCCTCCTGCGGCGATGGCTTGGTCCGGTATCTGTGCTATTCTACCGGTAAGACAGATGTGCCTAATACAAGATTGCAATCTCAGTCCTGACAAGTCTTATAGATTCTTACACGATCTTTACTCCAAGAGCAAGCAATGGTCGAAGGTCTCAACCATGTCATCTCAAAGATGGAATGGTACCTTGGTCTCGGTAGCTACGTTGTCATGGACCAGTGGCAAGACAACCGGCAACTTTCTAAACTTAAAGCAACACTTGAGAAGAGAATTCTGAACGTATACGAGTCAATGCTAGAATATCAAATGCGGAGCGTCACACATTGCTATGACAAGCATCCGGTAATCCGCGGAGTCAAGACAATACTCGGTTCTAACGACTGGAGAACCCGTAATAAAGAATTGGAGAAGCGTGAGCGCGATGCGGAGAAAGAATTGTTGCAGTATTCAGATTGGCATGGCAATAGCATCTTTGGCAACATTGCCCGCAACACTGAGACGACTCTGGCTCACCTACGGCACCAGTTCGGGCAGACAAAGCTGGGGGAGAGAGCCACCGCTATAGGCCGGTTTAAGACGACCTGCTATGAGCAACTGATGGAGGCCATACCACCCCGAGTCCCTGGGACCTGCGAGTGGCTACGAAAACACGCAAAGTTTACCGAATGGAACCAACAGAAATTCGGGCTCCTGCTCATCAGCGCGGGCCCTGGCTGTGGAAAGTCGGTCTTGGCAAGATACCTAGTCCAAGACGTTCTTCCATTCGGCGACCCAGCTGCAACTGTTGCATACTTCTTCTTCAGCGAGAATGAGAGGAGTATCCCAAATGCTTTGAGCGCCATGATTCATCAGATTCTGTGCAGTTTAAGCAGCCTCTTTGACTCATGCATTGCCGAGGTCCAGGCTCTTGGACCGAACTTGCTTTCTGACCTTGGCTCACTCTGGAGGATGTTTGAGTTGATTGTAGGTCACCCGAACAAGAGACAGATTGTTTGCGTCTTGGATGCTTTGAATGAGTGCGGAGACGCCGAGAGAAAGAAGTTTAATCAGCTGTTGCGCAAATTTCTGTGTCGCAAATTTAGCCACCCCCCGCGAGTCAAATTTCTCATTATGACCAGAGAAGATCCGGATATTCTCGAAGACTTTCGGGGTTTCGAGTCGATGCATTCTGTCCAGCTGAGCGAAGAATCAAAGAAAAGGGATGTTGCATTCGAGGGGTGCGACGTCCCGGTTCAGCTGAGGAGTATAGATCTTCTGGAAGACATCAACGTCGTCATAGCCCATCATCTCCGGCAACTCTTGTTGACCAAGGCTATGACTCAAGATACATGGCAACTAGTTGCCTCGGCCTTGGAGCAATCTCCCTCTGAGCCAAGGACTTACCTCTGGGTGAGCAGTGTTTTTGACGTCTTGGAACAGAACTTAGATGATACAGTGAAGAAGTGGGAACAACTTGTTCAACGTCCGCCCGGGACTCTATTCCGAGCATATGAGGACATGTTAAGAGACATCTCTGAAGAGGAGAGAAGGAAAGTCACGAGGCTGTTTCGTCTCATGATTGCTGCCGAAAAGCCCATGGCCCTGCACGAATTAAACGTGGCACTGCATGTTCAGGACCGCAGGACTGTCTATCTTGAAAATGATATGGCACACCCTTCTAACAAGAGCTTCCAGAAATGGTTGGCCAGAACATGTGGGGGTTTTGTTGCTGAGTTTGATAACAGGATAATGTTCGTTCATCGCTCTGCCAAAGCGTTCCTTCTGAGCCCTGATGACAAATCTGCAAGTCGGCAAGAAATCGAAAGAGGGACGTATTTGTGGCAAGGCTCTATAACAATCGTGCAGGCCCACCGAACGGCAGCTGAAAGCTGCATTCTGTATCTCTCACTAGGTGTTCTCTCCACTGCAAAGTTTAGAGACCTGACACGAGTGTTTAACAAGGCCCTGGGAGAAGCACAAGTGATGCTCCGGGATCGTTCTTTACGTCCTGATGAGTTTTTGGATCATGCCTACGATCAATGCGAACAAGCCGTTCGAGACCAAGGCCTTTCCACTTACTCATTGTACTCGCTGCGCAATTGGGCCAGCCATTTCTATTGCGCTCAAGAATTTTGACCATAATACGTTGGTGAGAGACATCAACCCAGATCTCCATGCCACGTATTTTAGCCTGTTTGATGACACGACACCTTTCACCAGACCGTGGCTGATCATGGCTGCCCAAGTCCTAGAAGAAGACTGCGGCTATCGCCTGACAGAGCTTGAACCCGAGACTGGTCTTATAAGTTGCCACCGGTCTGTCGGCAAAGCTGCCCTGGCTTCGTTGTTCGGACATCATCGTGCCACTGAGCAGTTTCTGGAACAAGAAATGCCTTCGGAAATTGAGGCAGAGACGAGACTTGACGATTTTGTTATCGAACCGCCAAACGTTCAATATCAACCCATTTTCTTTTCAGCTACAGTGGGACATTTAATCTCTCTGCACTATATTTTGGCAAAAATGGGACCTAGTTATCAGAACGCTAGAGATCAATTGGGGCGGACACCACTTCATCAAGCAGCGAGGCTGGGGCGTTATGAATGTCTAACATCACTGGCTGATCACTTCAACATCGCGGAGGAGGATGCTCATGGCTGGACTGCGTTCGACTATCTTATGCACCGCATCAATGGGCTTCACGACCTAGAAGCTACCAGAGATACGATACGAGCTTTGATTGAAGCTCGAGGAGAGAGAAGAGATACCCGAAGCCCGAAAGGCATTAGCCTCCTATCCATCGCTGCCAAATCGCCCAACGAAACGGTCCTTGAGAAGACTTGCCGGCCTGAAATGGCGGGCGATATCGTCAATTCCCGGTTCTTCCAAATTGCCTATGAAGGGAGCCTCATCAAATTCCTAGTCGACCATGGGGAAGACGTAAATAGGCAGGAATCAATCGGCCGCTTTGCCCCTCTACATTTTGCATTATACCATAATCACATCTGGAACGCCATGTTTCTCCTCCGCGCTGGGGCCAATGTGTCTACGGAACGAAGCTGGTGACTTACTCGTGGAACTTATGCTTGCATATGGTGCTCATCCCTACCAGCGGATGCGAGGCGGACAGACGGCGTTGGAGATAGCTTATAGAGCTCAGTGGTCTGGGCTTAACAGCAGGTTCGATTCGATTGAAGCTTGGATCTTGGACACAACTATGCTGTGGGAAATAGAGTAGCATTTGGTTTTAGAAAAGGGAACACGGTTCACCCTAATGTCTTAATTAGGAGAGCTTGATTGTGCTAAATCGAACCGGACGACTCTGGCCAGTATTCGACTATAAGCTTCCGCGTGCCATTCTGGCAACATTGTATGCAACGTCGCCCTCATAGAAACATAAGAAATAACAGTTTCTTGTGCTTCTCATAACATCTGTAGATCTCCTCAACACCATAGTCACCCCTAGGATCTTGTTATAGTATGCACCCGAGAACGTAGAGTTGCCCCCAATGGCTCGTTGCCTCCACTGCTTCATAGTCTTATCCAGACCGTCAGAGTTCCATGCCATATCATTCTGTCGTGATTCCACAAGTTTCGCCGTAGCATGACAAGAATCTTCACTCTTCTCTACCCCCAGCAAGATATAAGAATCCGGATCTGGATACCTGCCGGCTTTTGCCATCAATACGGCCGCCACTCCGATATTGTCGACATCAGCTGTCAACGTGATAGTGGCCAAGAGCGATCGCGGTGTAATATCGCACCCATACAAGCCGTGAAAATCCCACCGGCCCTGAAGATGTGGCGAGCAGAAGATGGGGATGAAGGTGACCGTATTTTCGCCACTGCCTTCCAACGGGCCTTTTATCATTCTGGATCCTCTACCGGGTGCAAGCCTGTTCATGACGAGAAGGGACTCTGTTTTAAAGCTCTCAATACAAGTTCTTGATATAGTCATGGGCCGAGAAGGGTATGAGAACCGTGTTACATAGAGCAAATCACCTGCCCTACGACCCATGACCGAAAGACATGCTACTTCTGGATGCTGGAGAATGGTGTGTGCTGGCGCCGCCTGTAGCATGACGAACCAAGAGCTGGCAGTGGTGTGTGAGACCCCGAAAGCTGTAATGACCGGGAGACGAATGGACAGTCCGGCATTCGTCATTGAAAAGACTGATATCTCGTCGCTGTTGAGTTGTTCGAATTCTCCAGAGCCCGCATACACACTCGGGCACGGCGCAAGGAGACTTGCCCAGTCGTTTGGAACATCGTCAGTCCATTCCCAACAGAAGATAGTATGATCATTGCAAGTCCTGACGATTTCTTCCTGTAGTCGAAAGAATGCCCTCTTACCTTCTCCATACAACAAAGGCATATTGATATTGAATATTCCAAGCATGCAATATGCCATGTCCTCAGTGCGGGTGGTCGTTCTTTTTGACAGCCATGACATTCTATGCGCGACAGAAGCCCGATATATGCGTCCGCGTCCACTGAGGTATACCATATCAATCTTGGTGATTGATGCAATCAACTCGCCCAAAGACCCTCCCTTGTTGCCTATCTCGGTCCAATCGGCAGCATAAAACGTCAAATGCTTAGGCGCTATCAATTCCTGGAGTGTCCAGCCTCGAGTGAACCAACGACTCGCCTGAATCTGACTGTACAGGAGCTCGCTGTCTTGACTTACTGTCGGTACATCAGCAAGGTAGGCGAAGCAGATTTCAGACTTTTGATAGTACGCAAACATCGAGTTTATCGCTTCTGACAACTCGGCTGAACTGCTCTTGTCGATGCAGTTCGTATCGACCCAGAGCCACTCTAAGTTATGATTCAAAGCTTCTTTGCATGCTTTCAGGATCTTCGAATAACCGTGTTTCTGGGTGACTTGCTGACGGTTCTGCCAGTCTTGAAAGGTAACTTCTTGCTCGGCCCAAGCATGAGACAAGATCGCATAAGGTGGCGTGTTTTCGTTGAAGAACTCATGGAGTTCTAAAGTTTTGGTGTTAATTAGCCGCATCAGGGATAAATAGAATAGGAAAACCCTACTTAGAAAGATTGGATGAGATCTCAGTGTATCGGCCTCGGGGATGATGGAGAGCGGGGTAAGCTAGAGGCAGCTGAGTCTGTCTGCCTGGCAACAGTGCCTGGAAACTGTGCCTGCACGTCTGATTTGCTGGCGGTGTAATTCGCCTCACAGCCTTGTTTGTGATTTCCTGGCTCATAGTCACAACCAACAGGCCTCGGGGTGAGGAAAATCAGCAGAACGGCTTACACCAAAAATCGCTGCTCTTCCATCCAAGCCTGTCCGCTGTATTTCCTCACCCTAGTGGCTAACATATGTGCAGTATGTACGGAGAAGACAGTGGGCCGATCTACAATACTACCAGCCTCATTACCTGTAATAGATCATGAATCATATGAAGATTTCGTGGTTAAATTTACAGTTAATATTTCAGCAATTACAGTTGTAGTTGGCCACTTCTTATTGATACTAAGAGGTAAGATTAGTAGTGTTATGCAGTGAGCAGCCCAGGCCTCTCTGATTGGTCAGATTGAGCCCACTGCGTGATCTGGGGAGGGGTAGCTTGGTAAGGTCAATCTGACCGCCACCTTCGGTCAAGTAAAACAAGGTTCTTTTAGTCAAAGCTGAATTGCTCATTGTGACCAATCTACGCTCTTTACAACAGATGGCTCTAACTTGATGCTAACGCAGAGGGTCAACAATCGAATCTCAGAAGTCCTCTATAGCAATGCAAGGAGGGATTTTCGCCTCAAGATCATCTGAGACATTGCACCATCGGACCCTACTCGATGGGATCTAAGACCGTGAGCCGTTCGTTAAGGCAAGGAGATATTCTCCCTTGCAGCAATCGCGATGATCTCTAATGTTTCACCTTAAATGCTTTAATGTGATTCATGACTTTTGAGACTTTAGGAGGGTGGGATTGCCCTGCCGGTTGTAATTGTGGACGGGAAGAAATGACAGCTTGCCTTCCAGACTCCCAATACTAATACCCAGCAATTCCTCAATGATAAAACAGATCCGTGTTTGTGGCCTTGATCCATTGTGACTATTGTTTACACAACAGCTTCCCGAAGATAGCGACACCATGGATGCGCCACCAGTCATCACCATCTACAACCTCCCACCTAGCCCAGCCAGGTGGGATCGGGTCGGAACATTCTACATTATCTTCTGCGTTGTTTGGACACTCCTGGTTCTTGCTGGTATGACATTCTGCTGGTGCAACCGCAACAACCCACTACTCAGACTCCGTGGTCTCGCTCTTTCATTCTCCGCGATTGTTCTCCTTCACCTCTATTGGATCCTCGGTCAGATCGTGTACCCAGTCGGACCTACCATACCTATAGTTCTGGCATACGACATACAATACTTCTTCATGGGAATCTGGTTCCCTCTCGGCATTGCTCTTTTCCACGCATCCAATAGTCGCCTTCTTCAGGTAGCTAAGCTGCAGAAGAAGTATAGCAGTGCCAACTTGAGAGACCAGTTCAATTCGTCACAGCCTTACAATTCTTGGTTATGTCGGTTTCAATGCTTGGAACGTACCAGAAAGGTGTTGGTTCTTACAGGGATCGGTATGGTCGTCCAGGTCAGTTGTCCTTGCTTTACCATAGTGGACATGGTGATATGCTGACTGAGATGCGTAGGTCATCCTGACAGTTAGCATGTGGTCAGCATGTCGCAAATACCATCCTACCTATGGTATCCCGGGCACCGAGATCAAGAGTCAGACACTTCCAGAGCAAATAATTGAGTTGGGCCGGGGCTGGGAGTGGTGGCCATCTGTACTCTGGCAGGTAGTCTGGACATGGATGGTAAGAACTCGTCAAGCTAACACCATTTCCCTGGTTAACTATTCTTTTGTCAGGTTGCACCCTTTCTGATCTGGAGGACATGGCATATCCGCGATACTATGGGTTGGCGAACACAAACGATCGGCTGTTGCCTCTCCAGGTTAGTACTTGGCCATTCGTACAATACACTCCATTCGAGTCACTTTACCAACAGTAATCAACAGTCTACACGCAACTCCCATGTTCTTGATTGCAAGTTATGTACCCCAGTTTGCGCCTGTGAACTTTTACTTCCCTCCCAGTTCATGGTAAGTCCTCAAGTGCCCATACGATCAATTACTCACCAAGTCTAGGATCCACGTCTCAATTTTTCTTATCGAGATCTTTGCTGTTTTCGTCCCTGCCTTCCAAGTCATCAAGCAACGTATCCTCGTCAAGCGCGTCGAAAGTCTGAATATCGAGTGGTACTCCACATCCTCAACGTCCACGCTTCGAGAACTCGATGATCTACGAAGAGGTTCCTCAGTAGCTACTCGTCTCGGCGACAAGGGAGGATATGAATCCTCAGAACAAGAGATGAAAGATACCCTTCTGACCATCAGCGCTTTCAACTACACCCTCAACAGCAATCCTGGACCCCTGCAAGACTTCTCAGCTCTGAACGACTTTTCGGGAGAGAACATTTCTTTCTTGACTGAGGTTACCAGATGGAAGATCTCGTGGCGTGCCGAACCAGACGAGGCAGATGTTCGTGATGCGTATAATGCTGCACTGGATATTTACGCCAACTTTATCAGTCCTTGTGATGCTGAGTTTCCACTGAATCTTGGATCAGCAGATCTCAAGTACATGGGAAAGATGTTCGAAGCAGCTGCACGAGAGACATTTGGACAAGCGAACGTGTATCCAGCTATACCGTTTGAAACCACGACGTCTCTTGAGTCAGCACCTGCTTCAGCCCTGGCGAGACCTATCTATGCTGGGATTATCCCTGCCGAGTTCGGACCTGGCGTTTTCGATGCCATTGAGCAACATATCAAGTATCTGGTTTTGACGAACACATGGCCAAAGTTTGTCAAGGAAATGCAGTCACGGAGGCGATCTGGGGAGACAACACGGAGTGGTTATTCGGCTTCGTCTGAGGCATCTATGGTCAGTCGACTTTCAGACAAAATGTCAAAACTCTTCTATCATATTGGTTGATAAGGACCTTGACCTTTATATACATATCTTTAATCGTTAATCTTCATCACTTGATGATCAACAATGGTAATCATGCTTCAATTGAGAGTCTTTTATGTAATGATTGTATTCCTTGTTGACTACGCGGAGTAGTAGCTTAGCTAGACAGTGGACTTGGGAGGTAGAGACACTATATGCATAGCCAGACCAGATTCTACCAAGTACTAGTATAAGAAAGCTTGAAGCACCATACATACTTATCGCCATTGATTGCTTCATCAGGGATTTGCAGGACCAATCCAGACGAGGTACGTTGCGTTGGGATGACAGTACCATTCGCCGTTCCGCCGAGGGCAGTGATGGTATCTCCTGGCAACCAGGGGACAGGGTCCGAGATAGTGAGCGTCGAGGACGGCTTAGTGAGGCAAAAGATGTAGAAAGCGTCCTTGGTCGTAGTGTAGCGAAGATTTCCGGTTCCAGGGGTTGGGCTCCAGAAGCGTGTGTCGTAAATAGCCTCGCCGTGGGGGATAATCCAGCTGCCGGCGTCTTTCAGACCGTTCTGCATGATCTGAGGGATGCTGCCATTGTGTGTTGGACCGATATCAAGCAAGAAATTGCCATTTTTGCTGACCGTGTCAACTAGAGTCTGGACAATGTCATTGCCGTTGAGGTATTGATCATCAGGCGTCTGATAGTTGTAACCGAAGGAAAAGGGATCCATGCCGCGGTTGGTCTCCCACTTGGCCACTACGGTATCGCCATTTGTCCGGTATCTGATAGATCATGCCCACGTTAGGAAACGTCAAATTAGTTCAGCTTCGAGAATTGAAACTTACTCAGGTGTACTAAAGTCTCCGTTGAGGCCGCAGCGAGAATTAAAAGTGATTTGTCGTCCTTGTGTACGCGCCCAGTTCAACCACTCGGAAACAAAAATAGTTGAATTATTCGGACCACCGATATCGCACCACATTATCTCCGTATTGTAGTTATACGCTAGTTCCTTCATCTGAGGCAACTGGATGTCTTTGACAAAGTCATCGACTGGGACGTACCCGGTGTACTCGACAGTTGCACCAGTGTATGGGTTAGTGTCGTTGGCGCCGAAGCAGCCGCCGCCCCAAGTGGAATCTGAGTTTCTATACTGATAGTAAGCTGGGTTGAACCATTCAGGCATGCTGAAATAAGTGCCGCGTCGAATGTGTGGTTGGTACTGGGCTGCAGCGTCCAAAAGAGCACCAGTCAGATCTCGCTTTGGACCGTAATGCATAGACGACCGCTTGCTAATTTTATCCGACGTGTCGAAGAGCGCGAAGCCTTCGTGATGTTCTTTCTGTAGTGTCAGCTTGAAAGAATAGGCTGCTAGATGGCTGATGCCACTTACTCGTCACAGGAACCATGTAGCGAGCACCAGCTGCCGCGAAGAGATCGACCCACTCCTTTGGATCATAGCCAGCATCCGAGAAGTTGGACATGAACTGATCATAATTGAAGTTCTTGCCGTAGGTCGCCTCATGGTACTGGTATGTCTTCGTTCTGTAGTTAGGATCATGCATACGACACCCATACCATTCCGCGTAGTCTTCGTTTGGCTGGACAGAACCATATGCAGGAACAGAGTAAATTCCCCAGTGAATAAATATTCCAAACTTGGCATTGTTGTACCATTCTGGAGACCAGTGAAAGTCAATACTGTTTTCATTGGCTTGATAGTCTGGGATGCCGCAGGTTCCCGTAAACGCCTTCGTGGTGCTTTTTGCACCGTAAGCCTGCCCGTATGTAGCTACAACAGAGCCTGAGCATTGAGAACCGCGAGTAACTCCTGGTTTATTCTTGACACCAATCTGAACAATAGCAGCTTGGCTTGGGGCCAAGCGGGTGAGCGTAGCAGCTTGTACAAGCTCCAAGCTATCCGAAGTGAGAGTGACATTGAGAGTGTCCGCCAAGGTTAGGTAATTGGTGGAATGAGAGTTGTATATACCCAATTCCAGGACTTGTACAAAGTCGCTGTCCTCAAACCATTTTGAAGTGAGGACTGGGTTTTGTATCTCGAGCGTTGGAGCATAGCCACCTTCAGAGCGTGTTAGTACCGTGTGCTCTGTAGTCAGATGATCTGTTTCAAGAACGGACTTACGGGCGGAGCGTTTGTCGAGATGGCCAACGGTGTTCTCAAAAGCCTGGATTGATGCAGATGCAACACCGAATACGGCAAAAAGAACGTTCAGAGTACGATGCATCGTGAACACTTGGCCTGAAAAGGCAAGTCACGGTAAGGCAAGAGACAAATATGATAGCGATGCTGAGAAAGGACAACCGATTGAGAGACTGAGTGTTCTGTGCTGATTTGATCAAGAGACTGCAACACCATACATCTATTTATATAGAAAGACTTGACTAGAGAGCTTCTAACCGTTCAGCTATGATCTCTCTTTTCAATGAAGCTCAGTCGGTAAATAGCAAGGCAAACACAACAAAAAGCCGACGGCAAATTAATACAAGTCCAGGGGGTCAGTCATGCGCTATGGCTTTCTTCTTTACGCGTGCTTAAGCCGTAGCAGTAAAATATCACTTGCAAATCTCTCCCTGAAGGAGACAAACTTGGAAATTATCCTATTGGGCTAATAGTAGCAGTTCCAAGACAATGTAATGAAGGATCACTGTGATTGGGGCGTATTTATACCTTCGTACTACCCCGCACCCGTAAAGAGATCGTGGGGTTAGAGATTAACTAGCGCACTAATAAAGAATTCCCCTGAGTTTGCACCTACGTCTTGGGGCGGGTGCTTTGACAAAAATCGGCAATTCGATGCCGTTCCTTGCAGGAAATTGAGTCGATATGATCATGCACTCGTCCAGAACTGGGAAGGCTGTTTTTGCCCCTGTACGACGATCGACCTGTATCGATATGGCCTACGACCTCCCTATCCAGACGACATGTTCTGGAGAGTTGCTAAGTCGCACAAATTCGACGGGGATATAGACCATTTCCGCAATACCTCAATGCATCTATCTTTCACCAACTGGGAGCAACCGTTAGAGGTTTTTAGTTCCAGGGGCAGTCATGACGTGCAGATGGCTCTTATGGAATGTGTCATATCGATTCGAGAAGGAGGGAAATGGATTGGCCATGTTGATGTTATTCCTGCGCTAAATGGCTCAGCGATCTATCGGCTAGGGTCTCGCAACCTCTGCGATCACCTGGAATCTGGGGCACCAGATGCTTACATGACGTCCATAAAAAGCTAGGATGAACTAATGTGCTGCATGTGGTGGTACGAGGCAATGAAAATTGGCTAGCTCTAGTTATGGTACATAAACTGCAGATCTCATCGTTTGTACTCTGTAGAGGTCAATTTGAGTCAATTCATGCTAATCTCTCTTTGATCAGACCAAGTCACGTGCCGTCTGTAGCTTAGATCCGATCGGTTTAGTCACTTCTGATTCGTTATCTCAACCTCCTTCTTCCCCTGCTTTATGATGCGTAAATACATGAGCAAGCGGCAAAGACCCTGCGACTTCTGCCGATCTCGCAAGACCGCGTGTCGAATTGAGTCTTCGCCTCCGTGTCGACTTTGTCAGCAATACGGGCGAGAATGCACTTTCGTAGAGGCTGCCCGACCTCGGAAGAGGCAGCAAACGTCCGAGACCAGCCCTGGATGTCACGATGCGGAGAATCCAATTGGACCATCAAGTGATGTTGTGGAAGAAACTTTGGCGGCATTTAATCAAAACGAGATTTCACCCCCAGAAGCGGACACTTTTCCTGATGTCAACATGGACTTCCTTCAAGATCTTGACATAGACGGTTCTGAGTATCAGTTCATGTTTCAAACACCAGATAACAACGCGCTATCTACAGTGGCTGGATCAGTGGATGGATCATACAGCAATACCTATCCGTTGCTTGATGGACATGAGAATCTCCACCCAGAAACGCTTGGGCTCAGTGGAGATATGGATCCTTATCTTCTCCAACGATACCAATCAGATGAGCACGGCACATTCAAGTTCAAACAGCTTGCAATACGATCAGTGAACAGCAACACACCTGTTCAGTTTCTCATCTCGCAACCATCGCTGTTTACTCAAAGTCGCAAAGAGGTCGGACACACTGGCGCGTTAATATCGTCACAAAGAGCGGAGCTTGAGAAGGCGGTCTCCCCAAATATGGGCAAGCGATTGATAAGCCTTTACAACAGATTCATCGCGCCGCATTACCCAGTATTCTCAACGGAGTCCCCTCATAACCCGGCAACGAGTGCGCCTTGTCTGCTGGCAGCTATCTACTCAATCGCCCTCCCCTTCGCCATGTACGACGACCAACTCTGCATCGATATGGCCTATGACTCACCTGATGCTGAAGACCTAGCCCATCTCATTAATACAGCTGTTGCTTTCGACATTCACTCGCCAAATATCGCCACCGTCCAGACTCTATTCCTCCTAATCACTCGACCTTCTTCAAACCCTCTTGTGTCAGATGCATCGTATCGATGGACAACCATGGGGACGCTGGTATCAGCAGCTACAAATATCGGCCTTCATCTTGATCCCTCCCTTTGGAATGTTCCGCCGGCTCAAATAGCTGCTAGACGCAGACTGTCCTTTTTCGTCTTCGCGATGGATCAGTGGTTAGCAGCCGCTTTGGGAAGGCCACCTCATATTAGTCGTGCTAACTGGCTCATTGATGAATTATCAACTCAAGATGAGCTTTCATCTGGCCTTGATGCATCGCAGTGGGCCAATATAATGGCCTTCTCAGCTCTCACATCCTGTCTCACTAATACTCTTGACAGGCTTTAGTAAGTCTTGAAGTTTCCTGCTACCAAGTTTTGTTGTTTGGGGCTGACATCTCCAAGTTCTCTTCGATCATTCAGTCAAATCCACAGGCCAGAAGAGCTTCAAACAACCGTGCTTGAGCTTTCAGGATCTTTGGGACGAATAAAACCCGACTGGATAAGCTCAACAGATCCCAATAACGACAACTCGGTGCCTGGAATGGCCATCAAGCTTGGCTACTATTACACACAACTACTGATCCTACGCGTGGCCGTGCACACCCAGAATTCTCACCTTTCAGCAACCAGCACTTCAGATCAATGGTCCCCACGCGATATCCTGAAGACAGTTCTAGAACAATATTCTGACTTTCTCAAAACTCTCAAAAGCGACGAAACAGCAGAACATTGGCCTCCTTGGTGCCAAAGTGCCTTCTCGTCGCTTTGCTTCGCCATGTTATTCATGTTTGTCTCAGCCACTACCTACGAAGAAGCTCTTTCGTCCATGGAGCTTCTTCAAACGACACGGAAGCAAATGCGTCTTAAGGCCAATGCATTTGTAGTTATGCGATTAGGCCTATTGAGGATGGATGCCATATTTTGGCGAGGCGTCGACCAAGTTCTCAAATTGGACCCGCATGTGAAGCTTGCGTTGGACGCATCAAAGCAGGGAACATAGAACTATACATCTATATAATGCAGCTTACAATAGTGACTTGGTGGGAAGGGTGCTCAGAATATCCTCGATGCTCTTGACGGCATCCAATGCCATACCATAGCCAGCTTGAAAGCCAGTGCCACCAGCACCGTAATTATGCACAATCACACGTCTCTGCCCATTGACGGGGATCTCATCGCGTTCGATCCTTGCACCGCCTTCGCGAGATGGTCGCATGCCTGCAAATGCAGCCAAAACCTCGGGTTCCTTCTGCTGCAGCTCTTTGCTTAGCTCTGTTGTTCTCTGGAGAATGGAGTCGCTCTCGGACGAATATGTTGCGCTATCACTATAGTTTGATCAGTAATCGTTCAGACCCTAGGATAGGGACACCTACTCGTTGCCCTTCTGCATATATCCTCCCAAAATGACATTTCCATTTGATCCAGGTCTCGGAATGACATATGTTTCATAGTCCTTGCCGTGGCGCATGACGTTAGTGCTGACATGAGATGCTCTCACGAGGAGAACTTGGCCACGAGTTGGATAGCACTTTTCGTCTTGTACGCCTGCTAGTGTCTTTGCTGCGTTACCTGTGCAGTTAAAAACGACCTTCGTAGCCGGATTATTATACGCCTCATGAATGCTTCCGAGCTTTCGTCGGATGAACCGCACGCCGAACTCTTCTCTTAGTCTGTTATACAGATACAGGCAGTGCGCTGGCGCGTTGACAGTCAAAGTTGTGAACGCGCAGCCAAACTTGACGCCTTCAGGAAGCTCTTGGGTAGATAAGGCTCGAAACTACAAAACGTCAGCCACTCTCAAAGTCGCCGCTGATGTGTGGCGCTAGTATGGACTCACATCATCGAGATAGTCGGCCATGGCCTTGATCTTATCATGGGGGACGTTATCGTCCCAGAACTCAATTGACGGTGTCCTCTTAACGAAAGACTTGACAGAGTCTTTTGCGGCTAGCTTCTTCAAGTGCGCGTAGCCGTGGCGATCCCATTTTATCGCATTGGCATCCGTGCCAGAAATGGCGGAAAAGTTGCAACCGGCCCTGATCTGTCAGTGCCAATTTATGATCGAAGCATGCGTAAGGCTTACCAGGGAGACGTGTATGATGGCGAAGTATCGCCGGGGAGGTATTCGGCTATGACTGTGATGTTTTTTCCGTAACCTTGCTGGGAGAGAACGAGAGCGACGTCGAGGCCAATGATTCCCGCCCTTGGATCCTCGTCAGTTAGAGCTGGAAGCGTATGAGAGGGCAACTCACCCGACGATGACAATGCTATCAGACGCCATTCTTATCTTGAGGTATATAATTGAGAAATGAATCCAGTTGAAACCTTGATTAGATAGAAGAATTAACTTCCGGATGATGGGTCATCGGGATTTATCTTGGATTCCTCAATCTTTTCACGATGCCGACTAACAACCGCGGACAAGTCCGATTTCGCCTAGTCTCGGCCAACCCTTGTCCATGGACCATCTCCATCGGCGTCGAATATGATTGGTGGCGTTCGCTTCGTTGGCCGCGGGAAATATCCCCACGGAAAGATTGTTGAAACTAGAGATATGAATCGTACGATGACTCAATAACTACCAACGGCGACTGGCGAAATTTATGAGATTTACATGAGTCACTCTTCGATCGTCAGGAGGCGAAAACATCTAGGACCTTTGCGCTGTAGGGTAGTCGATCGCACCGGGGCCCAAGAAAATAAGTATCTAATTCAGAGTCCTTCAAACATCAACGGTTTACAAATCGTTCACAACATAATGTTCGACATATTTCGTCATCTATCAACTTATCTCATGGACACTTCTTAAGAGCTCGGCCGTATCCTCAATAAACTCCTGAGCCTTGGCCAGTCCCCGTTCAGGATGGTTGTAATGCGCAAATGCATGAGGACAACCGACATAGCGCTTTACCGTAACCACGTTCCCGCCGTCCTTTAACAATTGCCCATAGTACTCCCCTTCATCTCTTTCCAGGTCAAACTCCGCAGTGACAATATGCGCCCGGGGAAGGTTCTTGAAGCTTGGAGCGATGACTGGAGTGAGGATCCACTCATTGTTCAACTTTTCCTCAAGCTCATCTGTTGAATCTCGTCAATGACATTTTCTCTTGGATACAGAATGATTATGCTTACCAGCGTCCTCGCTGACGAAATATTTCAAGAACCATTGCTCTCGCCCTAGAGGTCCCCATGGAACGTCTTTTAGTTGTAAAACACTCTCGTAAGGACAATTCTTTTCCGTGAATTGTTTTATCTTGGAGCTGCAGTAGCGCATGTCTGTGGCTGGGACAATCAAGAGCTGCAACTTGATGTCGATGCCCTCGTCGCGGGCAAAGTGACCTAGAACAGCAGTCATGTGACCACCTGCCGAAAGACCACCGAAAGAGATACTTTTCGGGTTAATGTTAAGTTCAGTCGCGTTATTCATGGCCTGGCTACAGTTAGAACAGTTCTTCATAAGAGACGGGCTGGTGTTACCCATTTAACAGCATCCCAGCAGTCATAAATGGATGTTGGATACTTGTACTCCGGGCCCATGCGATAATCGACATCGATGACTTTGATGGAAGCCTTGTTGCACATGTGTCGACACCATGCCGCTTCAGATTGAAGACCTCCGAGCACCCAACCTCCACCATGGAAATTCAGATGCACGGGAAACGGCCCAGGTCCTGCTGGAGTATAGATCCTCACAGTGATCAAGCCTTCCGGTTTTGTCACTTGGATTTGTCTATCCTCAACATGAAAGACTTCTGGACCTTTGTATGTCGGATATGTGAAACTGTACTTTGCTGGGTTAAGACGGTATTCTTCAATGCTGACTTCATCTGCTCGAATCATGGAACTGCCATGAGTGTTCCATAATTTCCGCCATTCGGGATCGAGACCTGGGTATTCATCTGGTCGTATTTCCAAACGCTTGAGGCTTGGAAATGAGGCTGTTACCTCCTCGGTCGCAGTCGTAGTATAAGACATGACCAAGATAACAAAGATAATAGTAGAAAATTGATTTGATCACCAGATAAAACGCCATCTTTCAAGAATACTTATTCTATCTCCAATTAAACCGCCTCCAACATCGGCGTCACTTCTGATTGGCGGCGTTCTCAACGCCGATCAACCACGCTATCTTGAGAGATAGCGCCAGATAGGCCGTCAAACGCCGCCTATCAGAGCCCACAGTGGTGACCCCGCGTTATCTACCAGCAGGGTTCCCAGCAGAATAGGTCTGCCGGTCCGGGGTAAGTTTCTCCAAGAGTCCAACTCATGATGTTTATAAACGAGCACGTCGCATCTTGAGAAACGAAGAGCCCACCATCATACGACAGTCGAATCATTTATTTGTTATCTTGACTGAGTTTGAGAATATGGCGACTCAAGTGAACATGGAGAAGAAGATTGAGAGCAATGCTGGTGATGTGAAGAGCATTGCCGGACGGGAGGAGCAGTGGCGAGGTTTGAGGAGGGTTCCCGATAAGTTGCCCAAGATTGCATTGCTGATCTTGGCCGTCGAGGTAAGAACCTGGTGCTTCTGAGAATTTGAAGACGGGGAGTTAGATTGACTGACGACATGCAGCTCGGTGAGCGATTTACCTACTTTGGTCTCTCTGGACCAATCCAAAATTACATCAAGTTTGTCACCATCATGACAATTCACCTTTTGCGATACTAACAGTGCTAAGCAACCCATACGACCCCGACTCCGACCTTCCAGGTGCCCTTGGAAAGGGCCAGGCTGTTGCAACAGCCCTCGGCAACTTCTTCAAGTTCTGGGCCTACGCTTCAACAGTCATTGGTGCTATCGTCGCCGGTATGCCTCAAACAACCTCACTCAATTCCCATGTCTAACCGAATTTATTTAGACCAGTATCTCGGCAAGTTTAGAGCCATCTGCTGCGCATGCGTCATCTATGTGATCGGTCTCGTCATCCTCGTTTCGACTTCGACACCTACAGCCCTCCTTCACAATGCTGGCCTTGGGGGTCTCATCGCAGCCATGATCACGATTGGCCTCGGGACTGGAGGAATTAAGGCCAATGTTACGCCTATGTGTGCTGAGCAATATCAGCATTCGCAGCCCGTTCTCAAGACTCTCAAGTCAGGCGAGGAGGTCATTGTTGACCCAGAGCTCACTGTGCAGAGACTCTTCATGTGGTAAGACATGTTCTCTCAGTCTGGGCAATGCAGCCGCTAATAAACGTCAAGGTTTTACTGGGTCGTCAACATTGGAGCTCTTTCACCGCTTATCACAGTCAACGTCGAAGCTCACCATTCGTTCTGGCTGGCGTACTTGGTCCCATTGATGTGAGTCCTATCTTCCTTGCCTGATATCCACATCGGCAGCTGCTAACAACTTTCAACAGTGCCATCCTCATATCAGCCGCTGTATTTATCTCTGGTCGAAACAAGTACATCCGTGTTCCTCCATTTGGCTCAGCTATTCTCGATGCATGCCGCACAACCAGCATCGCTATCAAGGAGAAGGGCTTCGATAATGCACGGCCATCAGTCCTTAGAGCAACAGGCCGCAATGAAAAGTACCCATTGGCTAGTCAAGATAGATATACTGATGAGTATGTCGGAGATGTCCAGCGAGGACTCAAGAGCTGCAAGGTATGTGGCCTTTCTCATGACTTTCAAGATGAATACTTACGGCTATGATTAGATGTTCTTATTCTTCCCATTTTACTTCATCTGCTGGAATCAGATGTGGAATAACCTCATCTCCCAAGCTGGTACCATGGCACTTCACGGAACGCCCAATGATCTTCTGCAGAACCTAGACCCCATCGCTCTTTGCTTCTTCATTCCTTTCCTCGACTGTAAGTTCTCTCCAGACATCCCAAAACCTACTATCCTAACATAGTCTTTTAGTGATTGTATATCCCTTACTGCGAAAGTACAGAATCAACTTTGACCCGGTGACCCGCATTTTCATGGGTTTCATGTTCGCCTCAATCTCAATGGCATACGCATGCGTTCTTCAATATTACATCTACAAGTCACCACCAAACAGTATCCACGTTTGGATCCAAGCACCATCGTATATCCTCGTCGCTCTGTCCGAAGCCTTTGTTATCATCACGGGTCTCGAACTCGCCTTTACTCAAGCCCCTAAGAAGTAAGCCTCCAATTTTCTCGTACGTGATGTGTGTACTGACAAGGCATTTTAGTCTCCGATCTGTCATCTCAGCCCTGTTCTGGCTGACCATCGCCGTTGCTGCTGCGATCTGCATTGCCCTCGGCGCAGTTTCTCAAGACCCATACCTCGTGTGGATGTATGGAGCTGTAGGAATTTCAGGATTTATTGCTGGCTGTGCATTTTACGCTTGTTTCTATAAAGGGCGGAAACAACACCTTTCCCGAGATGAGATTGTTATCGAAGGCAGTTTAGGGAACTAGAATTTATAAAGGTCTATAGATAAATACCTTAGACTAATATCTACGTTTTAATTAGATTATTGTTTTGAGAATAGATAGTGTTTTATACTATAAATAAGAAACTTTTAATCTCCTGTTTTGTTATAGGATGAGAACATGAGCAATTTATCTGCGGTTTGATTTCCTATGCGACTCGGCTAAAATTTCGCAAGAAGATTTCCTTCATCATACAGAACTACTGTATCCGGAGGAGACGAAACCTGGGTTATTTTGATTGCTTCAATAGACCGCGTGATGAAAGGACCATCGCTCCCAGAGCTCCTAATACAATGTCCCTTTGACTGCAACCTATGAAGCACCTCTCGTGTAAGTTGGCGTATGTGTGGCATGCAAGACACCAGGATTCCTACACAGAGCTCGATGTAAGACCAAAAAATGACATCGTTTCCAGTTTGGGCTAAAATCATATGTCAGTTCATAAAAGCATGAAATGGTTAGTTTGTTCTCACTTGACTTGCTGATATCGGTCATGAACTCCGCCATTTTATATAGCTTGAGAGCATAAACAATAGTCAAGCTGAATACGACACGTTAGTGGCTTCTACCGAGTTGCCAAGTTATCTTTACTCACAATATGCCAACACTAAACATTGCTATCACCCCTAGCTTCTTACGGATCTTAAGTCCCAATTTGTATAGCTGAGAAATCGGTAAGATAAGCATCCAGATATCCAGGGCTAGATTCAGACAAGCCTGCACCAGCGATGGCCACGATATATAATGCATACCCTCGCCGATCGTCTTGTCTTCCCACGCTTTCCATATCCCCAAGAACACGGGAGCTTGTATCAAAGTGAGCACTATAAAGGCCAGTCCAAACAGGGCATTGCATGCCACGGTCCACTTGACCACTCTCCGAAAGGTTTGGTCCGGAAAGATCTGAAGGTACAGAAGTAAAATGGAGGCCTTGATACATGTCAGGGCAATGTGATAGAGTAGTGCAAAAGCAAAAAAGTACTGAGCCTTATTAGAATAACCAACTAAGAACCGAAGCGTGGTACTTACTCTGAAGAATGTTGCTACTTGGCGATGCGAAAGGTTTTCAAACTCTTTGCCTAAACCCTGTTCTAGCACTGTCGATAACAGGTTAGTAAGGTACTACAATAGCCTCTGTGTCCACTAACTCAATTGATAGAACACGCAAATAGGACTCAAGATGGCCTGGCAAAAATCAGTAAGAATTCTTGCCTAGTGAGATACATTGCCCTTGCCGCTGATACTGAAATAAGTGTATCATCTATGCCCCAATAAGTCGGCCCAAAGATTTTGCATATGAGTCGCAGGACGAAAAAGACAACGGCAAGCGTCGTCATGGTTATGCCAGTGACTTGGAACTCGAAGTATTGGTCCATCGGACGAACACCACATGCCTCTTTGGAAATCCGAGTAAACTCTGGTATTGATGTTAACAGGCTGTAGCTCATGAAATGTTGGCGGAATGTGAAGTCGTTTACCCATCGTTTCACCAAAAAGACATCGTTTTGCCACGCAATCCCCCAATACCCTGGTAAATGCTTTGTCGTGGCATAGTTCGTCTTGAGTTTTGTGCGAAAACGCCGGGTCGCTGAAGCTCTCGAGTGCGCATTTGACCTGAAGCTATCCGTTAACGACAGATAGAGAGAAGAAAGAGGGAGAAGATGAACTGACACCACATTCGGGTGCATCGCTTATCGACCCACTTGACTGAGCGAAAGCACCACAGAATATATAAACACAGACATAGAGAGAAAGAAGACCGGGCATGCGACGAGCCTTGGACATTTCGGCAGATGTTGACTTGCTTACACGAAGTTCCAGTCGCAAAAAGGGAAACAACAGAGAGGAAGAAAGACCGGGACTACATTCCTAGTTATAACATCTTGCAGTTCGTAAGAGATGCTCCGAATGATAACGCCATGGCTTCGTATAGTAAGCCATCGAAAGCCGGAATTGGTAACGCGCCAGGAGTCAAGATATGATTCGTGTCTTAATGGCCGATGGGAAATGTTTCGATCAATCATAAGGCTGTACAGAAAAGCCTATCTTTACGAATACTCTCTAGTGTGTACCGAACCGGCCAATTTATAGAGATAGAGGCGTAGGAATCAGCCATACCATTCCGGTCAACAGAGGCGTGCAGGTCACACAGCGCCCGCAAGACGGTCAGACAGACTTGACACCTGTCACAGGAGGTCTCGAAGTACTGAAATATCATGTTATGGCTCAATAAATAGCTTACGAAACACGGCGCGTTGACATGGAGAACCGTTTTATCAGATTAAGCCGTGCAAATTAGCTCAGAATACCTAGCTCCAACGCTTGACTTGTGTGCTGCTACGATGTGCTTTGGAAGAATGTACCTGAATGGTATCATCTGTTTCAAAGTACCGCTGATCGTTTACAGTGGCCCATAGCGGTTTAAAGTGATATAAACCAAGGAGAGGTACTTGTTAACAGTCTGAAGCTATCACGTGCTAAGGATCGTCGGTACTCGGTTGTTTTCGACATGATCTTCAGGCCAGACTGGGGTCTGACAATCGCCGGCTCCGACGTGAGGAACACTGGCAAGCGCTGCGGAGGGTTCTTAACAAGTTGCCCAAGCAGAGCAGCGAACCGTCGGTGATGCAAATGTGACCTTACTTTATGACCTGGAAAACATAAAGGTTCCGGTCAAGTTAGCAAGCAATCGCAAAACACTCATCAGAGCTAATAAAATCGGTTCTGTATCCACCTCTGCAGATATTTTTAGAACGAATGCCAGCCCACTTTCAGTATGAATCTGCCAGAAAACCCTCAATCTGCATAAAAACCCGATTTTGTAAAGTGAAAGCGGATCCCAGCGTCAGACGCATTCTGACGTTTCTAAGAGCCATTTACTATATCTGACTGTAGATCACGATAGACGGATCGAAACCCCTGCTTCCGTTCCCGTGAATCTCGCGTTATATGACGCATGCCAAGGGACCCATCAGTGAGATTTCACGAAGCTGAACGAATCACAAGGCTTTTGTTCCTAGCTGAGCCTCGCTTCGATCCACTAAAGGTGCCGAAATTGGCTATTAGACAGCGAGATACTTGGCTTCCGCTGCATATCCTCCGTGCACCTGACACTATGAGAATGGATCCTAAGTCGCTCGTGATGTAATGTAATGAATCTATGGACTAGCTTCTGATTATGAAAAGGAATCGAGATGCTACGCACCACTATAAATGCGGCTCTTTGTCTTAAAAGTATCCAGACTCATCAACTCACATCACTAAGCTTCCTTCAAATCATCCTTCACATCTCACGCCTCGAATAAATCCATCACCATGCACTCAGCCTGGGTAGGCTTTTCATAGATCTCGAGTAGTCCTCAGCTGACAACCATAGACTCTCGTTACCCTCATCCTCGCTTCCTCGGCTCCAACCGTCTTGGGCGGCAAGTGTAATGCTCCACGCGAAGCGGGCGAAAACAACAACTGCCTGGGAGGTTCTTACAACGACTGCGTAGCGAGGAACAACCAGCTATGCACGGGCGAATGCTCTGGCCAGCCTGCTGGTGGAGCTGGTGCTCCATGCTACACTGGCTGCACCACTAGGAACCAGCAGTACTGCGCTGGCTACTGCATGAAGATCAGCAACTGTGATGACTGCATCAAGAGTCTCAAGGCAATGGGCGCTGCGGAATCTGATGAGCAACACAAGGAGACTTGTAGCCAGGAAGGTAAGAGGTGTCCGAGGGCCTGTAAAGAGTTTCTGTTTGCTAACGAGTGTGTAGGTGACTCGTACTACTGTAACTGTGACTCTTAGTCATCGCAATCCTGGTAGATTGGGTTTCACGATACCTGGTCATGTGGTACTTACATGCTCCTATCGAGTAGATTTAAGTTAGGTTTAGAGTGGAAGCTAATATGAGGATCCGTGAATGGTGAACAGATGCACGAACTAAGTTCATTGTGCTGTATATATACTCTCGGCTACAAATCCTAACAGCAAATGATGGATCTATTTGACGATTTAGACATTATGTCAGAATGCGACCAATTGCTGCAGAACAAATATACATAGAGAGTTTGTTATGATACTCTACCAATTAGAGCTATGATCCTGGCACCATAAAATTATGTTTAGCTTTCAATGTCTGCACACGCTGAATATTATTTCTAAGGCCAAACCCCTTCAGAGTGAGTCAACAAGCAAAGTCTCCTGGGAACGAAAATTTTTTGCGACCTTCTAACCCCTTGTGATCTCCATCGACTTGACCAAACTTCACCTTCTGTCCAGCAGCAAACGTCGATAAAATGGTCCACTGGCACTCGATACCTGCCGAGATCCGTTGCATGATCTTGGAGGCCCTAACAGCACAGAAAGGAACCGCAACCTTGGCTTCCGTCTCGAATGAATGGCGAGCTTTCATTGAGCACCGGACTTTTTCTCATATCCGACTTCATCCCGCATGTCTCGACCACCTCGAACAACTCAACGACCACTACAAGGGACAGATTAAGCATCTATGGCTTAATATAGAGCTCGGCGGATATACCTGTCGATCATGCCGAAAGAGAGAGTCGCTCACATTGTCGTATTCCATTGCAAGGATCGTAAGAGAAGCCATTAACAGGCTCTTCTCCATCTTGACGACGTGGAGACAGCCTTTGACTCTGGAACTCAATGTTTACTGCCCGAGCGACTCACAGCACTGGTTTAAGAATAGTTACTTCGGAGCTCCTGGCGAAGACAAATTCGAGTGTCAAATCCCTAGTGACGATCCCATACACGATCCCGATCACGGATGGTATGGAGGGAATGTCACTGAAGCGCCACCAGACGATGCTCTACGACGTCCTTTTGGATCATCTGAGCTAAGATTTCGGGAGAGCCTCCCTCTGGTCAATGCCGTGACTAAATTTGTCCTACGTCGTCAGTGCCGCCAGCAGTTCAGACCTGAAATTTTACGACACATTTGGTCAAGACTACCAAACTTGGAAGAGATCTGCTACGAACCGTGGCAGTCACACATGAGCGTAGAACAGCAACACTCGGATATGGGTAAGTAACAAATAAAAGTAAATAATGTTACGGGCTGACAGAATAATTAATAGAATTTGTAAAAACGATCTACAATATCCCGGCAAGCGTTAAAACAGTCACGATCTTCGAAGATTTCAATGAGAATTTCCTGGAATTGTATGATCTCGGTAGAGGCTATCTAGCGGACATAAACCCAGGGCGAGTCAGACTTCCCTCTCGCATCCTGGGCGGATTAACAGCCATGCGAAGTCGGAGCCTTGAGCATATTTCCGTCGCCTTCATGATCGATGCCCACCATTTCTTCGACTCGTGCCAGCCAAGTTGGAGATGGCCTCGGCTAAAAACTCTCACATTGACAGCCCGGGGGATCGCCAAGGACACCGCTCATCGGACCAACAAGCTCTTTCAAACTGCGGCACAACTCGCACTCAACATGCCTAAGCTTCAGACACTGACTATATGGCACGGAGAAAGAAGAGAGGCCTGCGCCTTTACGTATAGCCGAGAGCATGGCTCGATATGCTGGCAGGCTACACGAGATTTGAAGCTGGAGTCGCAGACTCTTGAGGCTTGGGAGAAGGTAGCCGTCGCATTTGCTGAGAGATTGCTCACAGTTGAGACGAAACTGTTGATGGAGGACATCACGTCTCATGGGGACGCTATTCATCATTTGGGTCTGCATCATGTTGTTGACAGAGTATCACTACAGCAGATACGAATTGAGAACCGAGTCTCTTGGCTTTGAGAAACTTGGGGAGTTGACGTCAAGTAAAGGGCTGTCTTCAGTTCCGGTGCAAATAGCAGCCTTGGAAGGATGTGGTCGGTATGTCCGGATCAAGATTCTGGAGAGGGTCACCTGGCCAAGATGATTCTTGAGCATGGGCCGATTGATTTGGAGACAATCTGTCACGGTGTCAGTCTTATTTAGGAAATCGGATGGCAAAATAAAATAAATTGGCTGGGCCTGGAAGCGGAAATGCTTAAACAAAGAGATCTGAGATGAGGGTACTCTAATGTTAGTGGGCACTGCTTGGAAGCTGATCTAAATCACCTATGACTTGTCTGGATTATTGACACAATGGACCGAGTCCACGGTGTCCAAGTGCAGATCGTTAACATCCCTCGATACGTAAATGCTAGAGCCTTTGCAGTTCTTCTTCCTGCACAAAATTGGCATCAGTAAATCAAATGCAAGCCAACAGTAATCTTACTCATATAAGTAGCAGAACGTGCTACGTCGAAGGTGGATGCTGTTGACCTTGAACTTGCTAACAGGGAGTTAGTGAAGCCAGGGACAAGTGTTGACACAAAACCGACCTAGAGCCGACGTTGCCGCATCCGTAGCCGTGAACGTCTTCATGCGATCCCTTGAGGTTCTTCTGATTATAAACCCTCGCCTGCCAAAAGTTAGTTCTACGCATACCAGCTGATGTGAAATACATCTTACGGTGATTACATCCGTCGCAGCGGTTGCAACAGCGAGGTAAGAAACGAGTGCGATAACTTGCATGGCTGTTATGTAAAGTAGCGCGACTAACAAGACGTTCACTAACACGCAGTAATAAGAGTAAGAGATATGGCGGGGCTATAAAGACATTTATGAGGTCTTTACGCAAGGGTGCTGGAAGTCGGCAGTGAAGACGGAGCTCAATACCCCGAACATGGGTCGCGGCAAATAGCTGCCGAGCGTCTAATCATGTCACTGGAAGCAAAGAATAGGCGCTGTGGCTTAAGAAGATCTGCCAGGCTAGCCTAATTGTCCATAAGCTCATGGGCATTTATCAGACCATGCTACGCTGTTCTCACCACGCATAGCTTGAAACAGGACCATGCTAGGATTCAATTAATTACTCTCATTTCCGCAGCGGAAACATTCCGCCACTCATGGAGTTCTGGTGCGGCTGGATAATAATTATGACCGCACCTCGTACGGGGGCCACCTCTCTATATGTGTTTATTGCAGTTGGGCTAATAAAATACTTAAAAACATCTCTGATGCTGTTTGTTGCTATTCCCGCTCCCTCACTGTAACCATGTTGATCAGAAGTCCACGCCTACCCTAGATTAAGCTAAGGTAGCTTATAAAACTCCCTTCACCAACTGTTTACCACGAAAACAAATACGAAAGAAACATATTCATTTAGTCGGGAAATTTAATCAACTTCCCGCAGGAAAGATCCAAGCCACTTGGTCCACAATAGCAGAACTCAAAGCGGAATGCAAGGACCAACAGCACCATAAGGCCAAGCAAAGAATACGGTATCGCGGAGTTGGATGGGCACTACGGCACTTAGGGGTTAGAAGAATTGACCAATTTTAGGCAAAAATACCCAAGAATAATAAGATAAAATAAAATTATATAAATTAAGAGATAATTTTTAGAAACTAAAGAAATTTTTGTAATATTTTATTCTAGCTAAGAAAATTCAATATTTATATATTTTAGCATAATTAGGAATAACTGGTTAACTCCTCTGTCCCCTGGTAGCATGGTTCGTAAAGTGCCATACAGACCAATTGGGCAACCTTCGTCTGTCGGGGGCATCCCAAATTCACTGTCTCACTTGTTTGCAAGACGCGAATAAAAAGCCTAAGTCCTCGCCACAATACCGTATCTCAAACGTTCGCACTAGTGTCAGCCAGCCACATCTGGGTCTCGAACAGACGATGAACGCCAAATCTCACAGCTCCTCACACATCTGCTATGCATATCACGCTTCAGTCAGATTCGCGGGCCAGTAGGATGAAGCTCCGCCTGAGACAAGCTCAAGTAGCCAATAGATGCTACCCTCCTTCACTGATATCGATCTTGGCACTCTTCCGATTTTCGTACTTCTTCCTATCAGATCCTCATCCCCGCAAGTCTAGGCCCGGGCCTTTCGCCGCTATTGATCTGGCCCACTTTTGAGGCTAAACCGTCGTTGTACCAGAATGATAAAGCTGAAAAAGAGAGTTATTCTCACAATTGACTGGGAGAATGAGCGGCGAATATAAATATTCTGTGCCCTGCCCACCAGGTGTGCTCAACAGTCAAAAAAACCATCTAAATCCGTTCTACAATTGACTGAGCATACACAATCACGATGTCGACAGCCACGCAGACTCCACCGTCTGAAAAGACACTGCAAGAGAAGATCGAACACCTCGGTGAACTCGTCAGAGATCCCAAATCTGACTTGGGCTCTGATGAATTGCCACATCTTCCCGAGCTCATCGATGATTGGTACAATACCGATGTCGATGTTACCAAAGAAGAGTTCCATCAAAGAATCTTACGAGTTTTTAAAGATTCCAAGCATGAGCAGGTTTACAATAGCGTCATGGATCAATTGCCTAATGAAACGCGAAAAGTTCTTGAGGATTTCATCGATGGCCAAAAGACTGCTGATGAAGCTGGAAAAGCCATCAAGGAGGTTGCACCTCTAGAGCTTGGGGTGTCAGGTACCAGCTCTCATGTTCAGACCTTCTCTATGATGGCACAGCAGGTGACTCCACCTGGCAAAACCAAGGTTTGTATTTTCCTCCATAGTTGTGCGTTCTATATCTAACATTCACAGGGCAAGGAAACCAAGGACTTGACCTTTCAGAATTGGGGTCGCACAGTCAAGAACACGCCGACGGTCACGTATTACCCCGAGACTGTCGCCGAGATCATCGAGATTGTTTGTGATGCTGTTGCCAAGAACAAAGGCATCCGTGTTGCCGGTTTCCGTAAGCTTCTCGTCTTAACAAGTGTCCTCTCAACTGACAGTATCTAGGGCATTCATGGGCACCCGTTTTCGGGAGGAATAACAAGGCTGGCCAGTCTACCAATGGCGATGTGTTGATCTCTACCTTGACTGAGACCAACGCAAGCAGGTTGCCCAATCTCACTTCGGTTCCAACCAACCTCTTTCAGCCCAAGGACACGGAGCTTAACGCGATCAACGTTATCACTGACCCCAAATTTGTAGGAGCTCCGGCTCTGAAGAATGGCGGGAAGTATGTTCAGGTTGGAACAGCGACCACGAATGAAAAGTTCCGACGGTGGTGCATCAACACGGGAAATGTCACTTTGCCTATGAACATTATTGAGGTGGAGATAACCTTTGGCGGTAGCAATGCTACAATTTGGTGAGTTCTCAAATAAAACCCTGTGCCCTGAAACTAACACTCGTAGTCACGGCGCGGGCATTAACAACCCAACCTTGAGCGATCTTGTCCGACGAATCGACTACATCGACGTCAACGGCAAAGAACGCTTCGTCAACATGTCCGATCCCACGCTTCTCAAGGCCGCAAGCGGATGCTTCGGTCTTCTTGGTGTCGTCACTTACATCACCTTTGAATGCGACGCAATGTGTACCGCCGTCATGCGTCCAGTCAAACTCGACGTTATCGACGCTATCCCGCCGCCGCCCGAGATGAAAGACTCAGATATCCCCGCTGCCCTTCGCCAAAAGCGCACACAGGCTCAAAAGGACGATGCGGTCCGTGAATTTGAGCGTCGTGCGAATGAGGACTTTTATGCAGAGTGGTTCTGGTTTCCTTACTCGCAGCAGGTCTGGGTTAATACCTGGAAGACTGACACGGACACCAAGAACGTGGTTAACTACCCCAGTAATGCAAAGACGTTGTATCAAGTTGCCAGCACCGCAATCATGAACATGGCTCAAGAGATTGGAAAGCATATCCATGCTTTACAAGTTGCGCCTCAGACGCAGACTTCCCTCCTTTGTAGGTTTAGATCATCCACTAGAAAGAGACAAAGGCTAACACGATGTAACAGCTTGGCTCGCAGTGAAGAACTTTGACGATGTCAAAGGAACCAACAAGTCAATTAGAACCCTGCTGCCTAACGCTCTTCATTTCCAGCGCGGCGTCCAGAATATTCGGGTCCGCAATCTGGAAGTTGAGATGGCTGTAAGTCTTTTGATGGTTTGCATCGATCCAATAACTAATGTGACTATAGCTTGACTCAAAGAAGGGCAAGCCTAATGAGAGAGACTACACCAACGTCAGACGTGCTTGGTGGGACGTCATCAAGACATGCTACGCCAACGCCAAAACATCCCCTATGCGCATGCCCATGGAGATGCGCATAATGGGTTCCAGCGAAGTCATCCTCGCACCGCAGCGAGGCAACAAGCTTGGAACATGCGCCATCGGCATTTTGACTCTGGAGGCTGTATCCGACATCTGGGTCCCTTATGCGCAGCAAGTCCTTGACAAGTGGACGAGCTACAAGACCAACGATGGGAAACCTGTGGTGGTGAAGCCTCATTGGGCTAAGGAATGGTACATGTACAAGGTTGGCGGTAAGCCTTGGATGGAGAAGTTGGTCAAGGAAGATTACAAGGAGGAGATCGCGGAGTTCCAGGCGCTGATGACCGCTATCGGCAAGAAGCATGGCTGGACGCTTGGGGATATCAAGAGGACCTTTTCTAACGATGTCCTTGACAATACCTTCTTGGGCGGCGTTGCTATCTCTAAGCCACAGCAAGCTGCGAAGTTGGTGAAGACTGTTCAGGTTCAGGTACATGAAATCCCTGCGGATACAGTCTCAGAGGTATCTATTTAAGCACTAGCCATTATTTAATCAACTGGATATCGCATTTTATCACAAACATGTAATGCCAAATGCCATGATCTTCAATTCTAAGCTAAACTACCGTACAAACTTACAAAATTAAGTAGCGCCTGTAGGGTTATGAACTAATATAAGCTACTTAATTCCTGCTATCTAATTAAGTAATTAGGTAATAGACCGAAAATAGCAGATTGTTTAATAAATAGTTCCTTTTTTCTAGCGAATTATAAAACTAGAAATTTTACCTAAGTCTGCATCAGTCTATATAAGTAGGCCTTTAGTATCTACAGGCGCTACTTAATTTTGTGACTTTATACGGTCTAACTAGCACCGCCTGATGGTCGATTATGTTTCATAAGCGAGAGGAAATCTAACGAAGATGCAAACACCTGTTTCGCTGAGCACCGCGCACGTCACGTGACATGAAAAGGAGAACTGGGGGGCTGAAAGATTAGGCTGAAGGCCTCACTGTGTTTGTGGCCTTGGACTGTCAGCGAAGGAGGTACAAATGGCCCAAGTCCGCGCTTGAGATTTCTATTCCAAACTCAAGGGAGATTAAATTTGAACATGACTATAAGTAAAACTGTCCATCTCGAAACCTCGAAAAGGTCTAGTGATGAATAAACTTCATATGTCTGGCAACTGATAAAGAACCAGCCGGAGATTGAACTATTATGTCTCTCTCGACCTCGGGGTACAGGCAAGTGAGCCATTAGTAAGCCATGAACACAGGTTATGTCTACAGAGCCTGATTCTAGATATCACCAGCAGAAGACTTGACGCTCAAGCAAAGGCTTGAGGTATCATCCACCAGGGCTATCACAATATCTCGCCATGTTCTCCTATAATAGCACAGGAGGAGCGCTCGGCCCAACACAAATCCGTCTGCTACATCTAAGTCCGGCGGCGGATTTCAACGATCCGGTTGAGTCTCGACTCGAAGTTGTCGCACTTGACCAGAACCCGGTATATGAAGCCCTTTCATATTGCTGGGGCGATAATACTCACCCCCAGGAGATAAAGTGCAACGATCAAAAATTTCAAGCCACCGAGAATCTTTTTTCTGCGCTGCAGCACTTGAGGAACAAAGATACTGAGCGAACACTATGGATCGACGCTATTTGCATCAATCAGCAAGATCTTCAGGAGCGCCAATGCCAGGTGAAACTCATGGAAGCTATTTACACCAAATCGGACAGAGTGGTTATCTGGCTTGGTCCCGATCCCGCCTCTGATGGAATCCACCACATATTCGCGCTGATGCAAACAACTCAAAACGTTACAAGCCTCGAGCTGGGCAAACCCAAATTTAGTGAAGGGAGAAGTAACTTTCTCGCTATCAATGTCCTCGGGTTTGATTCCAGGCCTCAAGGTGGTAGCACGAGTGCCTCGGACGTCACGGAAAGGAAAGACTTTGTTATGCCTGACGAAGCCAAAAAGGGCGCATTGGCTATGTTGAAGCGGCCATGGTGGTCAAGGGTGTGGACTGTTCAAGAAATGGTCTTAGCCCCTAGTGCGATCATCATGTGCGGTAATCTAGCTGCTCCATCGCTAGATATCATACACGCATGCAGTGATGTTTTCAAGCACATTGTCCGCATTCTTGCTGCTGGCGATTCCGAAAATCTTCGCGATGCTATAGACATAGCTTTTGACCCCGACGGCATGCTATATGTTGCCACTATGCGATTGCATGGCAGCCTCGATGCAAAAATGGAGCTTGGTGTGTTACTCTGCTTTCTGAGATGGCTGAGAGCGACAGATCCAAGAGACAAAGTATACGGGTCTCTAGGAATCGCCACATCAACGTATGGTATCGAGCCAGACTACAGCATTTCCACTGCAGAGTGCTACACACGTGCAGCTTTCAATATCATTTCTGGTAGCCGTTCATTAGATATTTTCGGCGCTCTACAAAGGCCTTCTTGCGTGAAAGCTACACTGGCTGGCCTGCCTTCATGGGTCCCTGACTGGAGTTATGACATGTCTAGTATTCCGGAGGAAGAAAAGGGTCCCACTTATGCGAATAACCCTATCATAAGGGAAAACGTCCGGAACGCACTCTATCTAGAATGCAGGGACTTTTTCCCCAAATGGGAGGCGTCCAAGTCTAGCACGCCATTCACTGCACGACTTATAAACGATGGCAAAACGCTGATTCTTAGGGGTATCATTGTGGATGAGTTCACTTCTCTCGGGCAAAGATTGGAATACCCCGATCCGGGATCAACAGTAGCATCTAATAACGCAGTCACGAAATCGATTCGAGAATTCAGACTATCTCTCAAGGTGTTCGGAATTTTCGGGGGAGTGATGGATACAATTCATGGTTGGAGACATCTGGCTTTCAAACCCAAAATTCTTAGGACGATGCCTGGTGAAACCCGTATGGACGCTTTCCTCATAACCATGTTAAGCGATCGAGTTCTTCTCACTGCTGATCGACGGGAAGTGCTAGACTCCCTCGAACAAGCAATGAAAACAACCTTTGACATGACCAAGAGTGGAATTGTTTTGAACCAGCTTCATATTTCACATTTCTTACCAAAGCTCTATCACAATCTCCTTGGATACAGGAAATTAATGAGCATAGATGTGAGCGAACCAATGGGGTTCGGGCATGCTGTTTACAACCTACAATGGGCCATTGACCAAAGAATGGCGACGACAAGATCGGGATATCTCTGCATGGTTCCTTGGTCTACTCGAGCAGGTGATAGAATTGCCCTACTTCAAGGTGGAAGGACGCCGTACGTGCTGCGGAAGGTTGGTAATAAATGGAAGATTCTAGGAGATTGCTACGTTCACGGAATCATGTCTGGCGAAGCATGGAGTGATGACAAGTGTGTTGATATTGCGATAGTTTGATCAAAGGATTTTCCTTCGTGTGAGACTGTGTGTGGGAAAGGAGGGCAGATTGAAGTTCTGGAGGCTACTTGCGATGGTGGTGATATCTGAAGAGACTGTTGAAGTGGGTTTGAGGGATATTTAGAACAAGAGATCTCCTGCCAGGCCACAGGTGTATTCCCATTCATGTCTCAACTTAATTCGGAACCGACTAAGCAACCTGAGGAGGGATATATACTGACAAGGAGACTGGGAGTTGTATATATAAAACTGCAACAGACAATGAGCCTTTCAAGTTGCCCCGTGCTTGGTATCCTAGATAAAGTGGACTGTGCTTCGTGTCCCCATAGAGTATTGAGAAGCCAAGCCACCATGAGCCACCATGATCCGTCAGTTGCGGTCAAATACTGTACAGCCACCAATACTCGTGTTTGTTCGACGAAAAGCACTATGTATAATTTGAAGCAGATTTATCTCAATGTCAAGGTTTACTACCAGCCACAGACAGAACTTGATCAAGACGCTGAGTCAACATGCCTGGAGAACAAGTAGTGGTCAATTATGCGTGATAAGGTTAGAAGGGATATGGATAAGGAATCATTAAGAAGTATATACATAAGCGACTCTCCTGTAATAAAACGTGGCATATCAGAGTCGAGTCTTCATACAGTAAATGCTATGCTTCTCCACACAATATATAAATCGCTGGATGTCGCCACTAGCCATGGTTCAAAGCTATATTTGCTGCCCCTCGCTACAAAATGCTTTCTGTTTGGGTCTTCCTGCTCGCCGATCTACTCTGGCGTCTTCACGTCTCATACAACCATTTCTCCAAAATTCCATATGGCGTGCCCTGGTCACCACGCGGACGCTTTACTCCGTATATCGTTACACAATTTGCTGGGGATCTGGAACATTCCAAGTGTCACGGGCAAGGCTTATCAAGAGGTGCGCTCAACGACAAATCTCTTACCACTCGTGTTAATGTTTCTAGTACAACAAAAAGGGCTCAATTTGTGTGGTTGCTCTGCCGTGTAGTCGTCTAGAGGTTCTGTTGCCTCGAATTCTTATTCGGTAGATGACTACATGGAATGGCAAGATACTTAGCCCATTCCTGTACGACATGAAGCTGTGGGTGCAGAATATGCTTTCCTTAATTCGGCTGTTTGGATTGGATACAGAGTGGAATAAAGTTCGTGTCTACAGTCTTGTTCGGAGAGTGATTGCTGAGATCACGGTTTGGTTGGTGCTTGGCGGCATACTAAGTAAGCAAACGCCCATCCTAGAAAAGTTTGCAACTAACAAGAGCTAACTTAGGCACCGACGAAGAGCCTGTCCAAATTCTCTAGCAGTATCATACCCAGAGCCATCGCCCTATCATTATTTCCTCCGCTCCTCCAACCAATCACTCCCCGACTCACATCCATCTTCAACCACATCTACATGAACAGAACTCTCAAGATCCTCGTTCCACACATCGAAAAGAGACTCATCACCGTCGAAAACGGGCTTTTGAAGGATCTCTCACAAGACGATGTGCTTACTTGGCATACCCACGAAGCACTGCGCAAGAAAGAACCTCGATTCGAGATGGCGGACGTCATCGCATGTCGTGTCTTTGCCACAGTGTTTGCAGCACTGGAATCAACAACACTCACAATGGCATATGCTCTCTTCAAAGTTTGCGCGAGCAATCCATCCACGGAAGTTTGGCAAGCTTTGGAGGACCAGGCAGTTGGTGTTTTCTCCACGAAGGCTGATCAGACAAGTTTGAATGGCCCGTATGTTGTGGACAGTGTTATCAAGGAAACACTTCGGCTTAACACAGCAATCAAAGCACTGTCAGTGGAGGTTATGCAGGACGATGGTCAGACAACCAAGATCGTATGATTCAACTCCCTCGAGGCGCTCGCCTGAGTATCGCCGCTTGGGGTATTCACCACGATGAGGACATATATGCTGACGCATACGCCTTTGACCCGTTTCGCTTCGTAGTGTCACAAAAGGGCGATGGTCAGAACACAGACTCTATTGCCACTCCTTCTGACAATTACCTCACATTTGGGTTTGGGAAGCACTCTTGTCCTGCAAAATAGTTTGCACTTGTTACGACAAAAGTGTTTCCTGCATATTTGGCAATGAATGACGATTTGGAGCAAGGCCACGAGAAGCCTCATTTCTTAAGTTTGGGACATCTCCCTGTGCTTCCCATGAGGGCAAAGTTGAGAGCGAGAAGGAATTCAACTGCGTAGAGTCTTGAGTGCACAATCAAGTTTGGCGGTTGCCTGTATTTTGCTCATTTCGATGTTTTCATATCCCATTGTGGATGTGATGTCAGGGATGGTGAGCAAACTTAGGATCCAGATCGGAAGGGATGAAAAGACTTGCATAAAATTAGCATATCTTAGGATGCCTTTAGACCAGTACAATTTGGCATCCGAAGTTTTCTTGCTTGCTGATAGATGTGATAGATTACGGCAATGTTTCCCATGCGAGACGGTGCGAGGCTTGATGTCTAGCGACAAACTGCAGGCGAGCTCTACCCAAATCAGATCCAGGTCGTGAATGGGCTTGCCTGCAGATTGGTCTTTCGTACTAACAATCAAGTAAATCAGAGAATTGTTTGTTGTAGCATGGCCCATACAGTTTGAGTGACGAGTAGGCCTCCTGCATGCACATCGCTTCTTGATCCTTTTCATAGGATGACTTAAGACAGAGACAAACGGGGTCGATTGTGTACGGGAGTAATGGAATAGAAGTGAGATATCTTCCACAATTTCTTTTTCTCCTTTCGTTCTTTCTTCCTTCTCCACCCCTCCACATACCTGGACTCGTACTTGTTATATCATCCGACAACATCTCTGCGTACAGAAGCATCTTTGCAAGATGTCATTTCATAACGGGAAAAGCCCCGCCTCCAGCAATCTCATGGATCAAGGTCAGTTGCGAGTCTTCTACCGAAGCTGCCGCCATACACTAACTCTGCATCTTAGTTCCAGCAAAGCCAACAGTCATTGGCATCTACGGCATTCCAGGCTCGGGAAAGTCTTTCACCCTCGAATACCTGCGCAAGGACCTCGGCGAGGAAGAATTCGCATTCTTCGAAGGCTCTGAAGTCATTGCCTCTCTAATCCCCGGAGGTCTTGCCGCATTTCAGAAACTCACTGATGACGAAAAGTATGAGTGGCGCGTCAAAGCAATCAACCACATCAAGGATGAAGCTATCACCAGTTCCCGAGTCGCTGTAGTCACTGGGCACTTTAGTTTCTGGTACAAGGAGAACGGAAGATCCAGTTATGTCCTCACAGACGATGACTGGGACACGTTCACCCATATCATCTATCTGAAGCCTGACGAGCAGACCATTCTGTCAAACATCGTGAGCGACAAGAAGGATAGACCTCACATGTCCGATTTGACCATGGAGCACTTGAGACGTTGGCAAAGGGATGAGATCTATTCGCTGCGACACTATTGTTGGGCGAATAAGATTCTTTTCCTTGACATGGAATCTCCCATGCCATGGAACGCCCTGACCTATGTTCGAAACTTCAAAAAGCCCGCAACAGCTGAAGCAAACATGTCAGAGGTGATGAAGCGACTGGAGGAGGTCGTTGCTCTGCATGACAGCAAAGAACTCCAGACATTCCTGGTCTTTGATGCCGACAGAACGTTGTCGGCTAAAGATGGTGGGCGTCTCCTCATGAGCGAGGTGGAGGAAGACGAGTGGAAACTCGATGGCTCTCTCGTGAGCGATATCTTCCGTGGTCCGATGGGGTACTCGGATGATGCATTCCGCCAGGCAACCTTGCTCCTGGAAGAGAAATGCACCGATGAGGTGTTCGAAAGACATTGCAACACGGTGTCAGCATCCGTCTCTCTACGCCCCGAGTTTCTATCTCTCCTGCGCCTCGCCGCACAAAAGAAACACATCGGCGCTGTTGTCGTGACCTGTGGCGTTGGACGTCTATGGACCAAGGTCTTGGAGCACCATGGCCTTGCCGACAGTGTCAAAGTGATTGGCGGTGGGAGGTTCTCGAGTGGTTACATTGTCACGCCAGGTGTCAAGGCTGCTGTTGTATCGCAGCTCCGAGATGTTCATGAGCTCTACGTCTGGGCCTTTGGCGATAGTCCTTTGGATATCCCCATGTTGTGGGAAGCGGACCAAGCTGTTGTTGTTGTTGGTGAAGAGGGGATCAGAAGCAAGACTATGGATGAGGAGTTGGAACCGGTCATTCGAGAACATCACCTACGAGCCCGACAGCTTCTTCTGCCAAGTACAGCGTCGCCTAGACTTGACACCAGCACTCTACCTGTTGTCAGCATGGACGAAAACTTCGTCAACTCAATCGTTGACCCCCGCCCTGACCGCCAGCCGCTCAAGATATTCGACGCAACCCATAAAGCCGCCGCCAAGCTTCTCATGTCACCTATGCGCGACGCCGCAGTATTTGGTCCAATGCTTCGACAAGCACACGCCAATGTCGGGCGATATCTCGCCACCGAGTATGTATCCGAGCTCATCGGCCTTGAGGACTACGCCATTCCCCACGTGCAGGGCCATAACACGACCGGTTATTATCTCCGCAATGAAGCTACTACTTCGATCGTCGCTTTGATGCGCGGCGGTGAACCGATGGCGTTCGGCGTTAGTGATGTGTTCCCGCAAGCCATGTTCATTCATGCCTCTGCCGCTGAAGACGTGAAGATGCATCATGTCCAGGGACAGTCGAATGTAATCTTGGTAGACTCTGTGGTCAACAGCGGCAAGAGCGTCATTGAGTTCATCAAGCGTGTTGTCCGTCTTGAGCCCAACGTCAACATCACGGTCGTGGCCGGGGTAGTTCAGGCCGAGGCGATTGCCGACGGTCATCTATTCTCCAAGGTCATGAAAAGGCATGGAGCTGGATTGGTTGCGCTTCGGGTATCGGAGAACAAGTTCACTGGAACCAAGACGACCGACACCGGCAATCGGCTGTTCAACACGACTCACTTAGCTTAGGCTTCTACCGTGCCCTGAAGCCACAGTGGCAGATCCTGGAGATAGGCAGTGCTAGTTGACGATAGAGGTCACAAGAAATTGAAGAGTATTTGACATTATCTGACTGAAAGGCAATTGCCAGGCGATGTAGTACTTCCACCTCCATGACCCATCGCTAGCTTCCACTCAAAAGACCTAACCCTCATTGTTACAGTTCGTGCAGTAGTCCATAACAACTTTACAAGAGTTCGATAACTCAATATGTCCACACATCCAAATATTGTCATTCTGCTTCGCGTTCTCACGTCTGTATCCAAAGTCAGTAAACAGTCCATACTCAAGAGCTAGGGAGGAGGAACTTACGCTTCCTTGATGAGCTTCCCGCTCATACCAATACCATAGTCATCGCAGCTAAACTTGGCAATACAAGCAGCCTGGCCCATAGACATGACCATGAGAAGGCCCTTCTTGGACCTGCTGTAACGCGTAGTGTAACCCGTGTAGACAGTATCGTCGTCAAATTCACCAATAGCGCGGTCACATGCGTCGCCGAGACCAGACTTGGAGAGTCCATCGCTTGTACCGCACTGCCCGGAACCGTCGTTATCGACGTGAGTTTGCGTAGGAACTGGTGTAGCGATGGTCTTCACCTCGCCGATACCATTGGAGAAGGTTGCTGTTACATCCTTGTATACTTGTCCGTATGCAAGAGTATACGCAGTCCAGGCTAGAACAGTCCCATCAATGGTCTTGGTGAGAGGTTCGTTGATGGGTGCTTGTGTAGGAGGGGGTGCTTCAGTAGCTGGGTCGACCTTGGAGGGATACTCGGTGTACGCTTCGCACTTGTTGTCGATGAGTGTGGCTGTCGCGATGTACTGCTTGCCTGAGACGGTGGTGGAGCATTGGCAGTAGGCTGATGTGACGCGGGGACCGCCGTAGATACCGCAGGGGTAGTAAGTACGTACTGGAGCGGTGGTAATGTCCTCGGTTGAGCCAGAAGTGATGGTGTTGCTAGTTTGGTCGGAGGGACGGGTTGTTGTGAGGAGGGTGCTGGGCCTTGTGGTAGCTGGGGCTGAAGTGTCAGTCTCTTCCACCTTGGTGGTCTTTCCCGTCTTGGCGGTTTGCTCAGCGGTGCTGGTCTCATCGACAGGCTTGGAAGAGGTCTCTTGGGCGGAGGTCTCAGCTGCGGTGGTGGACTCAGGCCCTTGGTTGGAGGTAGTCACATCAGCAGCCTCAGTCGAGGTAGGCACGTCAGAAGTGCCAGTCTCAGCCGGACCAGCAGAGGTCTCACTACCAGTAGCACCATCACCGCTCGTGGGGGGTAGAGCGATCGAAGTCTTGGGCTGGGTATCCGAAGCAGCAGGAATACTGGTAGTCTCCCTCATCTTGCAAGACCCAGTAGTCTCCGTCGTCTCAGCAGAAGTTGTAGTCTCAGCCTCACTAGAGGTAGGCTTCTCAGTGGTGCTAGCCTCCGTCTTGGTCTCCTCAGTCTTTGACTCTTCCTTTTCCGTCTTAGACTCCTCCTTCTCAGTCTTGGACTGATCATCATCATCATCATCCTCTTCCTCACTCTGATCTTTAAGATCATTGCTGTTGTTGGTGAGAGTACTGACGATGGGAGTAACGCCCTCAACAACGCCACCAGTGATCTTGCCAGTGACATCTTCAAGGTTAGAGACGACACAAGACAAGGTGTTGATGACGTTGGAGACGATGTCAAGAAGTCCACGACGTCGCTTACCGGGACAGCCGCCAGACTCATTGCCACCAAGGTCCTTGATAGCACCCTTGACACCATCGATCAAGTTATTCACCTTGTTCAACGTATCCGTCTTGAGACCATCAGGGTTGTTCGTCCAAGCGACGATAATGGGGATGATGTCGTCGACCTTGGAGTTATACTCTGAGGCGGTGACCTGAGCCTGAGAAGCAGCAGCAGTGGCTTCTTGAGGAGGAGCAGTGACGGGTGCTGAAGGGGCATTGCTGGGCTCGGAAGCCTTCTCAGTGGTGCTGGGGATGTTGTTGACGGGGGCGGTGGTGCTAGGGGCATCGACCTTGTCAGTTGTGGTTTGGGGAGGAGGCACCTCAGCACTGGTGTCGGTGTTGGGAGGAGGGATGGCAGCGGAGGTGGTTGTGTCGACGGGTGCCTGTGCTTGGGTAGTGGTCGTCTCGGGGCCGGGAGCAGGAAGGTCAGTGGTTGTGTCGACAGGCTCAATTGCGTTGCTTGTAGTCTCAGTCCCAACTGGAGCATCAGTGTTTGTGGTGGTGTCGATCACCAGAGGAGGGACGTCACTGGTGGTCTCTGTTCTAGCAGGGGGGATATCAGTGTTGGTAGTAGTACCAATTGGCTCAACAGCATCGTTAGTAGTAGCCGTCTCAGTGCCAGCAGCAGGAGGAACATCCGTGTTGGGACCAGGAGTGCCAACGACATTGGTCTCTGTACCAGCCGGAGGGATCCAGTTCGATGTAGTCTGTTCATCTGTGGTGGTAGGAATAGGGTTCACGATAGGAGCATCAGTGCTGCTCAACACATTCACAATGGCTGATGTCTCGGTACCAACAGGCGCAATCTCAGCGCTAGTGGTACCGTCAACAATCTGGCCAATGGTGGTAGGAGTCTCAATCACTGGAGCAGCACTGGTAGTTGTGTCAACGACAATAGCGCCATTGTTAGATGAAGTCTCCGTGTTGATGACAACAACGTCTGAACTTGTAGTAGGAAGAACGTCAATGGGCGCGACGGCGCTGGTGGTAGTAGAAATGAATGTGTCAGTTGTAGTGGTATCAGTGTTGACATCTCGCTCATCAAGTTGGTAGATTCTACCACTGTTAGCCACCTAATTTATACTAAAATGGATCGTCACTTACTGGTAAGGAACGGCAGAAGTGAACTTGGTTGCGAAAGACAAAAGAAGGAAACCAATGCCAATCGGCATGGGAGAGTCTGTAGGGCGCAACATAACGAATGAAGAAGCTAGCCCAACCAAGGTTTGCAATACTAAAACAATAGAAAAAAGAGTCTCTGAAGGGACGAAAAGACTTTAAGTAAAGCACAAAATAACAAAGGATTTATTTACAGACATTTACAAGCAAGCCTCGACGTGAGCAGGATGACTTACATGGATTGTAAGCCACCCCCATAATTCTAAATTGCAGGGCGGATCCTTCAGAAGAAACTTCCGAAGGATCTCAGCAAAACACGCTGTTTACATTAGCGCATCGAAATTTCGCTCCGGATGCAGAATGGACTGCATCTGCCGAGAGGATTACGACGCATAGTGAGATGGGGGACAATTTTGGGACTCCTTAATCTCCATCCTTCGCAATCCTGAACTACAGGGCTGTAGGGCTCCATCCCGTGCGCTTATCGGGGGCTGTTAGTGGTGTTCTAGGGTTGAGCTGACTCCACTGGAGTAAACACGCAGGGGAGTTGGAGAATGGCATGCGCTCATTGGCATGATCGGGGTGAACAATAGACCTGCCTTGTAATATTGTTTATTATAGATTCAAGTATTTCATGCGCAGGATCTGATGCTTATTATCAACATGTCATCATCATTGTAACAGGATTCAGCGTGTGTCAAATGCAAGGTAGACCGACGATCCCAATACAACCGCTAAACCTCATCGCCATTCTACCTATCTACCCGTTGCCGTTCTCTATGATTCACCATCCCAGCGCTCAAGGCTCTCTACGGAACGTGCAAAAGCTCAGCCCCCAATCTCAGCACGTTTCAACTAAAATCTCATCCAGCCCCCAACTTTGATCCCACAAACACGGCAAACACGGGAAGATCTGGATCCTCGTCTCACCATCCAAGGCTTCCCGCAAAATGTCTCAGTAACCCGCCTGAATCTTCGGCTCACGAGTCATCAACACGCTATAACTCCACTCACATTCAGTCAGCTCAGCCCTGTTTCATCGGTAGTGGAACATGTCAGCACAAGGATCTCCATAATCGCTCCTGTTTCAAGTACAACACAATTGAGATGAACTAATTAAACGGATTACGCCAAGGATTCAACATGCATCCTTCGAAAACACGGCTTTTTTTATCTTGTAAGTCACTACCAAAGTCCTGAACGACCCGTTAAATAAATGCACCGCCCAACATTTTAGACGGCCGTTATAGCAGGTCGTTGGTATTCTTCCTACACTCTTTTGGATAGTCATTCTCTTCCGCGACAATGCTTTTCTCAAGGCGCTTCACTTTTGCCCTCGGGGCTTTACTCTCTTTTATCGCCAACGCCAGCGCTGCTTCTGGCGAAGGCAGTTTTCCTGATTTCATCTCTAATTGGGCCCTCTTCCGAAGATGGGAGGACATTACCGCTTCCATCCCCGTCTTTGACGTCCCCGCCATGGAAGACCTGATCGTCGGTGACTGGGTCAACTCTGAGAAGAAGTTGACCTGGGAGTGCTACACGCTCACCAAGGACAGCCTCGTCGCTAATAGCTTGACTGTCATCATCGACAAAGCTACCTTGACTTGGACCGACATTGACAACCAGCCGCAGCAGCAGACTGTTGTTAGTAAGCGCAGTGGTATCAAATCCGGTGATGGCAACACTATCATGTATGGCGCTCGTCTGCAGAAGGGTCTTGATCATCCTAACATTCTTCCCATCAACCACATTGTTTACGGCAAGGGTGGCGTGAAGGACTATGGTTTCGCTATCATGCCTTATGTCCAGGAGGGCTCTGTTGCTGATAACCTCGGCAGCCTGACTGATGTGAACGGCGCTTTCAAACAGATGCTCGCTGCTGTTGCTGCTGTCTCCGCCGCGGGCATTATTCATCGTGATCTCAAGCCTGAGAACTTTCTCAAGGATGGGGATACCATTAAGCTCATGGACTTTGACCAGTCGCGAGACATTGGAACTACTGTTCAGATGGACGTTGGCACCCCCTCATACACTGCCCCAGGTACGATATCCACTTCCTCCATCTCAACTGTAACTAACGTTTTTCTAGAAATTATCATTGGCAGGGACTACACCACCAAGGCTGACACTTTCTCTCTGGCCATGAGTTTTCTCGTCATGTCTGTTCCCGACCTCCGAAACTCTGATGATCGATTCCAGCTGTGGAAAGATCTCATTGAGCCTCCCAACACTAGCTACGAGCGTGTCACAGCTGATAAGACGGAGGAGATCCTCCGGGGGAGAAACTATGGTGTGTTCAATGGCAACGATGGTCTTCTTAAAGTCATCGCCAAGGCTATGTGCAGTGAGAGTGAAGGGCGCTACACTCCTGCTGAGTTCGAGACCGCTTTTAACGGAGCTACATAATTGTTAACTCATGAGGAGAAACCGTGGGGATGTTGATATCTTGGGTCAAAATAGTTGAGAAATTTAGACTTTCTTTGCATCCTCATATTGGCGATTGTCACACTACGACCATTTGCCTAAGCTTTTGAAATGTGACACGCTCTTCGTCACATTCAGTGCAAAAAGAAAAAGACACTGCATCTGTGAGAGATGATACCCGTGATCGAGGCGAGGTCTCTACTCATCAATCCACGCAGCATGATAACCAGTATTCATTGACAACAATTAATGATGAGAGTACTATAACGATGATGTCTAGTAGGCAAGTACATTTCCTCACTCTTCGCTTGTCGATAACGCGTCAGCCGCCTCCTTCAAGCGCTCCGCAGTTACATCCTTCCGAGATTGCACTTGAAGCTACAGATCATTAGCCAAAATCACCACAACAGAGCCGAACCCTACCGTAGCCACATTCTTGATGTCCACTTTCTCAGCATGCCAAGTCAAATCTCTCCTCACCCGGTGCTGAACACGTGCATTCTTGGTGGATGCCGTAGCAGGGAAACGTGTCCAGATCAAGATGACAGCACCCGACCCAGGATGGCGATAAAACGCAAACTTCAGAATTCCGGGGGCGTCAAAGTATTCAGCAAGATCTTCAGGCGCTATCTTTTGGGCGTGATCCTCGAACTCGATGATATCTTCTTCATGATCGACTACCTAATTCTGGGGTAAGCTTGGGTCTTGAGGACATGAGGTCGTCTTACCATCTTCAATAGGTCACCGTTCTGGAGTTGGGACAAAGCTGCTGTGCTGTGAGCATCGAGAAGGTAATCTGGCTCTGGTTTGGGCTGATCTGTGGTTCCTTGGAGATCGATTGTTTGACGCTCTGTTGATTTAGATGACATGTTGAAATCCTGTTGTTATTATGTTATGTGTCGTGCTCTGAGATGGTACTGTTGGAATTGTAAAAAGTACGGTAGGCTGACGTCTAGAAGTACTGGTGCCTGAACGCGCACTAGACCGCTGAAACAGTGATTAGTCAGAGGGAACAGCCACTAAAATCAAGTGAGCAGCTTAGTGAGTCCTACAGCGCACATGCCATCGCCTGCATGTAGGACTCACCACGGATTGTAGTTTCGAGAAGATACGAGCAATTTTGTAGGCCCTGTCCCGGGAGTGATAATAATGAACTTGACTACCTTTCAATATATCGCCTTATTTAAACATTCTTCTATTATATACCTACCTAGTCATTCGACGTGTTATGAAGAAATTCTTGGCAAACGTTCATCCTACCTACCCTGGAATTGGGTATTTACCACTTTGGATCATGTCATCACTCCATTGATCGGTTTGGGGTCGGAATCCTATTTGGACTCTTCCTAACCTCATGCTTCTCACCGACTGCTAACTGGCGACGACTTGTTTTAGACTTATTTTTATGCTTAACGCAGTCTAACTTCAATCGCTTGTTCTGAGCCAGGCTCAGTTCGAAAACAAAAGAAATAAGATGACGTAGCAAAAGGCTCTGGTAGTATTTTATTTTTAAGAACAGTTCAACAAAAAATCGACACTTGATCTGTCCTTGCGCAAATAGTGCATTGCATGTCATATTCTCTTGAGATAGTTAATCTAGTTCGTATTTACATCATGAAGTCATACATAGTCGCTCATTATCTAAGAAGCATACTCAAAAATATCCTTAATCTCTTCAATAGACAGCTTCTTCTCCAAAGCAAGCTGAAGCTGAATGCGTGACTTGGAAGGATTCAAGTATCCGGCTCCAATACCAAAAGGTCGCTCATCCACATATCCCCAAGCAGTGCGTCGGCTAACAACGACAGGAATCTCAGTCTCGTTGAGAACCTTCTTGATCTCCTCAACAGCCTTGTCAGGCCAACCTCCAGCGCCAAGACCAGCGAGAACAATGCCCTCAGCGCCGTTCTCAATAGCTTCTTGGAAAAGCTTAGGGTCAGCTTCCTGATGGCCGTACAGAACATCGACTTGGGGAAGAGCAGTCTTGGTGGAGCTGGTGCTGATGTTGAAGTAGTGGTGGCCGAGAGGTCGAGTGGCGGGGTACCAGAAGATAGGCTCCACGTTTTCGAAAGAGCCGAGATAGCCTTGATCTTCAGCCTTGAAGGTGTCGAGGGAGTTGGCGTTGGTCTTGACGGTGTATCGCGCAGAAGCAATCTTATCGTTGAGAACGATCATGGCTCCTCGACCCATAGCGCTCTTGCTGCTAGCGAGTCTGACGGCAGAGAGAAGGTTAAGAGGGCCATCAGCAGAGAGGGCTGTAGCAGGGCGCATAGAGCCCACCAGAACAACAGGCTTCTCACTCTTGACAGTAAGATCCAAGAAGAAAGATGACTCCTCGAGGGTATCAGTGCCATGAGTCACAACAACACCCTGCATGTGCTCGCTATCCAAATCATCCTGAATGCGATGTGCCAACGTAGTCAGAATAGTAGAATTGATGTCTCCACTATCAACATTGGCGATCTGCACGCCCCGAACATTGGAGAAGTTGCATAACTGGGGAACAGCGTCGATCAAAGTCTTGATACCCAAAGCACCAGCCTTGTAGCCCGTGGTCTGATCAGAAGACGCAGCTGAGCCGGCGATTGTGCCGCCGGTAGCGTAGATGGTGATGTTGGGAAGACTGGCGTTGTAGCACTCAAAGTCGCTGACTGCCCGGGTGATGAGCTGGGGTATCTCGGGGAGAGGCGAAGCGAGGGCCGAGCCTACAAGGGTGGTGAGGGTGAGCAGGGATTGGAGAGAGGGCGACATGTTGGGCGGTCAGGACAAGACTATGAGCGATACAAGACAACTGCCTGAGAAACAAAGAAAGAAGAACATGATGACGGGGAATTGGGCATCTTTTATAGTCTTGATAGATTCGTTTCTTGGTCTGTCAACGTGGGTAGCTTATCCTGATTGAGGATATGTGTGCAACCCACCGTGTTACCTTATCATTAGTTAACAGGTCCCGTCGGATCGGCTCTCTAGTTCGAGGATAGTAAGATAGCCAAGAGTAAGTAAGGTAGAAGGTTCTCGCCGCGCGCCCTAATTACGTACGGCGATAGGTGATCGGCCAAGGATTACGGGTTTCTGCCAAGCTTCTAGTTCGAAGCATTATCGTTCGGCCTCTAACGCTGACATGCCGATGAAGACGCGGGGAAGTCAGCCACTGTAACAATTGGTTTGAGGATGTCGATTACCTCTACGTCTAGAGTATCAGAATATACATAGTTTACAAAGGACCAATAGATAGATTGAGTTAGAGATATAGATGTTGACCAAGTTGACATGCTTCAGCCAAGTGATAGACGACATATAAGGGCCCATTTAGGCATAGCTTGTAAGCGGGGTGTAGCAGTTCCCGAGTTAAACTAAACCAACCTCTCCAATCCCCACCAACTCAAAATCCGCTTTCTCTCTTTTCTCTGTTGGTTCTTGACTCAGTCTTCCCCATGAACAAATTGAGTTACATCCCTATCGTTTGCGGGAATTTATCGCTTTATTTTTCTTATCTTTTCGTTACCTCATCCCAAGGAAACTTACTCCCGTTGCGGTAAAACCCTCGACCCACGCACGTACGCGATTATCGATCCTTTCTTTATCTCTCCTACTCCGTACACAGCTCAGATAAACACAGTAGACACTGTCTTATCTGAGAGCTAACCTAACCTATGCCTGACGATGATGTCCCCCCCGCCAAGCGGACGCAGGTACCTAGAGCCTGTCAGCGCTGCAAGACGCTCCGCCGAGGCTGTAACGAGTATCGGCCCTGCAGGCGATGTGTGGATGCAGGTCTAGGAGATCGCTGCATTGGACAGTCCGGCGCTCCGAGTATTCTCCAGCCCATCCACGGCCGTTACTCGGTGCCGTCAAATGCACCTGTTGACGCGCTGCATCGTCTCATTGAGCTTGTACCGGCTCAGGTACTTGATCATTGTGTCGAGCGCTTCTTTGCCCGGTTGTACCCTACTATTCCTATTCTGACCCGCGATTATGTCGTGCTGCTGAGATCGGCGTCATCGTCGGCGACGCCAGAATGGAGACTTGAGGCTTACTCTGTGCTTGTCGCCATGTGCGCGCAGGTACTACTCCAGACAGAAGAACCAGAGAATTTATTATCGCAAGGCATCATCGCCGAGAATAACGCGACGTACGGTTCAATGATCGTGGACCAAGTCGTCACCGTCCATCAATCCACTCCCCGCACAATGAAACCAACACTCAACCAATGCCTCCTCGCATTCTTCCTCTACGCCTGCCAAGCGCGTCTCTCGCACCACAGCCAGACATTTCTCTTCCTGCGCGAAGCAACAACCCTCTTCTGTCTTCTGCGCCTCGAGGACATGGACCATTCCGCAAAGGCGTTAGCTCACCGACTATTCTGGGTCCTGGTCGTATCAGAGCGATCTCACGCCATCCGATATCGCCGCCCCATCACATTACAAATAACCGACGAGGCCCCAGAAATCGACCTCAACGATCCTTCGCTTTCTGGCTTCTGGAGTCTTTCGGCGCTTTTTAGACCCATTGATACCTCGTTTGTTGCACTGCTGAATCAGGAGCGTTTTGCCATCTCACCGCCTCTTTCATCGTTGGATTTCGTGGAGACGGCTGTTAACACGGCTATAAAGCCTGATTTACAACTTCATGAAACACAAAAGGCGAATTTGAGAATAACGCAGCTGTGGTTGCGTATGATTGTATGGAAATTGCGCCTGCGACTAGGCCATCTGAGTGAAAACGCACATCAGCATAGTCTCACCTATCAGTACCCTCTAGTCGTTGCCAAAGATCTCACTCTTTCCACGAGGGATCTTTCCATCGACAGCATAAAAATTCACGGCATCGGAGTAACAGAGAAGCTGTACGACATCGTCTCGGCGGTGGTTGACGTTCTCGCTCGTGTGCCAGTCACGCCTTCAAGTCCCCAAGGTCTAGCAATGGGCACGTCACCTGAAGATGACCTACTATATATCCGGAACCTCATAACCAAACTGCCGGGAGGTGCATCCACTTATGAGCCGCTTCTAGAAAAGCACATACAACAGGCACTGCCAAGTCCCGGGCCTAGCGTGGCCCACAGTAGTCCGCCAATATCGAGAGTAAATTCATAATAAACAATCTGTACATCAAGCTATTCAAAACTATATACCCACATTACTATCATACACCTCGTTTCTTTTGTTTCTATGAATACCGATACGTTATTCTAGCATCTACTGCAACTCCTTCTCGTTCAACTTCTTGTCAGAAGCAACGGAGTGCGAGTAGGGATCGATCTGCGTCTTGGCAAACTTCCTCGCAGAAACCTTGTTCTCAAAGAGAACATCCAACTCAGCATAAGTACGGTCCTTGGGCTCAGGAAGTCTGAAGAACACCCAGATAGCAGAGAGGAGACAGGTTCCAGCCCAGAAGTAGGCGGTGCGAGCTCCCCAGTTCCAGGCCGACGACGAAAGCTGATAGTTGGTCATGACGTTGACAAAAATGTTGCTAGCATTGTAGGCAGCGCGAGCCATGACGATGGTCTTGGCCTTGAGTCGGGTCGATGAGAGCTCGGAAATGAGGGAGTATGTGACGGGGCCAACGGTGAAGTCGTAGACAAATGTGAAGAGAATAAGCATGCCACCAATAGCCCAGACTGAAGAGTTGTCTTTGGAGAAGGAGAGGGAGCCGACGATGATGAGGATGAGGAGTTGAGAGCATAGGCCTGAGAAATGGATCGTGCGTCGACCAACCCTTGACATCAGGAACCAAGAACCCATAGTTCCAACCATTCCAAGGGCGTATTGGCCCATGGACAGAGAGAAGGAGTTGCTGGCATCCATACCAGCTTGGGTAAGGAAGTATGAGAAGTAGCCCATAAGGTTCTGTCCACCAAGAGTCTGCACAAGCCAGATACCGACAACAATCTCAGTTCGGCGAAGATCAACACCCTTAAAGCAGTCTCTGTAGCTTGTTCCCTCTTTCAAGTTCTTCTCCATCTCATTCGTATGCTCAATCATGGCAATCGTCTCGTCAGCGTTAAAGTTGGGTTGTTGGGGCGAAGTGAGTCTCAGCAGCGACTTCTTGGCTGCAGCTCGGTTACCCTTCCTAACATGCCACCAAGGTGATCTATCAATCCATTAGCTCAACACTCCTGACCCTCGTGATGTGACACAAACTTACTCGGGGGCAAAAATAACACCTGCCAGGATAGGTACAGGCCAAACCCACTGCACACCAAAAGGAATGCGATAAGCCCACTCATCGCCGCGCCCAACAGAACCTTTGTTCACAGCAGCGGCAAAGAACTGACCAATTACCCAGCACATGTTGATGAAGGTCGTGAGGTAAGGTCGCAGAACAACCGGTGCTACTTCGGATGCATATGCAGGAGTGACGCTCTGGAACGCGCCCCATGGGATACCTTGCATTGTTACATTAGCGAATGGCACAGATAAGTGGTATGATATGATAACTTACCGCAGAGAACTTCTCCGAGCACGAGGATCTTGACGTTGGGAGCGAAGAAGAGAACAAAGACGAAGGCGATCATGAGAATGAGGGAGCCGATGGTCGTCATCTTGTAGCCATACCTGTCAGATGTCCAACCCGCGATGATGAGACCAATGATCTCGCCGGCGCGAGCACCATTTGACAAACCAGATTGCCAAGCAGGGGAAACAGCATATTTCTCCTTCTCAGCATTCCACGATCCAAACTTTTTGTTAAACACAGGAGAAGCGTACAAATTGCCAAGCAGAGCAAGATCATAGCCTTCCATGATGAGCGTCGTCGACAAAAGAACAGACCAGCCGATGGCTTTGGGATATGTCTTGATAGCTTCCCAGAGTGTCATATGATGCTCGGCCTCGGCGGCGACTTTGGCCTCTGAAGCAAGAGCCTCAGGGCTTACGGTCTCGTCATGCTGAGCGTCGATACTCTTCTCGGGATAAGAAGCCATGGTGAAGATTGGAGTTGGAAAGTAATGAGATGAGATGGCTCAGATGGGGAAAAGAGGAAGGATAGTCGGTCCTTTATGTACTTTCGCGGAGCCGATGCTCGCTACGCCTGAACCCGACAGCTCGGATGATGATTTTTTTTTCTTTCGTTCCGCCCAAGCTTAATCCCCCAGAAAAACAGGACCTGTACATCATCTGGTATGAAGCATGGGGAAACCTGGGGCACGGGGGAATTGAGTGTGTGGGGTGATTTTCAAGAAACGGGATTGGGGCACGAGTCTTTTTCACAGGAGACTCCGCGAGCTAGCGGAGCTTCCACTCTTCAGAATCTGTCAATTGGCTGCTCTCGTGTTAGCGATCAATAGTGCGGAGTGACTCCGATGGCGGGAGTGCTAAAGGCGGAGTCTCCGCTGGTCACACACGGGCTAGGGATTTTTTAGGTGTGCGCTCTGACGTCGTAGGGTAGATTGCTGGGGTGACAGACAGCCTTGGCTGAGTTGGCGATGAATGTTACGCTCCATTGTTTGAGCGGAGAGTCCGTTATGCGACGTTGATCAGAGAAAGGATCTGATCTCCACATTCAACGGAGTGATGTCGGCCGATAAGATGGGTAAATAATAAACACCTCGTCTCCCCCTCTCAACAGTATTCCCAAGCCCAACTGTTCCCATCTAACCACCTTTTTTCGTCCTTCTCTATCGCAATCATCATGGGCTCCATCATCTGGGACGATGAGCATCAATACCTAGGCATACAGCCCTGGTGGAAAGCCGCATCCTTCTACCAAGTCTACCCAGCCAGCTTCAAAGACTCCAACAACGACGGCTGGGGCGATTTACCCGGTCTCATCTCCAAGCTCGATTATCTAAGCGACCTTGGCATCGATGTCGTATGGGTATCCCCCATTTTCGAAAGCCCCCAGAAGGACATGGGCTACGACGTCTCAGATTATCAGAAAATCTACGAACCCTACGGAAGCGTTGAAGATGTCGATATTCTCGTTAAAGAATGCCACGCGCGAGGTCTCAAGATTATTCTCGATCTTGTTGTTAATCACACGTCGATAGAGCACGAGTGGTTTAAAGAATCGAGGTCCTCAAAGGACAATCCCAAGAGGGATTGGTATATCTGGAAACCCGCACGATATGACGAGAACGGTGTGAGACACCCTCCTACGAATTGGAGGGGATATTTCGCGTGCTCGACGTGGACTTGGGATGAGAATACCCAAGAATATTATCTTCATCTTTATGCGCCGGATCAACCTGATTTGAACTGGGATAACAATGAGTGTCGAGAGGCGATTTACGAAAATACCATGCGCTTTTGGCTTGATCGCGGTGTTGATGGTTTTCGCATTGATACGGTTAACAAATACTCCAAGAGGCGAGATTTCGTCGACGCGCCTGTCACAGATCCCTCGTCGCCTCATCAGCCTGCACCTGAAATGTGGTGTAACGGACCGCGCATTCACGAATTCATTCATGAGATGTATGAGAAAGTACTTGGTCCTTACAACGCTGTTTCAGTGGGTGAGCTTTCAAACACGCCTAACCCTTCACAAGTCATTCCCTATGTATCAGCCGCTGCGAAGGAGCTGGACATGGTGTTTGAGTTCTCCATGATCAGACTTGGTAATGGAAATGGTTTTGGTGACAAGTATATCTACCAACCGTTCCCGTTATCCAAGCTCAAGGCGTTTGTGTATAAATGGCAGAGTTTCATCGAGGGTACAGATGCGTGGGCAACTGCATTCTGCGAGAATCACGACAATGGCCGAGCAGTTGATCGTTTCGGCGACGCGTCAACGCCAGAGTGGTGGTTAAAGTCCGCGAAGACTCTGGCTATCTGGCAAACAACACTCACCGGCACTTTATTTCTATACCAAGGACAAGAAATTGGCATGACCAACATGCCCAGGTCGTGGGGAATTGAAGAGTACAAGGACATCGAGAGCAGCAACTTTTATGCGGAAGCTGTCGCGTCAGGGGATGACAAACGCGTCAGAGATACGATGCACGGTCTTCAAATCATGGCTCGCGATCATTCGCGGATTCCCTTTCAGTGGGATGATTCGCCCAATGCTGGATTCGCTGACGCGTCTGCGAAGCCATGGATGAGAGTCCACGATGACTATCGCAATATCAACGTCGCCAAGCAAGTCAAAGACCCCAGCTCCATTCTCAGTTTCTACAAAGCCATGCTCCGCTTGCGAAAAGAGTACCAAGATGTCTTCGTCTTTGGTTCTTTCAAGCTTCTAGACCCAGAAGATGAGGCGTTGTTTTGTTACGTGAAGGAGAGTATTGTGCCTGTCAAGGGACGAAGGTCTGAGAAGAGGAAGGCTGTTGTGGTGTTGAATATGAGTCGTGAGGACAGACTTGGTCCGGATGTTACGACAGTCTTGGGTTGCTCGCATGTGGACGTTCGGTTGATGGCTTATACGAGGGAAACTGCAGGAGGGTTGAAAGGTGGACGGCCGATGCTTGCGGGATGGGAGAGTCGGGTCTATGTTAACTTTGAGCTGGAATAGGCGTTATTGGGTCTTTGGTATAGATAATTAGGAGAACTGCAATGCAATCGGATTCATTTGTAAATCACCAGACCCTCAGTCATTCCTCTACGTGCTCCGCCATTCGGTTATCCTAGATGAGTTTGATCCATTCAGCCTTCAATTGCCCGTCTGGGTCAGCAGCAAGTTTCTCGAGGACTTCGCCATGCATTAGATCATAGACATAGCACTCCCCAATTACCTCGTACCCATCTCCCTTCGGCCTCAACAAAAATGGAACTTCTGCACCAAACAGTACACAAACCTTATCCCCAATCTTCATATCAACGGGCCCAACCCCAAAGTCTTTCGACGCCGTCTTAAACAGCCTATACGAATCTCGAACAGGTTCCACGGCACTGATGTATCGACGAGAACTCCCGCCTTCAACTATCTCTTCAAGGTACTCAGCCTGCGTCTTATCGCCGCCTTCTGGCTCGATAACATCTCGAAGAGCGATAAGATCTCTGATGATCCAGTGGGCACTTCCTGAGAGGACCAAAGCAGCTAGATCAGCGAGATGCGCGGCCTCATTATCAATAGGATATGCTTTCCCATCGCCGCCACACGATAAAGTGATGGCACACTTTCTCCACGCTTCATTGCTCCATCGTGGCTGATTTAGAAGAATGTCGCGGCTCTTGTCGTTCGTGTCGAAAATGCCCCAATAATCACGGTGCTCCTGCATGGAGGTAATTTGATCGATGATCACGCCTTTGAGGACCAGCTCTCTTGCCTTCATACCAGGGCTGAGCTCCATTGAAGTACCAGATGCACATTGAAAGCCCGGACTCTGCTTGGTCGGTAATATTGTCCATGGCCGGCGCTCATGCCAGCTTGGCGCCCACGATGGCCCCGAGCAATAAAAGTCTCCAAACGTCCCAGCTCCGGAAAGGAACGTCAGCGGGGACGCCGAGGTAAGTACAAGTCTGGCAACATCCTCAAATACCTTCTCCGAAGTAGTGGTCTTCCGATAGTCTGGGACAATCCGTTTGCCAATAGAGTCTGTTGTTTCAATACCCAAGAGGCCATAGATCTTATCCTTGGGCTCTTTGCTCTGGAAATTTCGAGAAACTTGGAGTAATTGTGCAAACGAGAATTTCAGTCGCGGGAAGCATTTCTGCGAAATAGATAGCCGATACATGAGATAACTGTTCATCGTTCCAGTAGGGATCACGTCTCGCCCATAGCCACGGGACGACAGCTCCGGCTTATGAACCACTATAGCTGCGGCGAGCCCAACCCACTCCCACGGAATCTGATACGAGCCGAGTTGGACGATAGCATGCCTAGCTAGGACAGCTTCTTGCAGGACCCAGATACGAGAGAACCACCGCCGCCCGAAAAGCTGCCCCATGGCAGAGCGGCCCTCCTCAACGCCGTCAGTATTGGCGCGATGTAAGGTGGATTGGCCCAATTTTGAGATCTCCGAGTAGGTTGCTTCGAGGGTCTCTTGACCGGCCTGAGCGAGCCAACCGTTCACGACTGAGCATATGCCCGAAAAGGCGTTTGCGACCGAAAAAAGAGATGTCCCAAGGATCGTCTTTCCACACATACAGCGGTCACTCTCCTCACCTAGCCATATAATGACCTGCCAAGCGGTACTGAAGATTTTTCCCATGAGCGCTACCTGCTGGCCTCTCTCTTTGACATCTTCCTGGTTGATGCAGATAGCATCAGCCCATATCACTCTGCTTGCATTGCTCCTCCGAAGCTCTCGTAAGGCGATATACAAACTACCGGAGACAGACATAGAGTGACTCGTGTCATTGGAGATGATCTCGATCTTTCGGTGGCTGGACATATCTGCCTTGCCCCAGGTGTATGATAGAGCTTCATATGCCGCCTCGGTTTCTTGCAGGCCGCATACGTGAAGCTTGCACTGAACATCACCATCACCAGCGAGGATCTCCAGTAGTCTGAAGGTACTGCTCTCAGGCAAAGGGTGATAGATTCCAGAAGTACTTTTGGCTGGAGGACTTTTGTTCTCAAGTGGAGCGAAACGACATATCGGTGATCTCGGATGGATGATTGAGAGCGAAATCTCCTCAACGTTGAAATCTTGGTCTAGGTCGGCGAACAGAGGTGAAGGGATTGTTGAATCGCTCAGTCCTGATTGAATCGTGAAGCCAATGCCGTAATTGTTGCCCATCAGTCCTCCGAAATATGATTCGATAGAACTTGCGCGACCAGAGGGATTTATCTATCGATTTTGACGTCAGCCAGTAAGCTCCAAAACATGGATAAGTTGGCCGTAAAGATAAGTTTCACCACCTAACGATATGCAATACGGTAAGGAAAGATATCTGGAGCTGGAGTATTTACCAGGGTTAGAAGTGAATTAGCTCTCAATGCCTCAGGGACTTTGAAACCGGAACAACCATCTTTCCCGTGGCGCTCGGAAGATTTGGCCTCTACCGTGGACTTGACCGGCCACATTTGAGAGTCGATAGCCGCACGATAGCCCGGAAGAAACGCAGAGTTTATATTCGTCGGCGCTACACGAAGAGTTCTCTTTCGAGTATGCTTACTTGTGAGTGAGATCTTCAGATACCCCTCACTGAAAGACCCGCGCAGTTGCCTGACACAGCACAGCCACTCAGCTGACCGCCGTTGTCCAGCTTTTGCGGTATAAGGCAGGCAACGGGGCGGGTCAGCTGCCGCAAGGCAACCAAATCAACATCATGTATCGTCACTCAGAAAAATAAAATAAAATAGTAGGACTCAGGCTTTGATTTTCTCTAACAACCCTTTATCTCATTTATTATCTAATTCCTATAGCTCATCACGGGTTCCTCTTTCGTTCTGATCCATGATACTGACCCCATGACTTCCGCTCCGAGCAACAAAAGCATCGAGTTGTTCAACCGTCAGCATTTCAGTGAAATTACCCTTAAAAGACACAACCTCATTTCTGCCGGGGCGATATAATCTGATGGAAGGATATGAATCAATCTCCATTGGTACGTCATTCGCATCGACATTGATAGATGCCAGGGCGACTTTGTCAGAAAGCCCAAGCTTTGCGTATTTGGACCCAAGCTCGTTCATCACAGCATGAAGACTGTTAGACCTGTTAGTACTACATGTGACGGTGTACAGATATGATCAACTTACTCAATACAGTATTGGCACCACGGTACGTAAAACTGAACCAAGACATCTTTAGACTTGTCAAAAACCAAGTCGTCGAAATTACTGCCCACCAACTTTGTCAAGAAAGGCTGATCAGTAGACTGCTCAGGTACTGGCTCAGACTTGATCCTCGGCGTCAATAAGCCAACCAGGTAAGCAGCTACATGTTTGGCGACTCTATTGGCATTGAACACCTTTTCAGACATGGGATATGCTCTGCCCTGCTGATTTGCGATGGCAAAACCACGCTTGATCTCCTTGCTAAGATGCATCTGCTCGCATCTCTTGGGGTAGTCAGGCGCAAGGACTGTCATGAAGGAAAGCTGGTCCTTATACTTCTTCGCGAGCGGAGCCAGAGACTTGGCAAGCTCAGCTCGATCATCGCGATCACTGAAAAATATTTGGGCCAGCGGTTTCTCATCCTTGAAGGGTCAGTAGTGTGTATCCATGAGCGAAAGGTTGCTTACCTTCATCGCTTCCTCATGAACGATAGGGTCATATTCGCGAATAAGCGGCTGGGTTGCATCGCGTAAGAAGGCCTCGATGTCAGGGACGGTGAAAGGTCCGCGGTAGTAAACTGGATTCTCTTCTTCTTGTGTATAAACAGCGATGGAAGGGCCATTGCCATCTTTCTCAAGGCCATGGACATTGCCAAAATTGTAATGCGTTCGCCATCTTTCGGCAACAGCGTCAAACGTCTTGCGCTCAGGCTGATGCTCTGAACCAAGAAAGGCAACGACTCCAACTCTAGATGACCGCGCGAAATCGAGATGGTTCTCTTTGGTAAGATCTACCACGGGAGAACCCGATTGCCGCTCAATATATTTGACAATCCTGTAACGACGATTAGTGATCCACAGGCAATTTAGCGGAATCCGATGCAACCTACGATGACGCGTCTAAAGCTTCTTTGTAAGTGACCAACTCATTATTGCCGGCTGTATACTTCAACGTGGGCACAGTGAAGACCTGCGAGTCATCACACACAGTTGGTTCATCGTTGCAGTTTACAGAAGCAATAGCAGTCTGGGTGAGTACTGGTGACACCCTGTCCAGCACTGCTTGAACTCTATCGCATTCCTTGCAGCCGTCTGCAGTGAACAGAATGAGGGCTGGTCTCGAAGATACCAACACGTTGAACTCTGTTTTACGGAGTTGGACGGCTTGCGCTTGAGTAGCAAGAGCAACGAGTGACAAGACAGTTGATGAACGCATGATAGCACAAAGAAAGATGAGAGAAATGGATTACTGGTGGGAGGGTAGATGGTAGACAACTAGAAATTCATCATATCAACACTTATCAAGTATTCCAACCCCCATCATTCCTCCATTAGCCAAGTTTAAGCTTTTAGCCCAAATCACCAACCCTCTAGTAGAGCTTAGCTTATCATGAGGAGACCCAATCTCGCATGACCATCCTTTAATTTCAGCCACCCCCAAAAGGCTTAGTTTATCCAAACACAACTGCCGAAGTGCCCCATGGGCGAACTCGGCCAAGCCGCCGTAGGGCACAGACTAGACCCTGCCAATTTCTAGAATGTTTTATTGAATGATGGATCCCGCGACAATAGAAATAGGAAGGTGACCTGAAATCTAAAGAGACACTGAGTCATGTCCCTTGGTGAATCGTGGATCTATCCATTAGCTCGGCTGACGGCATGAATCTTATATACGAGTAGATATGCGGTGACTAGGAGCCGTTGAAACCTGAGTCGTGGAAAAATATGAAACTCTAGCCGTGACATGGGGTTTGTAGTGGGTAGCTGAGAGAATAGTTCTAGAAGACTTGTTCCGATTGAGGATATTCGGGTAGGCGTTCCTATCAGGGTGGTTCGTGAAGTCGTGTTATCTCTTTAGTACAACATTTGACGAGTATCTCCATTCAGCTTCTTAGTTAGGTCAGGTAGATGATCAGGAAAAGCTTAGCCTTGGGTTCGGATGACGGATGCGTATCACGAAGAAGATATTCGTTATCGAATACGCGGTAAACTGGCGATACAGTCGCAAGACCTCGAGGTATGATATGGTGTAAACAGTATATATAGATCATTGAATCCCACAGCTATCTCATCCTCATCGCAGCCTTACTTCCAACATCCAGTCTTTCAACTCAATCATCATGAAGTTCACTTCAACCTCTCTTGCGCTCCTCGCAAGCATTCCCCTCGTCTGCTCTCTTCCCACCGAAGCTCAGCCACCCACTCTGAAGCTCGAGAAGCCCCAGGGTTTCGACAAGATCCAAAAGGCTGACCCCGAGCACTGGCTCACAGCCGTTAAGGAAGAAGCTGCCCGCCAAGAAGCTGCCGCTGCCTCCGCCTTCAATGAGACCGAGGCCCTCGAAGCGAGAGCCAGCTGGATCTACCAGGTCCACGGCATGTACACCGACAACCTCGTCAATGTCGGTGACGTTGATACCTTTTACATGCTCTGGACGCGCATGTACGACTCCAGCGATGATAAGGGCGGTCTCTCAGACATGACCCGCGGAGCATGGAGCAAGTTCTGCAACAGCCCCTACGAAGGCAACGGCGTCGTCACACGATTTGTCCTCGATGGCCAGTGGGGAGCCGTGGGCCGTCTTAGCGGCTGGTCGATGCGCGACGCTCTGATCCACTCCATGTGGCAGACAGCCGATGGCATTGGCAAGAAGAACGGGTACACCGTGTACAACAACTGCTACGGCTTCACCTGGCAGGAGGCCAAGCCGGGGAGAACTGACTCGGCGTGTGGAGGACGATCTGGCAAGGCTTGCCCCCATAACTCCGACTGCCCGTTGGAGGGAATGGAGTGCAAGGGTCTCAAGTGGGGAACTTGGATGCCCAGCATCATCCGCATGAACGTCTACAACCGCGACGGATCTCTACGCGCTGATGCGTACCAGGCCAGAATCTCCTCGCAGGCTCCTGGTTCTGGCGGTTGCTCCAAGGCCCAGACTATTTCTGCCTATGTTGCTGACTTTATCCCCATTGTTGGACCCTACTTCGCTACTGGTATCCGTATCAACTGTCTGTACCAGAGCTAAGTCTGCTCGGCAAAGGTGTGCCGTAAAGCTGGGGTTGTTGAAGAAGTGGTCAAGGCGCCCCCGGGTTAGCATCAAATTGTTGTTATGGCTCGGGAGCCTGCGAGAAGATAGAATATAGTGTGCGATCGACATTTGTCATTCTTTGTAGATAGTTACTTTAGCTCGTGAATCGACTCCCCATCGGTTGCATGGATGACTACCATTAAGCGAAGATAATAGTCCAGAACATTAGTTGCTCTACTCCGTACTCACCTCCGTAACTTCTTTCGCGGCCGCTTTGCATCTGTCTCTCTGATTTACGCTGACCTACCTCTGTAGTTTGTTAAAACTGGGTGTTTGTTTTGCTAAGATCATTTTTGATATTCCTGACGCGTTGCGCTATATTTCCGGGCGGGGCTTTTCTTTTGACGCGGTTGGTCTTCCCTGTTTTATAAATGCCACCTAAACTGACTTGGAACCTTGCTGAGAAGTGATCGATCGATTGGAGATTCTTATATAAAGTCTCTTGATATAGAATAGGATGTTGTGAAGTAGAGGCCAGAGTATGGAGACAAAGATAACACTAGGGACGAGCACTTTGTCGTGAAAGCTATGCCTGACTATGAATATATTAAAGAGAGGAAGTTAGCCACTAAATAGCTATATGTGAGGATACATGATCCGTGTAGTACCACTACCGTCGATCTTTAGTTGTCCACGGGTAGAATCTGAAACAACTCAGCACTTGGGTTGGGTAAGGGCCCAGACAGTGCCGACGCCTTCGTGAGATTGTCCACAGATATAGCCCAGCCAGGAGATTCCTCCTGCCTGATAGTGAACCTGTCGGAACCTGGCGCTGAAGGCTTGATGAACCAGTTCCACTGGACGGGGACTTTGATATTGAACCCACGTCCTTTAAGCACGAACCTGCTAGCAGCATAGCCATGACCTGCAGTCACGTTGCCCAAGTAATCGCCGGTATCAATCTCTTGCAGACAGTAGGCAGAGGCGCTGAAGGATTCAAGTGACTCCTTACCCGATGCAGGTGTCAGATACCATTTCTGCCACCCGGCTTTTGCAACAGCGACGGGTAAGCCGATGGACACAACTGTTTCGGATTTTAGGAATCCAGATGAGGCGTTAGTCGCAAACCAGACTGCCAACTTTCCTTCCTCTTTGACTGCCATCAAGCTGGTGTAGAGGTCGATGGTAGACTTGCCAACAGATGACTCAAAGAGCTCACGCTGCTTCTGCAGATATCCAATGTGGCGAGCGACAGTCTTCTCGCCTTCAGAGAAATGGACTTTCGGAGAACTTGTCGCCATCTCCAGAAGCTCAATACCCCGACCGACAACTGCCCAGTAGCTGTAGACCTAAACCTCTTGTTAGCTATACGTGTTCAGTCACTGATTGTGGATGGGTTGTTACTCACCAAAGCCCTGCATCTAAGGTAGAAAATTCGGAACTCTTCCGAGTTGTCAAAGGCACGCTGAGCGAGTTGTTTCAGGAACGAATTGTTTCCCTCCTCGCTCAGAAAGCTGTTGATCTGCTCCAGACTCTCGGGAACACTCTTAACAACCTCCTTGAGTTGATTGTCCAATCTCTTTTGGAGATCGCGCATTTTTCCCTGACGCTTCTCAAGGTCCGCGATCGCGGAGTCACGAACAACAGTCTCGAAAATGTCGACGATGCCATTATACAGACTGTCAATCTTTGTCAAGTGACTCTTCAAGGAGTCACTTCGAAGTTGCAGGATGCTATCGGCCAATTGACTGGCAAGGTTGTCAATAGACTTCTTGACATCGCGAATGAGGCCGATGGCTTCTTCGAGTTTCTGCTTGACATCTGCGATCTCGTTTTGAAGATTCTGCTCATCGCTGCCAAAAAGTTCCTCAAGTCCCTTCTCAAGAACCTTGGCGCCAGCAGCCTCTGCAATGCCACAAGCAAACTTCACCAGAAGCTTGGTGCCGATTTTCTCTGCTAATGCTGCCATGCTGTAGACTTGCTGTAGTATCCAAGAATAATGGGTAAAAACAAGAAGAAATTTGGTAGGGTAGTTGAGGAAGAGATATGGTTAGAAGTTGATGAAGAATGGAATTCTCAACTGAAGGGATCTCATCTTTTATAGAGAATCTGCACTCCGGTTCTATTGCTATCTCGTCGACTATCTTATGCACTCAGTCAAAAACAGAAGAGGGAGCCAGCATGGTAGCCTTTATTGATGGTCTTGTGGCTGGCTGGCAGACGCAATGCCCCATAGCTTGGCAATAAAGGCCAGTCGAGGCCAGTTCAGCTGCCATCCTCTACATCCTATGTACATCGCTGAGGCAGAGATATGACGGAATCCAAGGACTGACCAGCCATTGATTGGATTCGGGCGGAATAGGTCCGCGAAACGTACGACTCCGAATTATTTTTGGACTATCTCGCAGGGCACTACGTAACCTAAGGCTAACTAAAGGTTTCTGACAGCTGTACTAAAATTCCGAAAACAGTTCTTACCCACCCAACTGTCAATAGTCTGCCCCAATTCGGAGCAATATTCCCCACCAGCGTCAATAATTGACACTTTAAAGGATAAGGGTCCAAAACTAACGAATTTTAGTGCACAGCTGAAAACTAATCTGGATAGCACGGATATGCCGGCTTTTTCTTTGATTTCTCTGATCCTCAGCGCTTCATACTATGCGACCTAAATTTGGGATGCTCTACGTTGTGATGATGCAAGTGAACCGTGAGTGCCTCAGTAAGGGCAACTCGAACTCTAGAGGGTGCAGCAGGTAGACAGTCGCTGTGATCTGATGAGGCTTTCTAGAGATATATACTAAAATTAATGGCACACTCTCCAAGAAGCTATGCCGTGATAGCAAGAGTCATTGACGAAGTGAACCGAACATCACAGGGTTGGCATTGAGTTACTAGTATGGAGATTTGACAAGGATTGTCATGTTCAGTGGTTTTTCATTCTCTGTATATAGCTCTTTAAACGCACTACTTCTCTCGTGACGGAATACGTCGCAAAATGCCGAGGACTTCAAAGCTCTGAAAACAACGCGCGAACGTTTCCAAGTGGCCAAATGACTGAGAAAGTCTAGATACCAAATCCAGTACCTTTCGTGACAAATAAGTCTGAAGACCAGAACAGATTGCAGTCCTCAATGTTCGACTTGCTTGCCAGCACCCATTTGACACCTAGATCCTCTGCCATTCCAAGTACAACTCCCTGCTTGTTTGACCATTGGTAATAAGGCGGTCAAACTCCTCTTGGCCTCCCTCCGATCCAGGCTCAAGCTTCAATCTGTAGGGCCACTTCTTGATGATGGTGTGCTTATCCTTCATCTCCGCCCCAGCTATAAGCGGCATATACAACAACCGAGCCTTCTTCACAAACCTTTGAGCAGAGTCAGCATTCGTAATGAAACGAAGAAGGATTGTTCACCTCTCGAAAATATCATCGTATTTCTGCACACGGCCTTGAGCGTACATGCCCATGACCGTGAAAGGTTCGATGCCACGCCCGATAACCCGCCGGGGCGGAAGGTACTTGACGATGCGCCCTGACAGCGCTTTGGCACCCTCCAAAGCGTCCACTTCGGTCGAATATTCAAGTACCATGTTCATGAAGAGCGTGATGAGAGTCGCGTGTGGGTTGACTGAGGGCGCTCGAAGCAGCGGGGCCAAGAGTTCGACGGTGCGATGAACACCAAGAAAGTGCCAGTCGGAGATGTTGGAGGCCTGAATGGAAGTCAGTGTCATGCCCATGAGTGAATCCGTTGGACTTGAAGCAGCGGAATCTATGGAACGTACATCAATGCGATCAAAAGACCCGTCAAAAGAGCCGTCAAGATATTCAGGAAGGACTTCGGCATCAACCTGAAAAAGCTGTAAAGCTATAGTAGATTTGGATATCCGAGCCATGAACTTCTCCAACATGGATCGAATGTGGTAGAAAAGCTTGCCATATATGTCAGATGTGGCGAATCCATAGGGAGTCTTGTCAACCTCTTGGAGAGACCATCCCATTACCGGATCAGCAAAATCGTTCATTGGCCAGCCATCTGGGGATCGAAAGAAAGTCCTACAAGATTTAACTTCAATTCGCAATTCCAGGAAATATCACTCACGGATTCACTTCGCAGTGTTCGCTGCGCTGAGCCCCAAAGGGGAGAAGAAGGCCATCTTGACGAAATCGATGTCTCGCGACTCGATGAGAAGGGGATAGAAACAGAAACTCACGGTCGTGGATATCGATGCGGGACCTAGAGAATGTAACAGCCTGGCGAATCTCCTTTGCTCTGTCAATAGTCAAGCCCTCAGGAACATCCATATATGACAGCAGTTTATCCCAGGCCTGTTTCTGAAGGGCGAGTTTGACGGATCGTTTCTCGAAAGTCCAAGTCTTTGCCAAAATCTTTGTGGCAGGTTTATCCTTCACCTTGTCGCAAACACTCTGGATAAGGGGTCGGATGCGCTGGTTGAACAAGTCGACATGAGACTTACGGATGGAAGTCGAATACCAAATGTGGATGATACAATCGAAGGCCTCACCTAAGTCGTCGGCGGTGAGTGCGAGAAGAAGTATTATAGCGTTGCGGGCAACGATGTCGAAGTCGCGATCGTTCAGGATAATGTCGATGGGCTGTACATAGCTCTGAGGAAGCTGTGCAATAGTTTGGACGACGTTTCGCCAGTCGCCAGAAGCTTGAGCAGAGAAATGTCGTTAGCTTGACCTCGCTAAGCCCTCGGGGTCAGACGATCACGTACCGGGGAATAACAAACGCAACGGGCTTGCATACGCTTCTCCTTCATTGGCACCGAGCCGAAGAACATCGAACGCAGGGACATTTCCATATGGGTACTGTTTGCCACCAAACGGGTGAGGTTTCACAACGCCCCAGAAAGAAGGTGCACGACACTCCACAGACCACTCAGGCTCCCACGTCTTGCTGTTGTATGGTGATTTGCAGTCGAGTTTATGGATGGGCCAGTGGGCTCTCTGGCATTCGGAGCTGCAGTACTGCAGGACGTGAGCATTATGCATCTCAGACGGGACACCAACGGAGGCCGGCCACTTACGACGACGAGACGGCAGTTGGCGCAGGTCGATTTGCCATCGTTTTGGCAGCTGGTGCCATCGGGGCGGCAGTTCGCACAGGGCAGTTCGGGCGTCGCCATGATGTCTGAGGTCGACTGATAAGGGAGAGGAACAGGAAGAGAAGAGTAGAGAACAGGAGAGAAGAGGAAGATTAAAGGTAGGGAAACATGAAAGCCTTCGGTCGGTTGGAGCCTGAGGCTACCTAGATCAAACATTGAGAAGGTGTTTGCTGCAAGAAGTGGCTGGCACTGTCAAGGCGAATACCTACATATTGCAACATCACTGTCTTCTCGATTGCGGATCCACTCACCCGGGGGACAGAAGAACTAACTAATCTTAGGTAATTGTATCTAAGACTAATAAAATAGGATAAAAATTACTGAATTAAGAAGAAATTATTATTAAAGAAAGAAATCTTTATATATAATTTTATAAAATTGATAAAATTTATAGTAATACCAGCACTGTAGATGCTATTTGTCTCTGACTTATGGGTGAGATTATTCCTGATCGGCTTGTGGATTGCGGCGGGGAATGTTGTTCGACACTGGCAATGAATGAACGGCTGGTGGCGAGCCTTAGATGCATCGATCCCGAACGGTGGGGCTTTCTTCACAAATCCTTGTACATGCGCAGTTTGCACAAGCTTGCGTGTCAATTTGGAGCACCACGAGAAACTGATTGAACTAGATCCATGGATACATGAGTATAATTGCCAAACTAGGTACCTTACATACAAGATAATGGCAGTCATAGTCACTATGATAGACTTCACTGAGGCACCCTAACGGTGCCCTTCATGACTTCGACCGCCTTTCCACTAAGGTGAACACTCTTGACCTTTCTCTCTCCAGCTCCATCCGTCTCTACCTCAACATCTACCACGATGAGACTCTCCCGCCCCATCTCAACACCCTGCGTGATATTGAACCTGATCGAGCTCGCAGTAAGCTTGTGCAACGCCAAGTAGCAAGACAACGCGCATGCGGCACTCCCAGTAGCAGGATCCTCCATATTTCCCTTCACAAGTCTCGTGCGAAGGTTTTGGACAAATTTCCCACCGGATGGTGTCTCGCCGTTGAGAAGCGTGTAGTAGTAGCGTCTTGAGTCAAAGTCATGTTTCCAACCGTCATCCTGCAAGTTGCCGTCGATGTCACCCATAGCCCCAACCTTGGCAGCGCCGAGCAGCTCAAGAGATGGGAGTTCCACAAGCGCGAAAGTCATCCCCTTGACGATGCTGAACACCGGTGAGCCCTCGTCAGCGGCAGCTACCTGCGCGAGTTTGTCATCCCAACCAGCTCGAGTACCATGTTTTGGCACTCTCCCCTTGTGCAGTCGGACATCATGTGGAATTAAAGCACGCGCAGAACCATTTTCGAACTCAAGGTCAATCTTGCCCGCCTGTGCAATCATTTTCTTTACGCCCTGCGGCTGAAGAAAAATAGCTGTGCCGATAGTCGGATGCCCCGCAAATGGCAATTCGAACTGCGGAGTAAAGATATCAATCTTTCTCTCATCCGTATCACCACGATTCTCAACATCATGCACAAAGACAGTCTCAGAGAGGTTGAATTCGCGCGCAATTCGTTGCTTTTGAGATTGGGTGAGGGGAGCCTGCTGGCTTGGTGGGGGTATCGTCACCACTGCCAAAGGGTTACCCTCAAAGGCGGTGGTGGTAAAAACATCGAGAGTGGTGAATTGCAGACTCATTTTGGCGACTTTAATTTAGTCCAATGTTCAAGATATCACTTGTTGGCGGTTGAAGGAATAGGTGAGTGAGTCCTTTAGTACCTACTCAGCCAATTGGGCGTGTGAGTCAGAGAGCTACATCGTAATACGATTACTAATTCACCCGAGCACAAATCAACGACATCGGCGCATATACACCGAAGAGTATAGTAATGAGTCACGAGTCATGAGCAAATTCATTCCTAGCTAGAGAAAGTACTAAGGCAGCATGAACTCGACTGAGAGCTCGACCTAGGTTCTGTCTGCTGATTTAAGCTCTCAGCTATAAGTCTCGACTGTAAATAGCACGTCCTGCTAACAGCTTAGACCTTGTACCATCGGAGAGCTTGACGTTCAAACACTTTAATCAGTGGGAATTTGCCCACTAGCAGTAATGTCTTGTATTGCTATGCTGCTATCTTTGAGCGCATCTTGTATCAAGAACCAAGCTTTGATACCGTCTCCCTCAAAGCGCGCACGTCGCGTTCCATGTTTCTGAGTTCAAACTCGTGTGACCTTTGTAGCTGCCTTGCTACTCTCATCCGCTCAAACCCCCAACAGAAACCGGCCACCATCAGGATAAAGGCAACTACGGCACCGATAACGATGCCTGCCACTTGTGGACCTGTCAATCCGGACCTCGTACTCGATTTTTTTCTTTGGCGGGACGGTTTCTTAGTGGCTGTGGACTCAGCACTGGGTTGCGTGGTGGATTTGGCGGTGGATTTGGTGGTGGATTGCGAGGAGAGGCTTGATGTTTCCGGAGCTTTACTGATGGGGGCCTTGACGCTATCCGGGCTGCTGACATTGAAGAATGCAGAGTACCTGAAACTTCTCCTTTTGCCAGGTCCAGGTATTCGAAAAGAGTAAACAGCGTCTTCACCATTTTCCAAATAGTTGCACACATCATACTTAGCCATCCAGAGAAAGACAAATGGTGAACGTGTACCTGTAACATCGCATCAGTATAACTCTAGCAAGGTTGCAGATTGGAATTCATCCTACCTATCACCCTGTCATATACAGTTGGCCTTCCCTTGCGTCTCCCAGTATTCAGTTGCTTAACTTGCACGTCTTCAGGGCTGACTTTCGTATTGTTACTGAGAACGATGGGGATGATCGCGTCGACTTGATAGCGTTTGTTGTTGCTAAGATTACGAAGACCGTCATCCAGGAGGTTCCATGGCGGGGGCTTGATGAATCTCGCTCCTCTACAAGCTGCTAGACTGGCCAGTGAAGCTACCAGAACGAACACCCAATTCAATTGCATGATGGGTGGTGATAGACTGGAAACAAAGTGTGAAAGATTGAGATGTTGCGCGTCTACCTCTGTTAACTTTGAATGGTTCAAAAGAGGATGATAAAGTATGAAGGAAAGGGAGCGATGTCATTTTCGAATGCGAGGGCGAGCCACGGTTATTTATGGTTATCTGAGAGTCATGACTGATGTTCGAGTGGAGTTAGAAATAAGTCATGAACGACATATACCAGTCATGATGCCGCCACCAATATGCCTCGTGGCTAAACGGCCGAGTAGCCAGGCCAAATCTCATGCAGCGTGAGGGGTCTTGTGACAACATCACAATTGAACTTCAAAACTCCCGGAGACCAGAACGCAATTGTCAAGAACACAAACAGTCCCATACTTGAGTACCATCCTGTAATAGGCCATGACTCCGGGCACTGATATGGTATTATCCAATAATGTCCCTGTCCTCCTGTTTCAACAGCACAGGTATGTATAACCACAGAGTATCAGAGCCAATGTGATCAATCTAATCGGAAGGGCTTTGTTGAACCTAAAGGAAAGACATCCCGAGTAATCCAAGATTCAAAGCCATACGGCTGGCGCCATGGATCATTGGTCACTACCTATATGCTGGTTTTTGAGTTGAAGTTTACATTCGTGTGTCCTCATTCGTCACTTGTGATCGCAGCCTAAAGCGTAACCTTATTGGCCGCAGCCAACCACATGACCAAAGTTCGCTGACCCCTCAATTTCTCGTGAGGCTTGTAGGTGGTTATCAAGTATTATGTAGAATGAGTCTTGAGAGTTCATAATCTATCGTAGTGCGACTAGGCTTCCCCGCATCATCCGTCAGCTCCCTTTCCTGATTGAATCCCGCCCCATCAAGGAGCTTCATGCAGCCCTGGTGGACTTCTAGCATACCCCGAAGGATACCCCTCAACTGCCGGGTCACCAGGGAGCTCAGCCTTTGTCTTCGAAGAGTGAAACTGCTGTTGATGACTCTGAGAAACTATTGAGAGGTCCGTCTCTTCTTTTCTTCGTCCTAATCTTCTCCAGATGAACCATCCAACAACACCAAGAAGTATAAGGCCGCCGATGGTGCCCCCAACCGCGGCACCGATAATTTCGCCCTTGGATATTCCAAAGTCGGAATTTGACTCAGCATCTGAATCCAAGCTGTGATCTGGAGCCGCAGATGTTTGGAGGGGTTTCGTAGTAGACGTCGCAATGCGTGTATAAGACATGCTCTGTATCGTCGTAGAGGTCTGAAACGTGGAGGTGATCGTGGTTTCGAGTTTTGGAGCGGTGACATTGAAGTATTGCGTCTCAGAAAGTGATATCGCAAGACCGTCGGGACGATCGCCCAAGACAAAGTTGTACACAGAATCTTCACCTCCCTCCAGAATTCCTACTACATCCCACTCAGCCTTCCACTCGGTACGAGATGCTAGATTCACGGGTCAGCATGTTGTATAAGAGCAAAAGATTTCTTGGTATCCTACAGTCTAATATTCTTTCTTCCCAGGACGTTGATCCGATTCGTTGGACTAAGTAAAGTTCAACTTTGTCGAGGTCGGTCTCCCAGACAGGGTTGGAAATTAGTTTAGTTTTATATACTAGTACTAAAAAAAAAATACTATTAGTATACTAAACTAAAAATTTTTTTAGTTTAGTATACTAAGACTAATATTTTTTTAGTATTAGTATACTAAGACTAAGATTTCTTTTTTTTAGTCTTAGTATACTAAACTAAATTTTTTTTTAGTTTAGTATACTAAAACTAATTTTTTCTTAGTTTAGTATATACTAAAGAAAAAAAACTAATTAGTAAAATACTAATAGTATTTATATTAAACTAAAGTACTAAGAAAATACTAAATACTAATTAGTATTTTATTATAACTTAA